CGAGAGTCTACCAAATCAACACCTAGCCAACCTAGCCTAATGTTACACGGTTTGCCCTTGCTGACTGTAATATAAGCAAATATACTCTGAACATACAGATATACTATCACTTTTAATTAAGGCAGTGACATGTTCTTGTTTACTTTAATGTTGGGAAATATACAGAGGGGCTATAAATAAAGAGATTACATATGTGTTGGATAAGAAATATTTCAAACCGAAAAAAAGTAGAGAAAAGTAGGGATTAGGGAATCAAATTACAGTAGATAAATTTGAATTCGAATGGAAAACCGTATAACAATATAATGCGCATACAATAGAGCAAATATTCAAGCAATATCACGTACCACTAATAATACTGTTAACACATTGTAAGAATTAAGATAACACAAAAATTGTATGCGATCAATCCATTTTTGTAGTATGCAATATAAAATGTCTTAGTCTATATTCTGACTTACAACTAAGGAAATAAATAAGAAGTATTTTTAAAAAAGTTCATCATATCTGATCGAGTGATCTTTTGAATGGCAAGCATGGCGGATAATTTCGGATTTGCAACAGTTACGTTTATTAGTTCATGGTTCATAACAGTTTTCATTTTATTGAAACAATGTTCAACGGGATTAAGATCTGGTGAAAAAACCGGCGTGTATACTAATTCTATTCCCATCTCATTCAAGTACTCCTCTAGAACTTCGCCACTATCGTAGTGGTGAACTGATAGATTATCCATCACCAAAACATCGCCAATATCCAGAGCCGGGCGCATAGTTTCCAGGTTGACAGCATTCGACGCCTTTTCGAAGAAATCTAAAAATTGGAAGGTATTGGTGGCGCCATCAATCACATCATAGTATTCCGGACCATTAAGTGAAGCTATTAGGTTAATAGTTGCATTAGGATCTTCGCATTTCTTGACGACTTCCACACACCGCTCACCTTTCGGAGCATGGCCATATAGACGCATGCCGACATTTGGATATTTGACACCAGCTTCATCAAAAAATTTCAAGCAGTTTGGATTCTTTGACCTTAAGTAGTCCATAAAAATCTGTGTATATAGTAAGTTGCCATAATCAAACCGCTGTGATGCTACATGGGTTATTTTTTTTCGAGTGTATATCTTCCCAGATTTCATCCGTGATTTAAGTGCCCTCGATATAGCTGAGATTGAAATATCACCTTGAATATTTCCCATTTCTTCTACAGTTGATTGAACTTCGCGAAGGGAAACAGACCCTTTCAACTGTTTCATTACTTCGATAAGCTCTAAATCGTCCGACGTTAATTTTGAGCCTCGATTCCCTCCAGGTTTTGCATCGCATTCTAATACACAATTAGCACAATACTGCGTCCATACTTTCTTTACGGTGGTTGAAGACACTCTCACGGTGTGGGAAACTGCAGTGAATGTGCCCATAGGAACGAATTGGGTTGTTCTGTCTGCACCGTGATGGAACATTTCGTCAATTATCAATGCTTTCATGTCGCAAGAAAGTGCGACGCCCCGCTTAAACGACCGACCTTCGCGATTAATCTGCATTATGTATGTATATATATACATATATATTTCGTGAATCGTAATTCCAGTTTTTTGATCCTTGGAGCGGTTTGAGCAACGAAGGCTTGTCGAAATTGACGTGTGGCAAACGTTGACGTATTTCCTACAAAGTTGTACATTTCGCGCCGAAAACGTGAAGTAATTCACAAGGAAACGTAACGTTTCAGAACGGAAACATCGTGAAAAATTTCTCGCACTCAACACTTGAACGCAAATGGTAGTATTTGTTTGCCTTTAGCAATATAGAATTTAGCAATATATAGTTATACATTGCAAACATTTATTATTCCACCTACACATTAAATAACCTCCTCGAAAAACTCGTCAGGACTCGCAGATATATCCAGCGTAAATAAAGCTATTTAGAGTCAGTTCCCATCCTGCATGTCTGTGTAAACGGCGTAGTCTCCTTGGAGAACAGCATGCCATAAGAAAATAGATAAATATACCTCACGGGTAGGCAAACTATGTGATCATATTGCAACACCAAAACTATAATATTTTCTCGCTTACAGACGCCGCTTGAAACCAAGCAGATATTAATCTAGATGCATGCTCAATTAACTGTTGAGAATTCCGTCGACCGGTTGCCCGGCATGATATAGCCTGTGATTATTTCGATGACAAAGGTTGCGGACTAATAAACAGTATTTCAACACGTCAACATGAGATATTTTCATGATCAATTAAACGAACTACTGGAATACTGCATGCATGGGGAACCGAACAAAAGGTGAAACAGAAAAACGTAGGGCGAAACTTAATTTAAAATCATGTAGCATGACGAAACAGAATATCATGTAAAACAATTTAGAAGGAATTTAAAACATGAATTCAGACTAGAAACTGTTATATGTTCACAAAAGAAATGGAATATAACTGCAGTTTTTAGAATGCAAATTATAGTTTTATATGAATGAACCAATGTATACGTTCCAAACAATAAAATATATATCATTTTACGACAAGCAATCGGACACAGACAGCAAAGAGTATTTCAATAGCTCGATGGGGGCGCATTTGAGATGTGTAGGTTAGAAAATGCTCGTGTGATTAAACTCAGTATCAATTGATAAACATACAACAACTTCTCTAAACGTCATGGTAATACTGAAATGTAATTTTGCTTTCTCTGTAGGAAGTCTCGAGTTTTTTGCGAAAAAATATTTATCACCCTCGCGTCAGACTCTCCATGAAAGAAATCCGCAAAGTGTATTGTTCTAATCACATCAGCAATGAAATTATGAAAATAATGATAAGACCTATAGACCAGAAGCTTCAAAGTATTATTTTGCTTCGTCCTCATTATTTAAGAAATAGGAAACATTTTCCGTGTTTCTATAAGTTATAGTCATATAGAAGCACGCTTGGGAGTTTGGAAGAACGAGAAATAATCATTTCCACGTTATTTCGTTATTTCGTTTCTATAACTGCATAGAAACAAAGGAAAAATGTTTTCTATTTCTTTTATAACATAACTCAATAAAAAGATTTTGTACAAATATTATATATTAAATTCACTTATTGATGTCACGATGCAAACTTACAATTATTAGTTCTGTACTACCAATGAATCCGCGATTTGTACTTTTATAAATTACATAGGTGCGAAAGAACCGCGGCAAAGGCCTAGTAGGTTATACGTCGCAACAATATGTAGATATGATATAAATAAATTAGCTTGCAGGTAAGCGTTCAAGTAAGTATTCAATCTTGCAATATTAAACAAGCTAATTTATTTATATTGTGGTATCACCATGCAAAATTATAAGAGTATTAATAGATACTAAGATGATAATGAAGCTTAATAAGGTTTATCATCTCATTATCTATTGTTTGAATTGCATTCGACGCGACCAAAATGCGACGTATGACCAACGCCTTAATAAAGTGATCTAATTGTTCTGGATATATGTACAGGTTGTATAAAAAAACTGCAAATATACCATCATACCATGAAGATCATACATTAGAATTTCAATAGCTGTGCAACTAATTACACTTCTGAGATTGCGGTGCCCGCGCCAAGTTTGGCACCGCATTATATTCTGCCTGTGAGTTTGTTTGTTCGCATCAATACGTTTCCTTAATCGCCAAGTAAAATTTCCTTGCACATACTTGGAATGCTTGGAATTTTTTCCTAATTATTACCATTAATCTTGTTGTACGTTTGGCAAATTCCTTTTTTAAAGGAACGTTCTTTTTTCAATTTCAATCTCAAACTCTGATAATTGCGTGTGTCTCTGCTTTTATGCACCCAAGAAGGACAAAAATACCACCATTCGATTTAGCGTAAGAAATTATACTTACAGGTCTTAAATATATTACTAAACAAGAGTATTCGCAGCGATTTATGACGTTTGAAAGACAAACGAAATTGAATTGTTGACAAATCGCTCAAAATTACTATGCTATACTTTACTAGTAATAGTAAGTTTGGTCTTTGACATCTTTCATATCGTTGGTTTTCTCTTTTAATTTTCGTCCTTAAATAAGTGGATCGGTCTTACATTGCGATTTATTTTATAGTACTTTGAGCCAAATATATTCTATTTCGAAGGTTTTAAAGTATAGTTTCAATAAGCGAACTTTATGACAAATCGCTCAAAATTATTAAACAAATTAAAAATGCAGTACGCTTAATCCTTGACTTCTGTATCGCTGCTTTTCTAGTTTCCGGCTCTACGCCAGTTTATTCGTCTCACGTTTCTCTTCATTTTGATAGTATTCTTAGATAGTATTTTTAGCCTAAATATTTTATTTCTGAAGATTTTAAAACGGCGCAATTTTGACCTTAATGTACCAACCAACCAGGCTGCGGCCGACAGGAGAATGTAAGTTGGTGATGTCGTTAGAAATGAGCGGACGTTTTATTTCTAGACAAGCATTGCGGGCACCGCATTTTAGTACTGTGTCTGGTTTGAAAACACGTTTCCTAAGGTTATGAAGACAAGCACAAACAGTGAATTAAACTTATATGAGTTCGATTACGAATGGCTCAGTTAAGAGCAGAACTAATAGAATTTCTTGTTTTAAACGTATGCGAGCAAACTCAACCTCGGTCTAAAATAGTTATTAAATCTGGTGTTATACGTTAGCTGATCCATTCTTAATCGAACTAATATTAATTCACTTGTGTGCCTATTTTGATATTACTGCACGTACGGGTTTGTATTTTCAAATCCCGGAAGCGCAATTAGTTGCACAGGCATTGAAATTCTAACTTATGATCTCGTACATATACAAATTATGGTATTTGCAGATTTTTTATACACCCTATATGTATGTACGTGAAAAAAACAATGCAATATGCGCCATTTAATTTCAAATGCTAGCGTTGGGACACCCGATATATTTATTAGACCACGTGCTTTATAGCCTGTTCTAAGAGTATAAGTGTTCTTTATCAGTTCATTTCTTTCTGTTCACCGTTCGCGAGAGATTGAGCAGCTCTGAACTCTTATATTTTGGCTTCTTCCAGTCTTGTACGAGCGTAATAACGAGTGTTTGCCTAATCTCAGCGTATTGTAGTTCGCTTATAGAATGAAATCTTTCTTCACTGTCGCATTGGTGAGTGGTTCTGCATTTGAATATTTACGACATGTTAGACGAAGCCAGGACGGGATCTCATATATATAATTATAAAATGCACTGTTAAAACTGATATAATTATGTAGGCTACTTGGATAATCGACATGATATTGAACATCAAATGTTTTGAGGGGTTCTGTGAGATTTTATTCAAGTTTAAACAGTTTACAGCGGTTGCTTAAATTTAATGCAAAGCGATATGGGTTGGGCGTAGAATTGCGATCCAAACTGATAGGGATTTTATACGGTAAATCCCTGATGTTTATGCAGTTTTATTTCATTTAAAAATGTATGAAGTAATGGTGTTAGTCCCCTTCACGACCTTATATTTTTATACGAAAATCGTGGAATATAAACGAAAGTTTCAAAGGTATTTACTGATTATACGGATTATATATATAAAAAACGCCAAGGCCAAGGGTGATATAATGAGTGGCTTTTACTGCGTCCATCAAAAGTCTATCTTTTACTGTATCTATACTGTGACCATGCTTACGAATTTATTCATTTATCCTCATTCGAGTTTTCAGCATGCAATTTCGCTGGACTTAGAACGTTACATCAACACGTGGATTATATATTGCAGCAAATTTGGTATACCGTACTTGAATTCGTCCAATTTCTGCTCGTAGAAACGTATAGGACTGGACTAATTTCCATCCATTTTCACCGTATGAACACCTAAACCGGACGAATTTCAGTGCATATTTCGTCTGGCCCCGTTTGAATGTAGCCGGGCATGCAGTTGTACACACCCAAATTCCTCATTTTGCATCTACCCCAAGAAACGTTTTACATCCGCCAGTCTAGGTGAAGTGAACGCCCGACGCCCGAGGGGGGGGGGGGGGTGAAGTGAACGCCCGACGCCCGACAAAAGTAATCATAAAAATTGAAAAGCATCTCTTAAGAAATGATTACAAAAGAATAAACAGATATGCATTTTAACATATTTATAAAAGTTGTCAATAAAACACAAGTATCGCAGGTATTTGTTCTGCATGCAGATTCGGCTCTGACTATATTTGTTAAGTTTAATTTTCTTTGCTAGCTGACGTATGAAGTATCGTTAGTTATTAACATTTCATATCTTCATTTTAGTTACTCGTGATTGTAGTTATCTTGGATGAATCAAAAGCTAATTTTCGCCGGAGGCGATTTCTGGTTAGAAGTACAAACGCACTAAGTAAGTTGGAACACTTTCGCGCTATTTGTGATTAAAGTGCACAGTTAAGTTGCATAATCTTTTAAAAGTTTTGTTTTTTCCTCCATTTTGACTAGTATAGGTACTCTTTTAACTATTGTTAATTTAAAAAAATTAAAGAAATTTCAAATTCCACTCCAAACACGGCATGTGCATGTAGCATTTCTATATAAAGAAGTGGGGAAACCCGAGGAGCCTACTGGTCGCACTGCAAAGGCAAGCAAATCTATCGTTTATTTTACTTAAACAGGAGAACTAGAAAGGCTGATCCTATTGCAAAGCCGTAAACAAGAAAGTAAGTTAACCGAAAATGATCAACATTTATAAAATAAACTACATATTGCACATTATTTTAATAATTTGGATTATATGATTTTAACTCATGCCTGCAATGCTTGGACTTGGAGCAGTATGTATGAAGTTATATTCACATTAATATATGAATATTTGTCCTCACTTAATCGATGCTTTAACCAATTATTTTTTCAAAAATTACCTAATTTAAGATAACAAACGTGAATTCCAAGAAGAGATGCCCACGGATGAAGGACTAGGATCAGACGATGAGTCCAGAGAGGGAACTGGAGAAGGGTCAGGCGTTGAAACTGGAGAAGAGTCTGGAAAGGGAAATAAACAAGAGTCCGGAGAGGGAAAAGAAGAGTCGGGAGAGGAAACTGGAGAAGAGTTCGGAGAGGTAACTGGAGGGGAAAGTGAAGAGTCTGGAGAGGAAAAAACTGAAGAAGAGTCCGGAGAGGGCACTGAAGAAGAGTCTGGAGAGGAAACTGGAGAAGAGTCCGGAGAGGAAACTGAAGAAGAGTCTGGAGAGGAAACTGGAGAAGAGTCTGGAGAGGAAACTGGAGAAGAGTCTGGAGAGGGCACTGGAAAAGAGTCTGGAGATGAAACTGGAGAAATGGCTGGAGAAGAGTCTAGTGATGGATCTGTTGAGAGCGTTGAAACGGTTAAGGAATCAAGAGAGAAGTCTAGTAATAAATACAGAGAAGAGGCTGATGATGAGGAATCCGGTGATGAGGTAAATACATCCATCATTGCAATCAGTTGTCAATAATGAACCGTAATAATGTGTACATTTGACATTCCTGATTACTTAATTGATTATAACAAAGCTCAATTTTGTATTATGAGAGAGAGATTGTGACCTTTCTTAACGTTACGGTTTTATCAAACCTAGTTTCACTATAAGAACCCAGATTTGGTGGTATCACGATCTGGTGACATGCCAAAAATTTTGCTGATGATAACACGGATATATAAATATGCACTGGCCATTAACACTGGCGATGACATTGTTTGGATTTAACGAAAGTAAAGCCCCGTTTACAATTTTCTGCAGCCATTTTTGATGCGATTTTCTTCTTTTGGCAGATGGAGACGGTTTCTCTAATGTAAAATTGTCCTTATTTGTACATCCGTCACTTAATTATATCACTCGTTCGCATCTACCAAAAGGAGAAAATCGCCGTAAAAATTGCAAGCGTAAACGGGTCTTATCATTGTTTTTAAAGGAATCGGGCTCGTGTGGCGTTGAGGAGGAATCTGGATCAGGCGACATTGAGGAAGATTTCCATCCTTCCAGAAAATCATCATTACCGAGTCGAGTTCCTCGTTCATCAGGCATGCAGAAATCGGGCGAACCCGCATCTATTAGTTCTCGTCTATCTGCGAATGACAATTCAGTGATTATCGATTGAAAATGGACGGATGCAATGGTAACAATATTATATTCGCTCCAAATAGAGCTGATGGACGTACCTAAAATGACTTCCTCAGGGAAATAGAAATTAGTTAGGCCTAGAAATAATTTTTTGTTTTTTTAAGTTATTTGTTCACACATATGCGATTCAAGTATGTGTATAATATTTCGCTTAGTTATAGCATGTTTGGTGTTTAGGCCAAATCCCAGTCCCTATAAGCGCGGCGTAAGATAAATTGATAAACTGTAACTTATAAAGAAGAATTAATAGCAATCATGGTCAAATATATGAGCGAAATTTTGAGAGAGCAACAGTTATACTCAGAAACTCTACCTTTTTGACATTATCTTAAGACTTTTCGTATACTGTAAAGAAATTGACCCGAATTTAATGCCCTTGACTCAATTGCCTTTATCCCCAGTCAAAGCCAATCGTCAGTTCATCCAGTGAGTTGTCAGCTGAGGTAATCATTGACAAATACAGTCATGTGCAAAAACAGGTAAGACTCGCTGAATATCACTTACTGAATATTCTAGCGAATTTTTTTTTTCGTTAACAATGTAACCCCTCCTTCGCGATGGCTATTGTGTAAGCATTAAAACGAGTTAGCGGGAGTCGGGCATACGTGGTTTAGGAGTCCGGAAGTACGGAAAGTAAAGAAGAAAAGAAGCGTCTTAAAGCAATAGATACCTTTGCCTCAAAATCGTTGAAGCAAAAGTGAGAACCATTGAACACTTGCTTTTTAAAATTATAAAACTTACAAAAGGCTCGCTACTTTCCATATAATTTCTCTTTTATTATGTACACTTTCAAATATTGCTAATATGGATATAATTCTCACGCTTCCTGTAAAGTAAAAACAAAAATCGCGAAAAGACATGAAATCTTGAGATTCAATATAAGATTCAAACCATAATTCAGACAATCGAGATCGTAAACTGATTTTCAAAATCAGTTTACGATCTCGATTGTCTGAATTATCAGATTTTCCACTTAGAAACAAAGTTATCTTTAGACAAATTGAACATGTAATACTTTACTACACACATATAAAACACACTGCTTTGTTTACAACAGATAAAAGGAAAAGAAACATGCTTTCTCTAGATTCGCTTTAGGTGGCAGCTATTCCTCTGTAGCTTGGGTGTACATCTCCCCAATAAGGAAAGTCGTGCTACCTGTCATGCCCCTGATGAGAGGCAGGTTTTATAACCTTAGAAACCTTGAGAGGCCCGCTGACCTCTGATCATTGTAAATGATACTATAAACAATAAAGCGCAAATTATAATGTCAACAAAATGAAATATTTTGGTTAAATAATGCTGATTTCTACAGTCAAATCTGCTCTTTTTAATTCTCACATTCATGGTGAAAGAGGAAGAAAATAATACGTTGTAATTGATCGTTGTAGCCATGTTTTTGTTAAGAAAATTAGCGAAAATTTGCCGCTCGAGGCGACGTAAACGGTATTGGGTAACTTGGATTGGTATTCTTTTGGGTGTATTATTTTTAAGCTTTCAGATACAGCATCCGATGTATTTTCGTAAATTTCGTAATGTAAAGATGTCTAGAGCGTGTAGTTCACGAGAAATACTGGAGGAATTAGTCTATTTGACGAGGGATGTACATGAGATCTTATCCGGATTGAATTTGACAGATTTCTTGCTCTATGGCTCCCATTGGGGGGCAATTCGTGTTGGGGGCCCACTTCCATGGGATGATGACGTCGACCTAGGGGTAGTTGCTGATGCCAGCTACCTTTCATTAACAGAAGATGAATTTATCGAAGAATTTACAAGCCGTGGGTTAACTGTACTCAACCATATGACACAAAAAACATCAATTAAAATCACCCGTGGTATTGCTAATGTTGATGTTATTGTTTATTATGATTACAATGGCCTCATGAAGCGCAAAGGCTGGGAGCCATTTTTAATTCCTGTACATTATCGGTTACACCACAGCTTTCCCTCATGGGTTGTTGAAACTCCCCCGGGCCTGCCAAAGATGAAGTTTGGGAACTTCAATATGAGTGTTCCACGTGGTGGACGTGAAATTATGAAGTATTTGTATCGTTACAATTGGTGGCAAGATTTTGAGTCAGAAGGAGATTGTGAAATTATAGAGTGGTAGTTAGTAGCTAGGTAATATATGTGTTCTTAATTAAACAGCCAGGCACAGTAGATAGGTCTGGCAGGAGTGGCACAAGTTTAAATGCAACTGAAACATGGATATTTAATTTGATCATGCAAATGGATTTGGCATGTTTCAATTCTTTGCCTTCTGCCTGCAATTATTTTATCAGCTTTAGATCTTTCTTGTTTGATTTAATCCAAATAACCATCACATAATTCTATGTTTTCCAAAAATTTGAAAACATAGGTTTATTCCTGGTTATATCTGACCCTAATATGTTTCTTTGCAGCATAATTGAAAAATTGTCACCAAAAACTGGTTTTGTACCTTAAACATGACCATAACATAAAATTTATTCCAATTATCCCAACCCTGACCCTGCTTTCATTACTCATCAAAAGCTTTAATAAAATATGTAAAATTTACATGCAAAGTCTACTGTTGAAAAGTCCTATGAACTTTGCATAGTTCCATATATTAACAATACAGTGCTGCACAATTGGTTAGTATTAGGTATTAGTAAACATCAAGGGCAAATAAACCAACCCTAACCATAACTAACTTTGTTTTCTTTTCTTCTTCACAGGAAAATAATTATTGAAATTTGAAATCAATTGCAAATGAATTTGGGAATAAATCATATGAAGCTTGGAGGGACAATGGACAAATAAATGTGGGCCATAATCATGACAATTTTTAACACAATGTTTACTATGTGAATGCAAGTAAATATAATCCAGGTATTATGGTGAATTATAATACATTGACGGAAATTTATTATATAGAGTCTATAGACCTTTTTTTAAAAAAATCTCTTGGTGTTATGACAAAATTTTGGGTAAAAGCGTGTTTCAGATTAGGCAATGCACCAGTTTACCAATTACGGACATGCTTTGTCAACAAATTACAGGCTGGTCATATGACATACTTCATGGTAAATTGTTGCACCAACCAATTCCACAATGCATTACTAGGTTTACCATTGATAACACAATTTATACTGTGGTCTTCTGATTCTGTGGTCAGAATTTGGAAGTTTTAGCTAAACCAATTATGTTTCTTGATTGTCTCGAGTATTTGCCAATTTTTTCCTCGTTATTTCTCAGCATCACACCTTTCACCTCACACAGACTCCCATTCTTTTCTAACCCCTCCTTTCCGAACATTTTCTCCCTTTGATTATCCACCAAACTGCCATCATTCCATATTTCCCTCTTCCGCACCCCTCTACCATCAACCGATGACAATTTCGTGTTAAGAAATTTCGAACGCTGCATTCTTTTCATTTCATCGTCCACACAACTGCTTAAACAATTATTTTCAAATTTTTCGTGTGCCTCCAATTTTTCATCACTTAGCTTGGTTTGCCAGTCGTTTGCTTGAACAGGTTCTCTGTGTAAATATGTATTTTCACTGAGGCAGAGTGTGGAATCTTTCACTTTTATTAGATACTGTTTCTGTGGCGTGGTTGGCCCGAAAACCTTTGTGAATGATTTCCTTTCATCTGCACTTGTTGGTACAAACTCGCCACCTATACGGCATATGAAAAAAATCACTCCATCATATTTGGTGCATGAGCTCAAACCGATATTCTGATGCCTAGGTGACGTCGTTTATCGGTAGTATGTCATGGGGGGAAAGTTTCCAAGCATCCCAAATAGACGTCATACGCGGAATACCTAATGTAACACGAGCCAAGTTTGATTGGCTCATTAGTTTCCTGGAGCCAATTAAACTTCGCGTAACATCAGGCTTTCCGTGTTGGACGTCATTATGAGAAAAGCCTAGTGTGTAGGCAAAAGCTCCGTTTACATTATTGGCAGTTTTGGCACAGGTCCGTGGCCGGCTATTGTATTGTTGGTAGCCTGTTGGTGGCAAGTACCAAGTTCAGTGTACTCAGGCTATTACTTTAATATTGAAATACGAGAAAACAGCAAGCGATGATTTGTTCAATATTTCTAACGTCAGCAACAGATCCGGAAACTATGTTTATGTTGTTTTATTGTTGTTTAAGTCTGACATCATTCAACTACACTGGATGTATCCCATACAGCCTGCAGTAAAATTTATGTTCACTGTTGTTTATGTTATTTTCGAAACTTGTCAACTCCTGGCAATGTACATTAATGCTCTACCGTACGTGTCATTTTCATTAGTTTGTAGGTTTTCTTTGGCCTAAAGTCTACTCGATCGTTAGAAGAAATTTGGAAATTTGTTTCTATTATATATCCTGAGACAATTCATCTAGGCGAAGAATGGAAGCCGCGTTTAACAACGCAATATTTGATTTAAAACATTTTTTCCATGTCAAAGAGAACCGAAAATTGTAACAATGGAAACTTTGCCTCAAATTTCTCACTCAAATTTACTTAGTTTGTCATATAGAATAATATGCCAATGAAAACAAAACTCGCGAGCATTGAGGTAATTCTCAAACCTCATTTAGCTAATTCTCGTGTGTGCAAAAATCGCAAGTGTAAACGAGCCTTATTTACCTGATAGCGGGCTCTTGCTGATCCATTCAGCAGTTCTTAAGCATTTTTGTAAACTGCTATCCATCGTGAATTCATATGTATACTAACGTACTGTTCTTTAAGTGAATTAAAGCTCATTTTTATCGGTAAGAACCATTTCTTATGGAGGGCTTGACTATAGTGTTTACTGTTACTATAGGAATTTCGCCTTTTCCCACCTGTTTGTCGGTGGAGTGTTTTCCAAACAATCTTAAATGTACCTAATGTTTACGTTCTGCCTATCCAATCACTCACCTGAAATGTCAAAATTTTCCTTATTATTGCGAGAACGCCTTGTATTTTATGGTTCACCGATATTCCTTAAGCAATTGCGCGCAGGATTTTCAGAGAAATTCGTGGTAATGTTGATGAAGGCGTGGGTGATCAGATGGAGAGGACATCGAAATGTCTGTACAATTATATAGTGGTGATCAAAAGTCTGAGTCCACTCGATAATTTTTCTTATATTACGATAATTTACAATAAATGATATCTTGTGAGTTGGAGATCGGATATGTTGATCTGAACTTGCGTATTTTATGATAGTAACGTCTCCGATAGATATCTCGATAATTCTCATGGTATTTAAGTTGAATAAGAGATGCGTATTCTTTTTGTTGACCAAAGATGGCAAAGAGAGGGTCAACAATGATGGGGTGTCTCAAAAAATTGCGAGAAATTTAGATGAGGTTATATGTGTCGAACTAAAAGTTGGAAACGTTTTGTGAATCAAGTTCGTATTCAATTAAATGAAAATCTGCGAGACCAAGGGCTACTCCTGCAAAGGAAAATGGAAAGAAAGTAGAACGAAAACCAGTGGAACGTCCTTAATCAATGGTGGAATAGAGTTGAACCAGTCGGATATAACACAAATTTGCCCTGTTATTTTCACACTAATACTTTAAATGATCTCTTTTACGTTTCAAAACAGCTTTGACTTTTGTTGGATACACGGCTGAACTAGTTTTGTCAGCATTACTGATTCAATTCTATTCCACGATTGATTAAGGACAGTCCATGGGACTGTTTTTTAAAATGATTATAATCCAACCACTTTTTGTTATAACAACAGTAAACTAATTCTTGCAAAGTTTTTTTGTGTGGGAAAAATCAGATTTAAAATCGGAAAAATAGTATATAACATCTACGGAAGTCACGTTTGCCGTCACAAATCATTCTGAGAGATGGAAACGAGTGAACGAGTGATGAAGGTGTGAAAGGAAGTCTGGTACTATTAACTGTACACAAGGAAATTAAAGATGGCCGCTGATGATGAAAGTGACAATGAATTAACTTCAGAAGAAGAAAGACTTGTGCTTGAATTTCAGGTTAGTTTGTTTTAATCTGTTAAGGTAGAGGAGAACGGTTGGATTTAGTCTACTCGAAAAGTTAAATTAACCCAGCTATTTGTTTTACAAGTGAGATTTATTTTGAGATTAATTTTATAAACAATTTTGCCTTATTTTGGCGCCTGGCTGAGTCTGGCTCTTGGCTTTTAGCCTGTTAAAAGCCACATGAAACAGTAAACTTTGTGAAATCAAATGGATTTAGAAGTAACCTTAAAGTTGTTTAAATTTAAAAGCACGCTAGGTCGAACTGTCGCATTAAGCAATGCAGTAATATATGAACAATTCCATGAGAATTAAATTATATTCTTAGTTTTATTTGGCCTATTAAACCGCCATAATGAAAACTAATTTAATATTTTCACTTTTATAAAGTGTAAAGTGAAAAGTAATTTCACTATTGTCATTGAATTTGTATTTTGCATTGGACATATGGAAGTTTAATTTTTATATCAATGTAGTTGATATATTCTCTAAACTAGATCCGTTCCAATATAACCAGGGAGCAGCATGGCAGCATCTTCAAACAACTTAGCATCAAATTAGTGGTATAACAACTTGCTTAAATAGACAAAAACACTTCTCAACGTTTCGACTTGAGGGCATTTGTCAGGAAAGTTAATGTGACTAATGAGAAGTGTTTTTGTCTATTTTAGGCAGTTGTTATACCACATTTGATTCTTAATCTAGGTATAATATATAGCAGTGTACTATCTACAAGTGGCAACAACCTACAACAATCCACCAATAGTTACATCAAACCTGTAATTATCAAACATTGAAGAAATAGATCCCAGTATCGCATTTGTGAGCCATTTCGTTGCATTTTCGTAAACCTTTGTACAATATAACACTACAATGTACATATTCTTAGGCCATTACTGGTAAAGAAGATTTTGAAGAATGTAAACAACTCCTGGCTCAACATCGTTGGGATCTGCAGATAGCAGTACAGGATGCATTGAACCTTGCTGAAGGCAGGGTGGATGTTTATCAAGACGAGCAAAGAGATGCTTCCACTGATAGTGATGTAGAGTATGTTGATTTTTTTTTATATGTTGGGATAATTTTCTTTTCCTGCCCTTTGCATTTAAATTGTCACTCTGACAAATAAAGATAGCCGCCCATATGGCAAATGTTGCACAAAAGTGCTTCAGAAAGGTGTAAAACTAAAACACTTGTTGCACATCTTGATTATATGATTCTGTCATATTTTTTATATATTCCCCTAGAGCATTATCCTACCAGAAAACATTTGGGGCCAGTTGTTCAAGCTAGCTTATACCAGCACAAACTCCAGGTTATATGTTAATCCTCTGGTTGATTTATGTGCTTTGCTGTTCCTTTTAAAACATTACAAAACAAAACTTTTAATTATTTAAAAAATATATGGGAAAGCATATTGAATTTTATAGAGAAGCAATTAGAAGAACTGTTGTAAAGATTTAATGTGTTAACCTGGCTTTTGAACAACCGTCTCCTGGTCATTTGCTTATTTAACTAAAATACTAACTTTAAGATTTGTTCCTTCGCTTGTTTGACGTTTTTGTTACACTTTACTTTTTCAGTAGAAAAAATATTTGAAACAAATAGATCTACCACTAAAAATGAATATGCTCCCAAGCTCTAGGAATTGGGTTGTGACTTGTGCCTATGGCTAGACTCTTACAAAATGCCTTGTTTTTAGGCTAATTGAAGATGAGCCTCCAGGCCCAATTAGGGAACCTGAACCAATGGTAAATATATTTTGTGAAGAAATATATCTTAATCTATTACTTTGCATTAAGATGTAAGGAATGGTTATTTAGACTGTTTGTTAAGAAATATGCGTTTTATGGGTGTTAATCAGCACCATCTTCTTTGCTAAAAACAATATCAACGAATTGCCCGGTTGAAAAACGTCAAAACACATCTAAGTTTTTGGTATGTATGTATGTTTTTACGAGTTTTTTTCTGATCTGTGTTTACAAGTTGTTTGTGATTATTTTTATGGTGTAATATTTCATGCACAAGTTTTTTCAGGCTAATCAAGTGAACTAATCATGTCAGCTTGTGACAAACTGTCCAAATATGATCACTGTTTATTTGCATTTGTTTTTTGGTGATGTTCGAACTCTTTGGCATCTTAGTTGCATTACAATGTAGATTATGTTGCTAAATATTCCACTGAATATTCATTTAGGGATTGTCAAACTGGATTTTATCATTGGTTGCATTTCCTTTTACATTCACATTATCAGTGATAACGGACCTCTACAGATATATAGGTATGTCAAATGGTACTACCTGAAATAATCTAAATAAAAAAGTTTTCTTAATTTTTTGACAAAAGGTCCTGAAACTAGGGTAAGAATGACCTTTGCTTTAGAAAATACCAGTTAAATCTTGTTTTAAGTTATTTAAACTGTAGTCAATACTGCAATATGGTGCCCTTATTTGAATTTTCTAAAACCTTCTCTTTACCTTGCAATATATTTCTCTGCTAAGTCAATATATTTTTAATGATTTTATTGTGTAGTTGATCTTGTTGGACGTTCTATTTTCGGAGGTAAGTACGTTTTGTAAAGTTATAAAGTAGAATCAATTCTGTTTTTTCTATCACCCACCAGTTCCCAAGTGGAGGTGCCTGGTGATGTGAAGCATCATGTTAGGCTTTAAATTGTAGTTCGAAACGTGATAATGGACGACTTGCGCTTTGGACTAATTTCTTACCTCGACGATAAAATGGACATTTTCTGAAAGAGCTTACTAAAATTACTAAAACTGCCAAGTGTGGCTGCAAATTGTTGTAAATTACGGAAAATATAGCCATGCGAAGTTGTCGATTTTTGTATACTTTTGTATTACGGCCCGAAGTTTGTAACTAATTTACGCAGTTACACATTTCCCCCCGTAATACAAAGTATACAAAATATGCCAACTTCGCATGGTTGTATTTTCCGTATTTTGCAAAATTTTCGAGCCAAACTTTGCATTTGCACTAATTTAAGTAAGATCTTTCTAGCCGTGATGATTTATTTTCTTCTAGTACAACTTTGATCAAGTCGTCCATTCTATAGGTTTAATTAGCTAAAGTCTTAATTTCGAGTTTCCATACACAACTTATTTCAAGCCAGGGACAGTTGAGAAAGATTAGTCAACTATCGGTCTTCCGGCATGAATCGAACCTACGCTTATGCGATGTCGGTACAGTGTTCTTGCCACTGACAATTGGTCATGAAAATGGTCATGTCTATCCTATATAGCTACATCGTCAAATGGTCATGTCTATCGTATATACATGGTCAAATGGTCATGTCTATCGTATATAGCTACATGGTCAAATGGTCATGTCTATCGTATATAGCTACATAGTCAAATGGTCATATCTATCGTATATAGCTACATGGTCAAATGGTCATGTCTATCGTATATACATGGTCAAATGGTCATGTCTATCGTATATAGCTACATGGTCAAATGGTCATGTCTATCGTATATAGCTACATGGTCAAATAGTCATGTCTATCGTATATACATGGTCAAATGGTCATGTCTATCGTATATAGCTACATGGTCAAATGGTCATGTCTATCGTATATAGCTACATGGTCAAATGGTCATGTCTATCGTATATATATAGCTACATAGTCAAATGGTCATGTCTATCGTATATAGCTACATAGTCAAATGGTCATATCTATCGTATATAGCTACATGGTCAAATGGTCATTTCTATCGTATATATATAAGACGCTGTTACACGGCGCAATTTTTCTTGTAAGTGTAAAAAACGTCCATGGATTGTAATAAACACAAATATTTCTAAGTTGCCAGATTCGTATCAACATAGTCTCTTGAAAGACAAATATAGCTGTCCTATCTTCTAGCGCACCACAAAGGCTCCTATTTTTCGCTTCCTATCCTTCCTTATCCTTCGCTTATTACTATTTTATCATTTTCTCTGAACGCAAGGGAAACTGGATGACAAAATAATAAGCAAAGGATAATAGAGGGACTGCGAGCAGTCTTATCAACACATTGGCCGCCATATTAGTTTGATATTAGTTTGACTCAACGTAAAACCTGCCCAAAATTTGTAACCTGCCCTAAATTAACACGTCTAATGACGATGACTATGCAGACCTAAATGTTTTTGGATGCATTTCATGAAAGCAGGAACGGGTTGACATTTTTCATGACCATTATTCTGAATACGTTTCTTGTTCCAGCCGATACAACTCCACTAGAAGATGTACTGAAATTTAAAGAAGAATTTGAAACCAAATATGGAAGGATTCATCCTACATTTTACCAAGGCAGTTATAGTCAGGCTATTGAGGACGCAAAAAGGGAGCTGAGATTTCTCTTAGTATATCTTCACTCCTCAGAACATAAAGATACTGAACAGTTTTGTAGGTAAGCCAGTACAAAAGTTTGAGGGTTTATTTTGGGGTCAAGTCGTCCCGGACTACCATTGGACCTGTGTGCAAAAGTTATTTTGTATAAGGAAATGATAACATCACATCTCGTCTAGATGCTATATTTGAGTCCATTCATATAGAGTTTTGGAAATCGCGGAAAAAGAAAAAGTGAAATATTAAAATGCAATTTGTGTTAGAATGCGGAGTAACCTTTAATTGGGAGGAAAAACAACTTCTCTTCCATACGGCTATTGCATGGTCAAGACTCAAGCGAACGTGCCTTCGGATTGTCTCAGTGCGGTGTTAATGTCGTTTTCCTATAGTTGAGGGAAATCAAACCGCAAGTTGATCTCTCACAAACATCCACGAATAGTATTTGTGGTAAAAAGGATTAGAGTGCGGCCTGCTATAGGATTTCTTGTTTTTATTACTGTAGGAAACTATTGTTGTAAGTCTATTCAATAAATTAAATTATGTTGATAGAACAACTTTGACCAACCAAGCATTTCAGGACTACATAAATGGCAACATGCTATTTTGGGCAGCTGATGTTCAGAGTCGCGAGGGATATAGGGGTACGTTATGGAATATAGATAATATAGATAATATACCACCTATTAACCGAATTTGAGGTCCGTACAAGAAAAATATCAGACCGAGGTCTTGACAGTACGGACCGAGCGATAGCGAGGTCCGTACATAAAAGACCGAGGTCTGATATTTTTCCAGTACGGATCGAACGTATTCGGTTGATAAGGGATTTATTATATGGCATACAGTATTTAGTTTATTTATTTATACAATGCGCTGCAGCATTCTTGCCGGCTCTTTCGCCAGCCAGTCGCCAAGCAAGCACTGAAGTGGCTTCCAAAACTTTGTTTTTAACTCGTTAAATAAGAATGATACAGTACTATAAACAAAAATCAAAGATGAATAAATGTAATATTCGCATGTACCAAATAATGCTCTTCTTCGTCCATTCTCCGTCGATATTTTTCGTGTCAAAAATAAAAGTGCAAGCTTGTTTATGTTCAAAAATATGAGAGTTGGACCGTTACTACGGCAACGCCAACGGTCTAATACTGGGGGGTTCCAGACCAGCAAAGAACCAATCAGCGCACGCCATTTTAGTCACGAGACCGCGTGCCATATAATAAAGTATAATAATACAGTATATATATAGCTATATACAGTTTGTCACAATCACAGCCTGCAATTGGAATCACGTTTACACATATTATAAACCACCACCAATCTTTCTTTCTGTACGACAGATATTATTCAGGTTTCAAGATGATCCATGCGTATGCACGAGGTCTACATTTGTCATCCAACATTCCCCTGATAATATACAATTTTTGTGTCTTATTCAGTGTCCTGGGCTCTTAGAGAAACCACGTATCCGTTTATGGCTCTGGTTTGTTTACGTGACAATAGAATGATGGTCGTAGGCAGATTACAAGGTGAACATTTGCTAATGCTTTTATATAAGTTTCCTACCTGGAAGATTTGTTGGAATTGGAAAATGTAAATTCAGTTTGCAAATACCATCCATTTAATTTCTGAATTCGTTTTCCCTTCCCCATCATGCGACTGAATTCGCGGAAGCTTGAGCGTAGAGAAGACGGAAGGCAGAAATCTTGGAAGTTGGCAGATTTGATAGTAATGGTTTTGTATTTTTCATCTTTACCATGCAGGTGCTATGGATGTAGATAGTTGTATGGCGAGACTAGCTCAGCTGATAAACGACAATGAAGCGGCATTAGTTGCAGCAAGAGCTGAACGGTAAAGTTGTTTCTCATTGGACAATTTCCATTTTTTCGTTTGTGACAGACAATGTTTTGGACAATTTCCATTTTTCCATTCTTCCCTCCCGGACTTTGGGAAATGAAGCAGTAGATTCACATGCATGAAAAATTATTTTGAATTTTGAAAAAATACGGAAATGCAAAGGTCGTGAAGCTAGTATGGCATGATTTGCAAGCCTCACTTTTATGCTAAGCGTATTTTGATGCTCTTTGTCGGTTGAAATAAAGAAAAAAATTGACGCATATTAAAACGTTTGGCCGCCATCTATAAAGATGAAAGAAAGACATCTAGTTTTCAAGCAACCTCGTCCTCAGTCTCTTCATTACCTCCGGTGAAGACTCTGGGTACGAGGTTGGTTTTCATGTTATGTTTTTATTCCAACATTGTCTTCGTTTTTCAGAGCGGAGAGGAGCTTTAATCAAACACTACGAGCAGAGCAGGATGCTGCGTATTTAGAGTCACTAAGAGCTGATCAAGAAAAGGTATAAATTATTATACACAAGCTAGCTCAGAGTGTTGTATACACTATCTATAGAAATACAAAACTTGTACGTTTCGTGGGGAAAGTTTTCCAACATAATGAAATGCTCTATTAGTTCTAAAATTACATCCAATATTGCGAGTGTAAACGGGCATTAAACTGTTCTGCCCACATGCCGGTTCAGTCAGGGTAACTCTACTGCTTATGCATGTGTTACACGTTGTCTAATGCAGTATGTGCCGCTTATTTCGCTCTTGTAGGATAGACGGAAAAATATAGAGGCCGAAACCAAACGTCTCGAAGAGGAAAGAAAAAGAGACAAGGAAGAGTCAATACAAAATAAAATTAAGGTAAAACAACACTTTGGCTCAATATATTCATATATGTACAAATATATAAATATCAACTAGAATTGCGAATTGTAAGTGAAATGTTGCGAGTGAATACTCGTAGTGTCTTTATCTTACCCCAGTCATTGCTTGGGTAGTCTTCATGATAGTAAAGGCAATATTGCGTGCCAAAAATTTGATCTTGTTTATATTATGATAAACGTATACATGCAATATTTCATCGCGGTTATGCTGATGAGAATTCTCTCCCGAGTTGAGATCGCACATCAGTTACATAAGTGCGAATATGAAGCATCACGCATTTGCATAGGATGACACCGCTGTTTTATGGTACGTGTGCTCAAAAATGACAGATTTCCATAAACCATAAAGTTAACGAATGCAGTACAATCACGTTATCAATATTTCCGTATTCACATTATTTCCAGCTGACAACATTTCTGACAACGTGTAAACCTCCACTGATCTGTTAAAGTAAAAAACCACTGAAAAAATTCTTACCCAAATTACCCATTCTTTTCTATCGACTCTCCGGATGTTCATTTATTCTGACTTCGTGTTTGTTTTGTGGTGGTGGTATATAGATCCTTACACTACTACCCTACTGTCCCTACACGTATAAAAATGTTTGATTACCAATTGGTTTTCACTTTTTTCTAGGAAATAGCCCGAAAAAGAGAAGAAGTTTCATCATCTCTCCCAATTGAACCAGAAAGTAATCATCCAGACGCTGTTGGAATCGTTGTACGTTTACCACACGGGGAAAGAATGGATAGACGCTTCCTCAAAACGGATAGCTTACAGGTAGGCTTTTTTAAACAGCACCAATGGATGATTTAAGATCCACAACGAAGCTCCTGCCATTCCTCTTTGATTTTCAAAGCCCGTGCATATAAACTAGTTTCAAAACAGGATTCCACAAGAGGTTTTTATTTTTTTATAGCAACGTTTTGAACAGTTTTACTGTCCGTCTTCAGGCTACAACTTGTTAAATGTTGACGTGTACATATTTTAGTTTGAAAATAAGCTTACGTATAAATATCGTGTAATTAGATGTACACGTCAATATTTAACAAGTTCATTGCTACTCTGAGTCGCCAACCGGGCAAGCTGAAAAATTAGCTTGACCACGGTGGGAATCAAACCCGCGACCTTTGTCTTTGCATTATCACTATTTAACAAGTTCACAGAATAGACATTATACTAGAAGTTTCACTCTTTGTATTTTGCTAAGTTTTCGTATCCGAAATTTTTCAGAAGCGCACGCGTCATTCTACGCAATTTTACGCCATCCTGGTGTGTGCAGGAACGTTGTACCCCCATGAAAAAGTTCCTGCACACACCAGGATTGCGTGAGCAAGACACAAATTGGATACTAAGCGCCATTATGCTTGCGTGTGTTTCCGTATTCGGCTTGCGTTAGGTGGCGTCACGCTCTCAAAAAATTTCGACGCCAAATGCAAAGAGTGAGGCTTCTGGTATAATGTCTATTTTGTGACAAGTTGTAGCCTGAAGACACAAACTAAAGATCATTCTTCCTCTGTGCTGAAGACGGACAGTTAAGCTGTTCGAAACGTTGGTAAAATAAAAACCTGAATCCTGTTTTGAAACTAAATTAAATTGTGTAATTAAAAAAATTATGTTTACATGGAAATGAAGAGATTTTTGAAGGAATTTAGATTGCATCAAGTTGTTGTATATTAAATTGTGGACCATGGCAAGGAAGTGACTGGTCCTGATAAACATTCCAGCGTAATCTTCTCTTCTCTTTAGATATGTTATAACTTGTATATAGCTGGGATGATTACTCATTGAATTTCTTTTTTTTCTTTACGTTACAGTCACTGTATGATTACGTTTTCTGCAATGAACAATGTCCTCATAAATTCAAACTGGTCTCGCACTTTCCACGTAAAGTTTTTGAACTTGCTGAAAATAGCGACGCCACGTTAGATGACGTAGGTCTGTCTACGTCAGCAACGCTATACGTCCACGACCTTACAGAGGAGAATAGCAGCGAAGAGGACTGAGTAGAGAAGGTATGAGGCTGATAGCTGTGAGAACTAAACTACAATGAAATCACGATCTCGTAAAAATCCACGAAATCATGGGCTTGGTATTCATTACTGGAATACAGGAATAATGTTGTTGGTCGATGGTGCTGTGGGATATGCGAAGTTGCAACCGCATCCAACCACCTTTCTGTTCGGTTTTAGGTTTTAGTACTTAATTTTTAGTTTGAATGGCCCGATTTATACTAGAGACGTTTAAAAGAACTACCCATTGAAATTTGTCTAAACGAACTATGCGGATATTAGTCTAGACGAACTATGCGGATATTAGTCTAGACGAACTATGCGGATATTAGTCTAGACGAACTATGCGGATAATTCGTGTTGACGGATGATCCGTCTGTTTGCTCGTGTTTTTATTTATACACAGACAAACTAGAAGGCGAACTGTCTTTTGCTTGCTTGGGCAAGACGGATGATCCGTCCCTAGTATAAACATAGGTAGCCCAACAATCGTATACGCGATCCTATTGGTCATGCAGCTTTGATCGTTTTGTGATGACGAATAGGATCGCGTATACGAGTTTTGAAACTGATGTTTTTGCACGGCAACAGGCATCTCGCATCGGGACACGACAAATTTTTCGCATATTTTCATTTTTTAATCGCGTTTCATTGCAAAAAAACGACGTACAAATTTAGTAAAACTACCCTACACTTAGGGGCTGTTATTTTTTGGCGTATTTTATTGAATAGATGTTAATATTTTGATCATATTTAAACGATGTATATTGAAAATAAAATATTCTTGCCAACCTTAGGTAATTATATACTATATATACGTGATCCGAGTGACGTACGTAATGCAGCGCGCGGTCAAAATGTATTGAGACTGGCAAGAGTGTCTTGTTTCATCAAAAACCTACCTATGGTATAAATGATAAATCGTGCCAATAATGAGATGCTTGGAGTTGTGCTACTCATTCTTAAATAAATACTAGCATATGACTAATGTTGTGATTTTGTTGCTTGGGAAAACTTGCATGTTGAAGTTAGTACCTCTGGCTTGAAACAGATCGGAAACAGCAGATCGGGAGGATAAGGTTCCGATATTGTTCTATGTGGTTTTTCGGACGAGTTGCAGCAAAATTTTCCGCCTAACAAGGCCTTTACGTAGTCACAAGAGGTAAAAATAAAATTTACAATTATTATTAATAAAGTGCTATTCGCTATACGTAGATAAAAGGTATTAATAAAGGAACGGTTTTTCGTTCGCTTTTAAAACCTGCAGAGTAAGGGACCGTTGGTAAGATATCTCTCTTAATGACCCCATCGAAGTTCTGCACGCTTAATACCGAGGTATGACTTATAAGTTATATCAGAGAGATCAGGGGAACCAGTCTATTCGCAAACTTTAAGGCATCAGTTAACAATAAATAACTTTTATTTAAACTTTGGCTGAAAATAACATACAAACTGTTTCTACTTATTAAAATTGTGCGTTGGTGAACACTTGAATACAGTCAGTTGGCGAACTGACTGAAACACCAGAAAATCGCTGGAAACGTAGCACTTTTTATGATTCTGTGGACACGGTCTTGAATTCATTAAAGAATCGGTTTGAGAAAAACCTACCTTTGCTCCAAGCTTTTTCGTTGTTCTCTCCAAGCCGTTTCCCACAACTTGTGAGGAATTTCAAAACCGCACATGATCTTCAAGCGTCCCTCAGCATTTTTTGTGTAACGTACAATATAGATGCGTTTAGATGTGCTGACGAATTGTGCAATTTCGCTCGTTTTTTTTAAAAATTCGACTTTTCAACTGTCTGCCAGCAAGAAAATGATGATGAGAAACAAAAGAAGAAATAAGTTCCATCTTTCTCTGAAGTTCTTTCACTTCTTTGTAACCCAGATTATAGTTTGGTTGATGCGTATCCAACTCTCTGTCGCGTTTATGCTATTTCTGTGGCCATCCCAGTCAGCTCGTCGACTGCAGAGCGTTCGTTCTCTGCACTCAAGAGGGTGAAGACTCGCATACTCTCATCAATGGTTCAGGAGAGACTTGAATCGTTGCATCGTTCAATGTCAATTGAGCGTAAAATTTTGCTCAAATGCAATAAAGAACATCTCATAAACTTGTACGCAGGGCTTTCTCCCGAACTGTCAAATGCTCTACTTTGACTTGAATTTGGTTGTCTTTTAAAACTGTACACGTGATATTATGTTTAATTTGCAGCTATAGCGTATACTTCTATAATTCTATTTCTATACGTTATTAGGAATTTGACCTGGAACAAAATTACGAATTGTCTCATTATCAGTATATCTGATAGCAAAAATTGTATTATAGCAGCCAAAGCCACATAAGGCAATAGCATATGAAGAAGAGATTTGACACAAAATACTGAACATAGAACTGTTCGGGTCAGTCCGGTGTGAGCGACTTCAACTGTCCCTGGTTTGAATTTGAAGTGTGTATAATTCCACTCGAAATTAAGACCCTTTATTAAAAGAGCTTGAAGCTGAAAAGAGCGTACCAAAATTAGTAAAAATGTAAAATTTGTTTGCGAAATGTCGTAAAATTTGCAAATATAGCCTTGCAAAGTTTGCAAATTTGTATACTTTTGTTCCGACATTCGAGCCGAAAATGGTAAAATTTTATTAAGTTTTTTTTATAGCCGTGTCGTCGTCTCGTTGCTCGCTGCGTCTGTGAGAGCAACGGCATCACACGAAAGGATCAACCCATATGCTAATATAATCTCAAGGATCAGTATTTATGCGAATTTGGGCTAGAAGATTATGAGCATGCGCAATTGGAAGGCTTTTCGCCGGAGAAGGCTGTAGTGGCAAGATGGCCGAAGATGGCGAACGAATAATGCAAGACGATTTAGGCTCCCAGGATGGGAAGGGGGACGCTAGAAGCGACGGTGTGCTATTTATTTGGACTTTAACATCCAATCTACTTTTAAAAGTGCTTTACCACGTTGCGCGACCTTTATTTTCTTATATATTTGAATTTTTTTCAGACGCCGGTCGCTTCTCTGGTTACAGCGACAACAAAGAGTTATCGTCAAAATCGCTTAAAATCCAAAACAAAGTGTATTATATGGACGTAAAGGAAAACCGGCGAGGTCGTTTTTTGAAAATAACGGAGGTAGATCGTTCAGCTATTGCCTTGTACATCGATTTTAGTCTAAATTAACTCCACAACTTTGCATCGAAATCTATAAGTTACAAAGGTTAAATATTTACCGTGTATAAGTATATATAAATGCATTCAAAGTGTTGACCTAGAGTCTTTTTAAGATATCTTTAACCACGACAAATCGCTTGGAAATCAAACATTCCATATTAAGCTTTCGTATTTGTGGAATTTCTACAATTTCTTTTGCAAACATTAAAGGTAATGTACTTTGAGAACTTAAATATTGCAAAGCGTTTCGAGTGGCGATGAAATGATTATTAATTGTAATAATACAATGTATAGCGTATAGTCGGTGTTATGGTTTGAAATATAGACTATAAATATGAAACTGAATTTAAAAAAATCTCTTATCAAGTAGACTAAGTACAAATTATATGGAAAGTTTGAAAACGATCGTATAATACTATTGCTGCCATTATCTTGTGATTAAAGGTCGAAAATCAAAACGGAGTGTGAGAAATTTTACTACTTATGTAGATATATTTTTTAATCAATTTCTACGTGCACCGTAGAAAGCAGGCTATGATATCAAATTTCAGTTGTGATTTAGCTTTACTTTTACAAAATATTGCTCTTTTATAAATGCAGTATCTCTTTGTCATATTGCACAATGATGAACCTTATCAATTATTTACACTGACATTGTATGTTTATATGGACGTGTTAAAAGTCATTGTCCAACTGGCCTGTGTTGATAAAATCTTTTTTGATTTAAGTGTATTTATCACAGGTGTAATACAGCGAAGATTCAATTTTCTTTGCTAACCTGTTTAGCTTGCTAACCAAATTACTTCCCAAAATTTACTGATAAAATTGTAGAGAATGTTCTATAGGTAATTGAAACCAGATTGCATATTTTAATGGTTGATTACCAAGAATGGTGGACAACTATGGCTTTCAGAATTGTTTTAACCTGGCAGTTACTATTGGAATGTAGCTTGTAGTGTGTGAATCTGTATATGTGTGCATTTAGTGGATTTTCTATAATTTGCATGTAAAGCATTTTTAAGTCGCTTGATTGCATTTAATAATTATTGTCATGATACAGACATAATACAACAAAGACAGTTGTAGGTGAAGTTTGCTTGCTGTGTAACAATTAAATATTGCAGAAACAAAAACTGAAATACCCTTTGTTTAGGCTGAAATTTGAATTATATATATGAAAAACTTTACTATAGATACCACCAAACCGGATGAAAAATCGTTTAATGATTCCCATGTCATTTGTTCCTGAAATGAAAGACAAGATGACTGACTTTGCTGAATTTTATGCCTCACTTGGTAAGTGCTATATTCCTTTGAGGGCTTGTATTATCTGACGTATTACCCCTAGATTGTATTTAGAGATGAGAGTCTGACTTTAGAACCTCAAAGTTACAGGTAGATAAATTAGACTGGAAAAAACCTGACTGACTGACACCAAACATACAGTGAATCCCCTGACTGTACAGTATCTCTCTTGATTTCTCTTACAGTACTTTTGGGGCCAGTTGTTCAAAAGCCAGTTAGCTTAACCCTAGGTTAACACAAATTTTTACATAAGTTTTTTTAATTGCTCGGTTATGCAGTTGAACATGTTTTCCCATGAATATTTTGTGCATTAATAGAACTCCTATTTTGCAAAATGAAATTTAACATGGGGTTAGCTCGCTAATTTACTGTAGCTTTGAACAACCGGCCCCCAAAGTCCTATTCCCCTGACTATCTCTTTGACTACTTCTAGCTATTCTGCTGACTATGCCTCTAACTATATCTCCAACTATATATTTGTCTATACCAGGGCCTTTTTTAAGAAATTTCGAGTGGGTGGGCCATTGGCAAAAAAGGGCTTCCCCACTAGCGGAAAGAAGTAGGAATGTCGATTATGGCCGAAAGCTAGGGGGCACCCAGGAGATTTTTGAAATCAGTATAGTCAAGAAACGCCATTTCCTATATTCTGAGCCTTCAAATTTATTCTAAAAACTGTATTTGTATCTCAGAAAAAAATATGGAAAACGCACAAAAAATACAAAGTTAACTTACGTCTTACCAAAAGTAATATCAAAGGTACAACATGTGTGTCAATATCAACAGGGAGTAATGAAGTGTATATTTGACAGTTTAGTGTATTTTCCAGTCTGAAGAATATTTTCTTTAAACTGGATAATCTCTGTACACTCAAATATCCATGTATATTTGTAAAGGTAAAGATGCATTTGAAATATTGTACATTACAACAGAAAAATGATTGATCATTGATGAATCTATTTGTCTATTTAAGCCGTTTTCATGCTCGACTGTCTCGACAAATAACATTCGTCGAATTACATTCAACAAAGTTTGGGTTACAGAATACAAGAGTGCTAATAGTAATACACTGTCGCAGAGCTAAATTATTCAATATTCTTCATTTTTGTTAAAAAGGGGATTTTCACTGGGGGGGCCAAAATAGTGAACTGGGGGGGCCAACATGGAGGGTGGGGGGGCCTTGGCCCCCCCAGTATATATGTTAAAAAAGGCCCTGGTCTATACGATGAACAAGTCACATGAATTCCCAAGTCAAGTCAATAGACCTTTTTGATAATTACAGGTTATATGCAAAGATGCAAAACATTCCTGAACACATTGATGAAAAAAATTTTTCATTTTGACAAATTAGTGTAGAAATAAGCCATAAGACAAGAATGAGGCTCCCAGTCTTTGCTGTTAGTCTCATCCTGGTATTATGGCCTATTTCCACATTTTGGTCAAAATTGAAAACTCTTTTTTGATACAAAAAAGATGTTTTGCATCTTTGCATGTTGCTTGTGAGAGTAAAACTTACAATCCATCTCATGGTGTTTTTCATTTTAAAATAATATTATTGTGACATACAGTAATTATCGGAAAGGTCTATTTATTGCTACTTGTAAATGCTGCAACCATGCTTAGTCTCCAATATGAAGGGTGATTTTGTCTTTAAATATAGATCCTTCTGGGGAAAATGCTGGAAATGATGACGGTAATGCTCACAAACTTTTAAATGCTTTCTAAATCAGGTTGCTCTTGTTTCATACCATACCATACCATATCTTACCATACCATATCTTACCATACCATCCATATCTTACCATACCATACCATACTATACCATACTATAACATACTGTATCACACAATTTAAACTAAGAGGTCTGGTAAAATGTAATTAGCCTTTCTCATAATGATGACTGACTAATATTTTCAGGGCTGTTTTCAATTTACCTAAACCTAGGTTTTAACAATTGCAATTCAGAGAATAAATTTCACTAAAAATTTGAAGAGTTACTGCCATTTCTAGTATTAACATCAAAGGCGTAAAATCAAAATGTAACCTAGAGTAGGGGCCATATTCTTTATCGTGAGGATTCAAAGGCTAATTGATAAATTGTGGTGAATTCAAACTAACACTGGTTCCTTTTTTCAGATCAGCCAGGAAAACCACTTAAAAGGTAAAAAAATGCACAATAGTGATTTAATATGAGCTCTTATTACATGCTAGACAGAATAAAAAACACTTTCAAGAGGCAGCAACTCGATAATTCAGCGTATGTTTAGATGGCACCGGATTGCTATTGGAACTAGTCAAATTTCGTGAATATCAAAAGGAAAAAAAGCTGAATAATGTCTGAGACTTGAATAGATATACCAAATCTCAAAAATATGGAAACCCAGGGACATAGTTCCCAGAATATTTTTTGATTTTGCAGAACATTTTCCTAAAATTATTTGAACAGTTTGAAATAACTCTGGTGAACTGATCTCTCTGGTGATTATTGCATGGTACTAATTGGTAGTTGGTAGTACTCACGATAATTGGTAGTACTCATGATATTTATATTATACAAAGGCCCAGTCTATAGTCATCGCAGTTCGATGATACGTCAGCTAGGGTAAATAATGCATGTAACTGATTTAAGGCAAAGTTAGTCTTTATTAATTGTTTGCACTATTTCTATGTACATATGTAGTCTTATGAGTTATGTGAATAGTCTGTGGGTAGTCTGTGATCATAGGTGAAAAAATCATTATCCTGGAATTTAAAATGGAACTCCGATACGTATCTACTTTAACAGCAATTATATTTCCCAAAAAAAAAACTATTCTAGATCAATAACAGATCTTTTAATTTTCAGTGCATGTTAACTGTTAAAGGTCTTAAAAGCAAATTAGTTTATAAGTCTTGAAATAATGCATGAAATCTTGCGGACGTTATGCCAAAAATGTTTATCCTACATTTTCGAAATATTCCACTGAATATAGAGTGCAGTAAAAACACCATAAAATGTTGCTTTTTATTTCAGTGATCAAATGAATCGCAACAACAGACGTTATCATTTCGACCTGAAACAGAACAAACGTGGATATTTTCTCAAAGTGAGTTTCTACGATATTTAGCAATATTAGGAAAAAGTATTATTTACAGGGAATCTGTTTTACAGCTGTATTTTTTAGACATTTTTTTCCTCGTTAATGCATTTTAGCATTTGATTTAAGTTCTTTCTGATTAGTTCGTGTAAATAATTTAACGAAAATCTGTGGTTATAGGTTGTCCAGCCTGTCTGGACCTCCAGTCAAAATAGCAACAGACTGGCCATTCCTGCGCAAGGAATTGCGGATATAAGAAATTCCCTCGCTGAAATAGTCGATGAATTTGGAATAGATGAAGGTATGGAAACTTCAGTATACTTAATGACGTATATCCTTTATTAGAATTCCAATTTATTGATGATAGAAAAACTATTAAATATTAGTAATAAACGTCATATTGGTACATTCAGAATCACTCTAGACTGCGAGATATGTTGCTAGAGCCTACAAGATTATTAGTTTTCAATTCTAGACGAAGACGAGTTGAACCTGCCCGAAGCAAAGGAAGTTCGTGTTGAACAGAAGAGATTCTATTTTGATGTTGGAAATAACAACCGTGGTGTGTTCTTAAGACTTTCAGAGGTATGAGAGGTGCCATAAAGTCGCCAGTAAAGAGGTGCCGTAATGTTCTGTAAATCACTCCAGAATACACTTTTGATATACGCCAATTGAAACTTTGAATTTTCGACATGTTTCTGAAGTTATCATAAAATAGTTTTTTAGGATAGTAAACAACCAACGTGGGTCATAGTAAGCGTTGAATTGTAATAGTTTTTTTCTCAATATGCGGAGAGGCAGCTATGAAACGCTATTTTCACGATAGTTTGGCTTCCCTTTTATACTTTGTACACCAGTTGTATAGACACATATCATTTAAATACTCTCGTATTTTTGTTTAAAGGTAACTAATAATTACCGATGCTGCGTTACGATCCCGCGTCGAGGCTGGGAAAGAATGAGAGACACCCTCAGTAAGTAAAAATTACTTCAATTTACGAACGTAGCAATACGCGTCGGCAGTTTTCTCTGCTTCGTGGGAATAAGCGGTAGCCTTCTATCCCATCTCGGTCTCACTGTACGGAGGACGTGAACGTCAAAGATGCCACGGAGATATATGGAGATGTCACGCCATTTATTCGCCATCTTCACGTATAAAATCTGTATAAAATCTCAATCACGTTGCACACGTACGATCACATCACATAATATAGTTTAGATCAGGCCTTTCCAGATTGCCTCTACAGTTTTTAGGGCATGACAAATTAAACACCAATCCTTTTGGGGGGACAACGCTTCTTGCCGTCTCTTGCTGTTACCTTTTGACAGGGTAACATCGTGTGGACAATTGTCACAGCAAATTACGGTAGTAAATTATGGACACAATACGAAAATATGCTCCACACAGTAAAAAATCGTTTTCATAATGAGAAAAATAGATTTCTTGTTTTTAGAAAAATATATCTTATATTAAGAAAAGACAAGAAATTTTTTAGCACTCCTTTTCTAGAAATAAGAAATTATAATGTCTGAATTAGATAAAATTACACCTGAAATAAGAAAATATTTTTTTACATATAAGAAAAAAAATCTTATTTCAAGAAAAACATCCTTGTTTTGAGAATAAATTTCTTCAAATTAGACAATTTTGACTATTAAAAATAGCTGAAAATCCTTAGTATTAATGTATGCTTTTATATAAGTAATAATATACATGGATAATTTACCTACAAAAGTTTAAAATACATCTTATATGACTTTAACATGCTGATACAAGCTAAACCGATGTCCTGTGGCACTTGAGTGTCTTTGAAAGTTATAACTTGCAGGACTGTTGATTCTACCTACATATGTTCGATCTATGAAAAATGTTTACCATTTGTTTGCTCTCTGTGACAGATGAATTATGTGATAAACTACCCGAAGACGAGGAACACAGACACGGTGAAGACCACGACTAAATGGAAGAATTTGTTGTGTTAATGAATGAGTTGGCTGGGGCCCTTATTGGTTTGTTTATTGTGGGCTGTTAGACATGTTACCGACGTTTAGTTTGAGTGTGAGTTCACTGGGATAGGAATATTTAATGGTTCTTTTCAGGTCTTACCCTCAATGATTTGGAATTTGCGGCACTATAAATTTGATAAAAAATTTTTGGTATTATAGTTGAGGGTCCATTTTGTTGCACATAATAAAAATTTTATCTTTCCTTTTTTTAAGACCTTATCCATAGTCTAGAGGCATAATTTAGTTTTTGGATTAACCTTTGTCATATCCAATGACTTCGAGACTTCTTGCATGTGGTCGCAGAACTTGATGAAACTGTCGAATATTTCAAATTATATCGCTAGCATTCGATTGAAATATTCTCTCTGACAAGCTTTTCGTGGCCTTCTAACGATTGGTAAAAGATTCATCCAATCGATTTATAACTTAAAAAAAACCCCCGCTGAAGTCCACAATACAAGGATTTGATCTCACACTCGATCTAAATCGTCGCATAACTGTGCCGGTTCGGCAATCTGAGGGAAAGGTTTCCCTTGTTTCTCTCCTTTGACCAGTTTGGTGTATTGATGTATTCGAACGGTGTTGATTATGTTAGATCATAGTTAACCAAGGTATGGTCTGCAAAAAGCTTTTCTATTGAATCATCATCTCTAACTAACACTGAGGACTTACATTTAAATTGATTTTATACCATTTCGGGGATGATACAGTTGACAGTATAGGTAAAAGTGTGAGCCTAAAGAACTACGAGATGTAGCCTGAAATCCTTGGCTTTGAGCTTCTGACATGCAATATGTAGGTTTTTCGGAAGACGTCCTCGACCATCGGTGCGACCAAAGTTAGATGTGGTTGTAAATGGAGAACTATGTAGATGAAAATGGTATTGAAAAGGATTACTGAAATGCACGTTTGGCATGATCACTGAAGACAGTGAAAACACTTTGCAGATCACACTTTGATTGATTATGATTAGAATAAGATGGGTTGCGTAATATTCAGGATATTAATAACGTGTTTTTATTCACACGCTGTTTTATTGATTTTCTGCATCAACTAGAACAGTATTTTAACTTTCAATTCAATATAATATTATTACAGTAATGTAGGTTAAACAGCTCTTTGTGGAGCAAAGGCAAAAATTCATTCACCAATAAAAATATTTCTGTCTGTTTGAGTAATATTAAAATAAATGTGCAAAAAATCATAAATGTTCGTCTGACCATTCCGTCCACTGTAAATCTGGCTGTGTTACGCCAACACCAAAATGGCGTAGAAATTTTGTTCTCATCTGATCGGTAAGTTTGTTTACATTGTGAAATAAGTGAATGACCTAATAAACTATTAATAGCCTTTCACCCCAACTTGCAATGCTCTCCCGAGTTTTAATGTTTTTCTGATTGAAATTATTTCATTTAACATCCTTCCAAAAAAGAATGAAGTAAAATTAAAAAGCTGTGGTGAAGACGGTGATATACCAAATTGAAAAATTTCCCACTTTCAAAAAATTCAACTTTACTTACCTTATTTTTTCAAATTTTACATTTACATTTGTTATTTTTTGAAACTTTTCTCGAGACTGAAAAAATTACATTTACATCTGTTATTTTTTGAAACTGTTCACACTACACACAATTTATTGGCACACCACAGCTAAAATTCATACCTATACCCAATATATGGCTAGGAGTGTCACCTACTAGAGTAAAACAAATAATGCGCAGAGACATGTACGCTAACAAACCTATTTTTTTAGAGGGAGTTTGTCTTGGGCACTGTGTCACGTAGTGGCCAAAGACCAATACTTTTTTTAAGAGACTTTTGAAAATTTTGAGTTGTGTACAGTGATGATTTTAAGAGATTTTACAAAGTATTGTAATAGGAAATCCCAGAGTAATCTCTAATGCCGAAAAAATAGATTACAATTAGCAGTGCGGGGGAATCCTAGCCTTTCCTGCAATCTGATTGGCTGTAGCAGATTTGTAGCAGTTTCCTGCTAATTGGTAAAAAAATACCGGCTGCGAGGTTTTGATGGAAAAATATTTTCTCGAAATATCAAAAACGTGTGCAGCTCAGGTCGTAATAGGTTATAATAAAAAACCGTCATGCCAAAATTCAAACCACGGACTTAACACTTGGGAGACTATTGTGTTCGCCACTAGACCACGAGACCTTGTGCGTCCAGGCCAAGGTTATTCAATTTACTTGGTTATAATGAAAATCGGATATTCTTGGATTCGTACCATCGACTTCCATTTGGGAGACCATTGTTTTCGCCAATAGACCGTTAGTGCCGAAGAACAAAGGGCATGTTTAGTTTATTTCACCTCTTTTCAAATCTTTTCTTTAAGTTCACAGTGAAGAACATTTCCCCCATGCAGGATTGGAAACACCAACTTACCACAGTTGGAAGACTTATTTTTTCTTCACTAGACCAGCGACTCTTGAGCTCGCAGACTATTCTTCTGTTATTTTACCTAAATCTTTTCTTGATTTCAAAAGTGGTAATGAAATAACAGAAATCTTGACGAGGAACTCTTTAGCGAAGATAATTTAATTTAACCTAAAATCGATTTCATAATACACTAACTAATAAGATTCACCTAAAACATATTTACTAATTTCTACAAGTTTACAATGATCGAACAAATGTTTCTGGTCCGACTTTCGTAATTCTTGCAACCACAAAAGGTTGGTGGTAAAAATTTCTGGACCATCAGACCCTCCTTCACTGTTCACCCTCTCCAGGTCACTATTCTCTATAAGGATTTTCATTATACCTAAGCTAATGACAGTTATATAGAGCACAGTATAAGCAGAATCCTGTGGTAGATTGTCATTGCTGTTTGCAATATGATTTCTAACAAAATTCTTTATAATAATAAAAAGTTCAGAAATTGGTTCGGTTATACTATTTGCACCATTGGCGTTCACAACCCAATCGAAGAATTCTTGAAAAATAGTTTCCGCCAATATACAATCTTCGCGATGCGTGTTCACGGGTCCTTTTTCGAATAGTTTGTCAATATTTTTCATATCGTCATAAGCTGTGTCTTCAAAAACGTCGGAAGTAATATCAGTCTGTGTTTGGTCCATGAGATCAAGTAACCACTGCAAGGTCATTACAGGATGTCGTACCCAAAATAATTCCAACGGTGTCCTGACGGCAAATCGTAAAGCCAATGCACTATGCACACTGTAGTTCTTTGAATTATCTATTGTAAATGATTTAAATAATTAATATAGGTGCATGTGACTTACAAGTAATTATCAGGGAAATTATACTAATCTTAACATTATATTTTATATTCTCACGTGAAAGTTACATCCGAAACGCAAAACTTATAAAAAGTATTTTTTTGCAATACCTTGTGCAAAAGACGGTAAGATATTTAGCAAGCCACTTGCCATCGACTGCTTCACCTCAACAGAGTCATCGATCAACAAATAAATAAGAACTTTCCAAATCCGAAATGTTTGATTTTCTAATAAGACAAAGACGATACATAAATTGTTAGAGAAGAACATGTAAGCCCAGTTTACACTACACGCAATTTATTTAACTAAACAAAGGCCAAGCAGAGATAAAATGGGCACGGATACCCATTTTAGCCGCGCCGTGCCAATAAATCGAGTGTAGTGTAAACGAGGCTGCATAAGAACTTTCGCTTTTTAAATATGCATGCTTTTCACTGTGGGGGAGGATGCTTTAGAATAGATAGGACAAAAAAATTTAAAAATGCAATAAATAATGTCCGGCATTTTTTAGGAAATTAGAGAGCTGCCATAGAATTTTGAATAGCTTCTAATCGAATTTTGTTTACACGATTGTTGAATTACAACAAATTCACCCACACCCCACCTTACATGCCTAATTAGAAAGGGAGTGTATTATCTTGACCCTGGCGCGAAGCAGAGCTACGAGCGACAAAAAAAAAACTATAAAATGTTCACCGGACACGATTGAGCTTTCAATATTCTGCAAAGCAGAAACCTCTAGTGTGCGTTGGCATTTAACCAATCAATTTAACCAATTTGAACTTATGTTAAAAAAACACCAAATGGACGATTGCTACTTCTATTATTGCACTACTTAAAAGGGATCGCATGCAGTACATTCTTAGGATTAGAAAAGCAAGAAAATACTCACCATATCCAAGAAGAGGTTCAACCAAAATAAATGTAACATTTCCAGAGCCAAGCACCTGAGCAACAGCCAATCTTAAAATTTCATCCTCCTCATTTTCAGTGCACATTTCAATAAATGAAACCAAATCTTTTACCATTTGACCAAAATCTTCATTTTGGCTCTACATAAGAACGGATTGTTAAAAGTTTTTTTGGAATTTTAATTACAGAGTGAAATCTATAACATGCACGATTACAGAACCCCTATTATCCTTTCATATACCACAAGCCCACTACCTCGGGGTGATCACTGAAGGGACGTTTTACTTTTTGAAGATCGTTTACAAGAAAAAGAAAGAAAAGCGGGAAAAAGGATGCCTTAAAAGGAAAAAACAGATACTCCATCAAAGCACAACCATCTTAACTGTATAAACATAGGATTTAAGCTTGGGAAGAGACTGCAAGTTTATAGCGTCAGTGATATTTCGACTCTATTTCAAAGTATGATATCACAATGACTCTGGTTTGACAATGACACTTTCACGGTAAACGTCTGTTCTTCGGAGTACATGTCTGCTGGTATTAAATGGTTTTTTAACGAAAGAATACCTTGTTCAAGGTCTCTTGACGAATTCCACTAATAAGAACGCAGGAGAAATGCAGAAGTGAACACATAACATCTGATCTAAAATAAAGTCACCAAGTAGTTGAGTTGCCTCAGATAACGTTATACCTGTTACCTGAAATCGTACTGCTATTTATTCGATTTAGAATCGGGCTGTCGGGATTATTATTACAGTTTAATTAAAATTAAAATTCTAAAATTTACTGCTAAATTAATCGTTTTTTTATATAGATAGTTTTTTTTCATAATTTCTGTAAACTTAAATTCTTTAAATTCAATCATTGACTAACCTGTGATTCATGGTCTTGAAAGATTGCACAATGTTACTCCAGGCCTTAAGAAATAGCAATAATACACTGATATGAAGCTGTTCCACGGTTGTGAACATGGCGAAAACATTTAAATAATAATTTACCTCGTGAAATTCCACCACACGATTGGAATTTAGTGCCCATGGAAACCTCAATGACTGAGCCACAAGGGAAAGGCATTTATACAGCTACAACAAAAAATAAACAATCTACCTATACTATAGGATGAAAAATATGATACCCTAATGCGACCAGACCCAAATATAGGAGGACTAGATTGCTCAATTAGATCTAGCCTGTCTAGCAATGGACGACTTGCGCTTCAAACTAACTTTTGATCGAAGTAACTAGAGGAAAATAAATCACCCTAGCTAGAAAGATCTTACTTAAATTAGTAATACTGCCAAGTTTGACTGCGAATTGTTGTAAAATACGAAAAATATAGCCATGCGAAGTTGGCAAATTTTGTATACTTTTGTATTACGTGCGGAAATGTGTGACTAAGTTAGTTACAAACTTCCGGTCGTAATACAAAAGTATACAAAAATCGACAACTTCGCATGGCTATATTTTCCGTATTTTACAACAATTCGCAGTCGAACTTGGCAGTATTACTTATTTTAGTAAGCTCTTTCAGAAAATGTCCTTTTTATCGCCGAGGTAAGAAATTAGTCTAAAGCGCAAGTCGTCCATTTGGAATGTACCAGTAGCACTCTAATCAACACGTTCGAATCACCCTCATTGTAATAACACTCACCCCAGACGTTTTAACTCTGACATTACGAATTTTACCACATCACTAGTGACCTAGGCAGTGAAAACAATACTTACCATCGCTAAGCATTCTCCTTTCATTTTGGAATCGAGCATGTGTATCAGCAAACCATTTACAATTACATCGCTGTTTTCTTTGCCCAATAACATTCCAGTATCTTTTGAAAATAGTTTGTATAAGACTTCCAATGCAACAATTTTCACTTCGTACGCCGGCATGGACAAAAATGCCATAATACGGGAAACAACTTTTTTTCTTGACATGCGGTCATGTGTTAACGAACTGTTATAATGAGGATGTAACGCAATTCGAGCAATCTCTTCTTCAACAAGCGTTCTCCCAGTGGGAAAGATCACTTTTGTCACGTTTTCATTCCATAAAACTTCCTCAATAGCTGTCTCAAGTGAAGGGAGGAAAGCCTCTGAAATGTCCGAGTCGAGTTGGTCTGTGTGTGATTCACTAGAAAACCAGGTTTGATCATCTATAAACAAGCGTACGATGGAGAGAAACACAGCCCGGCTAATATCACATTGATTATGTCTAGAAGAAAAATAATGACATTGCAAATTTATTTAAGACATCTTTCTTCATATAGGGAAACTTTTCTTTAATGAAAATAGTAATGATGAAAACCTAATTAATTTTTAATCATATTTCGAAGTTTGGACTATGTTTTCCAGTCATGCATGCATAGGAAATTATTTAAGACCTTCTGTATTTAGATCTACTATGTTCCCCTGTCGTCTCTTTAAGCGAGATTTCTATATAGCATTTTCTTAGTAATTGTTTTGGTGAATATCAAGATTGGTGAATATGTACCCTGTAGACCTTATTGTCAAAAGGGTGTTTATAAGAAGTCCACGCTGGGTGTAGTGAAAATGTTATGCTGGGAGTATGAAACTTTCAAAATAATTCGACCCATTCCAGTAAGGTGCGACTATTAACGGGATATTTTGGGAGCAACGATCAGTGAATATAATTTGCCTTATTATATTTTATTTTAAGCATACTTAATTAATATTATATTTTAAGCATACTTTGATGCGAGCCAAATAGGTTTCGCTAACAATGGAGCGATGGTCGTGAAAATGTCTTTTTTAGTTCGGTTTGAAAGAGACATATTAACAGAAGCGCCGTGTAAAAGTTCTCTTATCTAAAAGAAAATAGTAATTGCTAAAACATAATTTATAAAAAACAAGCATGGATTCATCTATAATCTATTGAAAAAATGAAAATTCACCTTTAACAATCTTGTGGATTCACTGCACATGCACAGAACCCACTGAAACCTCAAAAATTACTTGTGTTACTGACAGCCAGGCGCACAATCCCGAAACCAGAGCCCGCTTCCCCCTATGGATCGCGGGCTCTGGTTTCGAAATTGCAGGCGCACACAACTCTTGTACGACAAAAATTGCCGCCTTTGCGTCTGGCTCAATACCAAACCCGATTTACTAGGATTGGATCTAATTTATTGTTTGCTTTGTAAATAGAAGTTTTGTTGAGTTTTGACAAAACCTCACCTGCAACAGACAACCATGGAGATGATTCTGTTTTATCCTTCGAAAAAATGGAATACAGTATAAAATATAGTAAATTTGTAATATAGTCCTAAAATATAGTAAATAAATATAGTATAAATAGTCCTAAAATATAGTAAATTTGTGAAATAACGACTGTGGACGAGTCCGCATACATCATATATCAGAGAAGAATATAAAATCCGAGACGTCGTTTCGCCACGGCTTTCTGGAAAATTTGTTTAGTTAATGTAGATCGATTATCTTAGAATTTTGGGAAGAAAATTTTCAGAAAAATCGAATACGAAATTGTTGCACCGTGTACACCAAGCGTTATTATAATAATCACGTTGTAGAAGTATTTGCAGCGGGCATTCCTCTGGAAACATAATTTACGTCATGTTACCTAAAATATGTTACACCAACCTTTCTTCTGGTGTTTCTGGTAAACTTTGAACGAGATCTTTCACCACATCTTGTAAGGCCGCGCCTGACACGAGAGGTACAATTGCGCGTGCCGCTATAGCACGAGTTTTTAGAACACAACTCCTTGAGCACCTGAAAAGGAAGAAAATGCAATGACTATCGTTCCCTGTTTCAAATTGTTGGTTAACTCGGCCGTTAGTCATCGCGTCGCTGAGTATATAGGTAACACAGAAAACAGACAAGTAAGCCCAGACAGTGGAAAATGTGAAATTCTATATTTGAGTCGGAATTACGCATAGTACGAATGTGTTTCGCCATCTTCCTAACCAGCCGATGTCATTCTTTGGCAAATAAACACGCTATACTGGGGCAGTTGCCGCGCCTACTAGCCAGTTTATTACATATTTTTCTATAAAGAAATTAGCACACTTTACACCACCGAATGGCCATTCAAGCTATGTCATTATTTTATGCCTACACGGGAAAACTGGCCGGGACTACAGTAATCTTTTTACAAAGAACAATGCATGCATGGTTGTGCCCGTAGTTCTTTCGAGTTTTAGTCTGTACGCAGCCAGCTAAGCAGGTGCCTCACGAGACGCTGCTAAAATTCGTGAAAAGTTGGAATACAAATGGCATTTTTTCAAACCTTGCACGCAACAAGATACACATTTTTTATCCGTTTTTCAAACACTCACCTTAAAACATATGGTATAAAAGCGGCCATATTAAGAGTGGAGTCATTGCCATCCATTGCTGAAGGATGAAGACGAGACAAGAGAAGAAGAACTGGGTAAAGACTTGGATGCAAATGCACAGATGAAATGCTCTCACTAAGAAACGAAAAGTGAGCATTTAGATCTCGAATGTGTGATTGAGGATAATATATCACCGAACGATTACAATTAAGGGGTAATGTGCTTTAAAGTGCATAATAATCATTGATAATAAGTTAATATTAGCGGCTTATTTCGTGAACTGAAAATTTTAGAATGTATATATCATGTTTTCATGTGTTTTGATAAAAAAATAATATCTTTTTCCTGCTGATATGCAGTTACACAAACAATGGACATTGTGATGAGAAAACGATAAATTGTGTGGAAACACAACGCCCGTGTGGCGGTTTTTTTTTCCCAAATTCAAACGAGGGCCGGTCGAGGGGGTCGGCGTTAGATCATATCGAACTAACGTACATGACTTCATAAAATTTTCAATAACCCTAACCCTAACCGTAATTAAGGTAAAGCCAGAGATACTATTACATAAGTATATGATCACTCCTATACTGGGTATGAGGGTAACAGACATTTACACTTTCGTGTACATTTATAAATGTATCATCATTCATTAAGACTTCTGTTATTATACTTCCGTTATTGCAAAATTTATGACGTCATGTACGTTAGTTCGATATGATCTAACGCCGACCGTTCGAGGGCTGATTTAACGGAAAATATTTCTTTTATATAACAGGGCGTAAGCAATATTACAGTAGGGTGGACCACAGCACACATATATTCACAACTTCGTTCACAATTATTCACAATACACAAACACACATATATTCAAAATTTCGCAAGTTTGTTCCGAAGTTCAAAAATTCATAATTAAATTAAAACGCGCGGTTTCGTAAACAAAGCTTCTCATTAAATCAGGATTCGAAAAGATTGAAATACCTTGTTTACAAAAAAAGGGGATTAATTTTATTATTAATTTTTGAACATCGGAACAAAATGCATTCTGTGGGTAAATGTATTTCTAGTTCATTCAGCAATGTCTTACAGCAGTGACTTACCTGTCAGCATGTTTCAGAGAAATTTCAAGTTGTTCAATTAGAAATGAATGCAATGATGGAAATCTTGAAAAGAATTCTCGACCAGTCATCCTTTAACAGAATACAATACGATGACATGAAAATAGATTTCAGGCCCGTGAAAAAGGGAGCTGCAATCTTGGACCACACCTATTTGGAAAAGGGCGTGGTCACAGCCTGCGGCACATCCCTCCATTAAATTTAGCGAAAAAGGTTAAGACAGGTATATGCATGATGTATATGTTGAACAATGATCAACGTGGCGTCTCCACAAGCCTAACACCCCCAATCGTACTTCGTTAATTTAGTTACTATCGCATTACACACCCTTGTCGACGTTTCTCTTCTTGAAAGCTTTGAGGTCCAAATATCCTGTTAACCAGTGCACTGAAGAGCAAAGTGGAGCAGTTGCGAACCTTAGAAAGGTAAGAGAGAATGAAAAAGAACAGTAAATAAACCGTTGAACTTCCGTTGGACCATGAATTACGAAAAAGTAAAGTTAAAACGAAAGTTATCGAAATAACGTACAGCCCAACTTTTGGAGAGAAATCCTTCTACTGCAACTTTAACACCGTCAGACACGTAGGGAAAAACATCTTCTCCTAATTTAGTCTCCTTGTAAAGAGCACGTAGAATGTTCCTTGCGTGAACCTGGACGTGTAATGTCAATATAAAAAAATCAGTTAGGTAATAGATAAAATAAAATAATCCAAAGAGGACATAATTATTATGTGATGCGTAGAATATCTTTGTATGAAAATTTGGCATTCAGAAGCTAAACCAGAGGCAAGACGGCCGAGGAAAAATTTGAGGACAATATAGTAAACATGGGATGACTTGTCCTAATTTTACTGCATGGTGGTATCTAAAAACGAACCTGAGGTAATGTTGTATCATTGTCTGAATCTTCAGTATTGACAGGCTTTGCTGCTGTCATCAAAAGTTCTAGGAGAGAATAAATAAATTCGCTTGAAAACAGATTAGGTAATTTTATAGTTTACTATACGAAGTGTAGTTTAACAATTGAGATATATACTGTCAAGATTAAGATATAGGTAAAGTAAACTATACCAGGCACTTTTTCGGACAAATTTTTATTTCTAAACACTATCTGTAACACATTCTGTCGTAAACGCTTTCGCAAGCTCACTCCCTATAACCCTTGTCCGGCAACCACGTTGACTAATGCACGGCATATGAGGCGGTGCAATGACTCCGTACATTGTTAGGAGACACGCGAGACACGTTTTCTTTGTGTTTTGGGGACAGAGAGTAATCGGTTTAAATAGTATCGTGTCGAGTCGTGTGGATGCGACCACTTTCTTATCTGACTTTGACTGTCAGACCTCAAAGAGTAACTCCCAGCCTTTTTTTTAGCAAAATATTTGTTTAAATATAAAACAAGCCAACTCAGCATATTATATCGCGCACTCCAGATTTGAGCTATAAAACCCCAGACACTATAAAGTTCCGTTTACACAGCGCTATATCCGCCTAAATTTGTTTTTTATAGTTACTTAACTACAAAATTGCTGTTAAACTAACCTTTGGTACAACCTAGTTACGTAGATAAACTTTACACTTCTTAAACGATCCTAGTTTGATTATAATGTCTTTTCTGCATGGTTCTTCGTTTCACACGTTTTTACAACGGTCAATTGGCAATAAGAAATTCCGTGGTTTATTAATTTTAAAATGGTCAAAAATCATTATAGCGCCCAGTAAGAAGGGAAGTGAAAAACATGAAATTATAAAATAAGTTAACAAAAGATAGGTAATTGCCAGTAGTTTAATGCAGCTTCTAATCAACGGTGAATGAATAAATTTTTAATATATTCATAGCTACCTCTCATAACAGATTTAAAACAGTACTTTCCAGTTGTGTTTGGCTCTGTTGTAACAATTGCCTGAAGAGTTTTATTTTATGGTTTTTAATTACACAAAAAAATTTCTAGCAGCAGTTGGGGGCGATCTGGATCATTCGGGCAAAATGTTTAATCGGACAAGCTGCAATATTGTTTTCAACAGTTTTAAAAAATAAACCGCTGCAAGAATAGATGCGGCTAGCACATGCAACATATGTATATGCATTCGAATTTCTAAAAAACCTCGTCAGGTTAGCAATGTAGACAAATTGTATTTGAATGCTGAATTACCTTGAAGAAAAATGGTAATCCAGCGCTTCTTCTTGTGCCACACAACCATGGCGCAGGATTGTCAGAAGAAATGTCAGCAAGAAGTCTTTTAAGGAAGACTTCAGGAAGACGTTGGATCTCTTTTTGTTCACATCTAAACGATTTGATCAACACGATACTCAGTTCATTATAGATAAGGCCATTTTTGAGCAAGCAAGGCAAACCAAAATGGAGTAAACTAGTTTACACTTTCTTTCTAAAACTAGAAGTTAGCTCTGTGAGTAGGCTACGCAATTTAAGTATTTGTATACGGTGACAAACATAAAGATGCATATCATACCTCCATAACATGTGACAAAGTTTCACAAACCCCTCGTGTGCCAGTTCATAAGCTCCCCTATGTTTTGATGTCAGTAATATGTTGGTGAAAAGTTCTCCAATTTCCTCAAACTAGAACATGGAGATAAGTGAGAAAAACAGCAGGCACACACTAAAAACAGGTGTGCAGAATTACATACCAAGGTGTGTTTAACCGCACAACAATTAAAACGTGCGCAATTGCACGCCATGGTGTGTATATAGTTTGCGCAAACCCTTCTACAGGCTTTCAGAAAACACGGCTTCGTGTGTACGGTAACACACCTTCGTTGCACATTACGGTGTGTAAATTAGAACACTTTTTTCTGAAAACACACCTTGGTGGGTTTGACAGCGTACCCTAACCCTCCGAGGAATATGGTTATACAACACACTTCGAAATTATTAACTGCACAATTAAAGTTTTTAAAACAGGCCGCAGGTATATCCTAAAAGTGAGTTGACTTGTTTACCAACCTGAACAAAAGTAAGCAAACCATAGCTTTGATCTTTCTCCTTAACTGTTGCACGTTTTGTTATTTCCCCAAGTAGGAGGGAAACCTCTTTCATTGCCCTCCAGCAGCAAACCAATAGTATTTGAGCCTTTGGTGCGAAACTTTCAGCCACCTCGGGGCTTTCTCCATCCACCATGTGATCTAACGAAGTAAAGACAATTACGCATATACGCCATAAGAAAAAAACAAGAAAGAGAACGGACCAAAACGAAAAATCAAAATAAATCAACTTTTTCAGGGTTTCAGAGAGATTTTCCTACAAAAAAGTACAAAAACAATTTCGGGAGTCACAATCAACGGTAAATTTAAGACCTCGATATAACGAACCTTTCTTTCATCCTTTTCCCTAAATTGGCAATTGCTATAGCCTATATTGACATAGGTCGTTATACCGCTTTGGTTTAAAAGGATAAAAAGCCTAACAAAAATGATTGCGGGCTAACTTAGGTAGACGATTTATAGTCTAATTTGTTTTGAGTTGATTTCGGTTTTGAAGTGCGCTTTCCGCCTGGTGTATTAATCATCCTTGTTTTGAAATGACGCAACCTATTCTAAACTATTTTATGCCTTTTTTAAAAGTCGTTTGCCGGGCTTAAATTTTCATTTTAAAATTAAATGGCATTTTGATGAAGGATTTCCAGGATATTTGTTCTAGTGTATATAAATACGAAATTAATGTATATGCACGTAGTTACCATTGTCACAAAGATTTCCTTCAGGTGAAGAATTCGTTACCACAGGTGAAACGACACTAGTAACATCATAGCATGCTTGTAAAATAGCTGAAACTAAAGCTTGCCACTTCGTGTCCCCAGAGATAACACTAATTGTAAAAATATGGAAAAAATGACTTGTTAAAAGTTCTAAGTTAATTTGGATATATTAATAGAACAAACAGCCCAGACGTCTTTTTCTGCGGGGTTCTGCTACCGTTCCCCACAGTATACACGGCCCGGGCAAATTACCCTCTGCTCCCTACTTTTCCTCTAAAAAGGCTTGAACAAAGCTATATACACACTGTATCATAGCATCCGAACCCATATCGCTGAGAAGAATGACATGAACTGTCCCAACCGCATACAACAAAGCTATACGTAGCATAAAATACAATTTATAATGCAATTATTAAATACGTACAATTTATCTCACCTTAGATCTAGATCACATAAGACTTCCCGTATGCAGTAAAGTAGGCCATGAATAGGAGCTTCAAACGCAGCTCGAAGTAAGCTCTTGCGGGCCACCTCGACCTGATATTTTAAAACCATCACAAACTGAGAAAGAAGTCGGAAAGCCTGGGCATATGGGAGAGTTGTTTCTTCTTTGTTGTCGACTAGGTTAAGTTGATATGCGGAAGGCATCATCGAGGATTCTTCGTCGCTGCTTTTATTAACACCATCAGAGTAAGCACAGCTTCCTTGAGAAATAGCGGGGGTCAATAAAAGTGGATCACTTGTTCTTTGGTATTGTTCTAAATTAAGAGGTAAATCTATTCTGTACGATGACTTCCGGATAAGTATTTTAAACATGAAAGCTGCAGTGCTGACGTTGATTGCTTTAGGGCTGATTGCATACTGCGTTGCTGTTGTCATCCACTTCAGGATATAATCAGTATTCTACAAAAGAAATCGAATTTTTTACCTTTATGCAATTGTGGTGTACATAGTGCAATCCATGCTCGTTTACCAAGCGATAAAATGACAAAAATGCGCAGCATCATTTTCAAATTTCTCTTTTGGCGATAGAAAAAATTAAAAGAGATTCAATCTTTGGCTATGCAGTCGTGCATTGGGTTATGATCAAGCGTTTTCTTCTTTTTTGACAGATTTGATTTGGTAATACTAAGTCATTTTATGATAAACTGAATCAGTCAGTTCGGAACTTTTATTAGCCCTTACGCAATTCCAGTATAGGAGACGCCCACAACAGTTCCACAATGCGTTGCTAACGTTACCACCCTAAGTCAACCTCGGCACTTATGCGGGTTTTCCTTATGCTTCTGTCTTTACTACCAAGCTTCACTTTGGTGATGTGAAGACAATATATCGTCGCTTAGGACATGGTAAAGACAAAATCACAAGGAAAAACCAGACACAAGTGTCAGCGGGAGTCCTAGTATACCACACATTTTGTTTCTATAAATCATTAAGACAATCACTGTGATTATTCAAAAAAGAAAATTCTTCAAAGTAGAATGTGTTTATACCTGGAATGGTTGAATGGAGGTTGGACAGGCAACAAGTAAATCAAATGCCATTTGTTTATTGATATCGTACGAGTCAGTGATGCAAGCCAGTAAAACATGGACAGTTTGTGAGTTGAATATTCTATAACCATCGAAAATAGCGAACTTATCTAAAATTAAATTAAAATGAATTGGATATGATCTTACATAAAGAGAATTTCATATGTGCAAATATTCAAAAAACATTATATTAGATACTATAGCAAAGTTTATAAGTGATACGAACAAGCAATTAAATTTCTTTGGTGTTTCATTATTAATTTAATAAAATCCAGAATAAAGACTGAATTATTTCCACTGCTCACCTTCTTCATTATTAGGAAAAATTTGTATGAACAATTGAAGATTTTGCAGAGCTGTGGTTCTTCTAGCAAATGAGGCTCCGGGAAATAATGATTGAAATTGAAGCTTTGCGAACCATTCGAGAAATTCCTAGAAATACGAAATAACTGGCTACATGCGGATTATAAATTTCCAGACAATACTTTCCCGAACATTTGTATTGCTATTATAATGGCAAGGTGCAAGTTACTCTTTAATTTACAATTGTAAAAAAAAGTTACCACCAAAGTTTGGAGCGTAATGACCGAATTGACTTATATAAGGAAAAAGTGACTTTGTTGGCACACTCATCATATGAAGAAAATAAGAAGAAAAATGTAAGAAATTATGCTAAACAGGTTAGGTTGTGCTGTCCGTTTGCGGCCTTATCTTTTGTTGGTGGTCATACTTTTGGGGAAAAGATTCGCATCTCGATGGTTTGGAAAGGGATGTTACCCCTTCTATTCTCTACAGCAACGTGAAATTTTCAAGTACATACTGGAGTCTTGATTAAGCTGTACTCACAATGTAAAGTTTAACTTGCGTAGTCAAAATGTCCGATTTAACAGGATTTGCTTCAAATAACTTTCTGTTCCATGATCGACCGCCATCTCTCACACGAATGAACAACTGAAGTAATGTATAATAACAATTAATACGTTGTATTAGGACGTCATTGGTTAATATGCATTGCATTGAGGTTATAGTGTTATCACTGATATTCAAGTCTTCGAATAGAAATACTGAACATTTTTGCCAATTGCTATCGCAATCTGAAACCTAGCTTTTTTATAAGCTCTGACACAGAACGCTGTGCTCGTTGAGATTTGATTGAAACGTTTAAAATCATAATGGAATATCGAATTGTGAAGATGGTTTTTTCCGTTTCTCGAGATCAGGAAGAAATCTTTTACATACGTAAGTTACAAGCTTGGTAACAGTGTGCATTTTTCAAGCAGAGGGTGATTAATACTGGAATATGTTCCATGTGAAGTGCAGTAAAGGAAGCAACTTTGGTGAACGACTTTAAGGTAAAATTAGAACATCTAATCTAGGAACACCTAATCTACATAGGAAATGACAGCATTAATGGGAACTGGGATTTATCTAACAAACTTTTTAATAGTTTAATAAATATGTAATATTTAATACTGAATTGTCTTTTGGAAAAACATAGAGATGTCGATAGAGGCATAATTATTAAAATTAAAAATTAAAATTATTGGTCAGGGAAAAATGAAATTGTATCAGAGGTATCAGTGATACAACTATAGCAAAATGCCAGGTTCATAAAGACATAAAAAAGGGAGTTTGTTCTTGTACGACCAGATTCACACAAACCTTTTTTGTCATTGCAATGACACGTTGGCGAAACGACGGGGACTGACTGTTCATATTGACGGGATAGAATTTTCTTAACAGCTCAAGATCTTGAGCAGTAAGAGGTTCTGTGGTCCGGACGCTGTCACATATCAAACCTAATATGTCCGAGCGGATCTAATAATAATAAAACAAGAAACATTGCAAAAATTATTTTATAATTGAATGAAAATGAAAGAAAAAAATCATTTTCAACAATGTATTTAAAATCACTGGTTGCTTGGAAGTTGGGACATTTGATCTGTCTTTGGTGATATTGCCTTTCGGGTTTCCTTTAAAGGGGGGATACTAGTGTATCGAATCTCTGGCAATCAGGGTACAAACCCAGACCACAACGGAAAAATAATATTGCCTGGACATTGTTGTCTTATCTTAGAAGAGGTCCACCTCAAGAATACCGCGGATATTTGCACAAAGACGAACGGTACAAAATAACAATGGTAATAGAAAAATATGCGGAAAATTGAAGGCTTCAGAATTTCCTAAACTAAAATAACATAATAATCACCTCATCATCCAAATGACATAAACCTCTTTCTAAAACAGCCAAAGAGACAGATCCTAGCCAGAGATCACTAGATGTGCTTTCGTCTTCGGAAAGTATATCAGCTTTTGGTAGCAAGCCAAGATGTCTGGCAGTCTTGAGACTTGTCGCAAGACAGCGAACGTTGTCCAAAATGAACTCATCTATAAATATCAAAATAGTAAACGTCGTGCTTGTCAGAGAGAAGTCAAAGTCTAACGAAAATCGGTAGTATTATCAATACTCAGTTGGACTGGCGGGGCAATATATAGACGGGATGGCGGCTTAAAGCGTTATTCTCATTGGTCACAGACAAGCGGCGATGGTTACTGTTGGTGATCACGGGAGAATAAAGACTAAAGTCCTTTGTTATTTTGAATAAATCTTCCTCGTCACCTGCGAACAAAAATACATCGTCGCCTTGCCCGATTTTAGGGACTTCCTGCCAGCGGCGCCTGCCAGGGACCGCCGCCACTAGCCTTGCAGGCTAGTGACTTTAATAAGAACGAGGTCTGAGAATGACCGAGCATACCATAAACATTGGTCTCCACTTAAATTACCCTCCGGATCAGGCAAGCTAGAAAAATTTCTGTTATCAGATTGGCTATCGTCCGATCAGGTCTGCCGGATAATTTTCCACTTGGGAAACAAGATAGTTCCTCTCGTATTCAAACCATTTAGTTCTCGTTAAACACACTAGAGAAACTTTCCTGCCCGATCTAGACGATAATTTCAAATTATCCTTCAATGAAAATCGTAAGAAGAAAGGCGCCTGCATTTATTGGTGATTCGAAAGCAAGTTTAAGCAGTTCTGCGGCATTCTATCATCATCGAGTGTAAAATTATTTGCTCATAGAATACAAACCTTCAGAAGACGGTTCTGACGCGTGCAGCCTTTTTATGATGTGACCCAAACATTCCGGACAACATTTTAACAACGATGGAACATAATACTAGGAATAAAATATTCAGGGGTGGATCCAGCACTGGTACACAAATTTGCATTACAAAACAAAGTGGTTATTTTTAGCAGTTTTCTCGTGTCATGCAAATTAGTGCACTAGTGCTGGATCCACCCCTGGTAATGTTATAGAAAATTACATAAAGAAAATTTAAGTGAAACAGATCTATTTTTTTCGTTTCACTTTTAAGGACAAAATTATGCCAGGTGTTGAGTGTTGAGACTTTTCACAAAAATGGGGTCTTACCGTCACGGTGAGATTTCCGTTTGATTTCTGGAAAAGCGGGTTCACGAATGGAAGTGCTCTCAGGACCTATTTATGTGCATGCAGACAATTTTGTGACATAGTTTACCTCGGCAATGTGCTTTCTCACATGCTTTTCACTTGATGACAAACTACGCAGAGCAGGAACCACCCACAACTGGAATAGATACGCAAATATTTTAAATTGGATTAATTTTCTTTACGAGATTTAATCAAATAACAAACGGCTCGTTACATCAGAAAATCCAGACTTTGTTACCTCAAACCAATCAGTTAAATAGTCTGGAGATGTTTTTGATATTTGTTGAAGGTGACTGATGAACATCCTCTCAGCAAACTCCATTGCCTATGAAATAATTAACAAAACCTGATTATCAAATGAGCTAACTAACTTAACGCCCTGTTACACGATGCAATTTTTCATGCAACTTGCAATATATTCTACTTTTCAGAGATAAATTTTGCAACTGCGAAACGTCTGAGTATACTCCACTTCACGGACGTTTCTTACACTTATATTATTTTTTGAAGACTCTTTACTAATTTACATTTTTTAAAAGTAGAATTGAATTGCAGGTTGCAACAAAAATTAGACAGTGTAACAGCTAGAACGCTTAAAATGTACAAACAGATGGAAACATTTTATGACATAATACGATTGCTATTGTAGTTCGTGCAAATTTTCACTCCTTACATGGGGTACTACGGTCTGATCACTCATCACTGTCATGACATCTTTAGGGATACTTGGGTGAATTTCCAACATAGCTTGAGCACCAACCACATCAAGTAGACAACACAGAGGACCATACTTTCCGCGTACGAACATGTTTACTTCACATAATTTCTTCGACAAGTCTGCTATGAATGGATCGCACGCCGGTTCTAAAACACAATAACAATTTATAAGTGTCTTTGCCGAATTCACAAGTGGTTACAATCTTGAAAAACAATAATTGCCCATTTATAGCGCGCTGAGAATCAAAAGTGAATGTTCTCGAAGAACAACCGTAATATATAAAATTAGATGTTTGGAGTGGTAGCATTGCTATCGGTCTATTTGAAATCAATAACTGCTCCAAATGTCATTTCACAAACAAAGCTGCTTCCGTTTGAACTCAGCGAAGAAATCTCACAGGGAATAGATTGGAGTGATCTTACACAAAATACTTGGATCAGGCCATCAAAACACGGAAATCATCAAGTATTGTTTTATAAAATATCAACAACAAGGTAGTGTTTCAAAGTTTGATTTCCATACGCGAATGCATGGATGGCCTGATCCAAACACGGGCTTCGATCAATCAGAACACACGTTATATATACATGTTATTTTATAAATATTCTTGCCATATTCCTCGGCAAGTTATTCCACATGTATAGTATCTTTGCCCATGCAAGAGTTTGAAGAGAAGTAGAAATATCACCAATGATGAAATTATAAACGTTGAACGGCCGTAAAAATAAAACACGCATATTTCTACGGCAACTCAACGAAATGCAACCATTTTATTTATACCTCATGACGAATAAGTGCAAAATCAACAATGAAAATTATATCAAGTATTTCAGATTGGCCAAAAAACGATGCATAAATATTAACATGAGCTTACCATTCCCAGCACCATTAATGTGTATATTAATGGCATTATCGAATATTTCTCGTGTGTGGTACCGCATCGCCTTAAAATGGAAGTACGAATTTGCGCATGGTTCGTGGAAGAAAACGTCAGTTGTAACGCAATATTGATTTCTTTATATCCGGGTAATCGTACCTCCAGTGGATGATCCCAAAAGTTCCATACTAAATTTAGCAATTTCTGGATGATGTCAGAGTTTTCACGCATGCGGCGTTTAAAGCAGTCTTCCACAGTGGAATCTGAGACGCATTTCCTATCAAGAAAAACTGGATCAGATGAACAATGCCTCAACCAAGACCGTAGACTCTTTTGCTCGGGTCAATGCTTCATATACATACATAAGTGGTTCAGCAACTACACATTTATATCCGTTCATATGACATTTGTCATTTGCAAACATATACTATAAAGGCTAATTTCCACTCCGGAAAACGAGCAGCGGATCGGATCGATTTTTTTCCGAGCTGGTCCGATCCATGAGGTGATTTCGGATGGGATCAAAAAAAGTTAAAACTATTTGAACCTTTTTTTTCCGGTCTCGGACGCTTTCGGATCAATATGAGCCAAAAATTTCAACAGACGGCGCACGCGCGGATTATCTTTCGTTCCGATCCGATCCGATCCGCTGCTCGTTTTCCGGAGTGGAAATTAGCCTTAAGGGCTAGCTTTTACTTAGTCATTGTCGTGAACAAGTCGTTTTACCGATGTAAAATGGTCCAAATGTAAATTTTTCAAACCATGCATGCAGACAACACACTGGACCATCTTGACATGCTCACGACAATTTACGACTAAGTGAAAATCAGCCAATAGAAAAAGAGCCGACTTAAAAGATCATAGGCGAGAAATCATTATAATGTGAATTTCAGCCAGGTTTTAGAGCTGAACTTGATAATTCAGTGACCGTCAGTGGCTAACACAAAAACCATGACCAGACAATTTAAAAAAGTAAAGTAAAAAACAAATTCCGAATAAACAAGACATCTTGAGACTGTAAAATTGTCAAAATATGAATCAAACAAGACACATGCAGGTTGAGACTGTAAAGTGACTTTTTCATTCTGTCTGAAGACGACTTTAAAATAAAGTCGAAAATTCACAGTCTCAACCTGTGTCTTGCTTGATATTTTGACTGTCAAAAGTGACACACTTTTTTGTTTTTAGTCACCCAAGTGATATACATTATTACATTACTTTGCATTTAAAATCATCTGTGAGACTTTAATTAAAAGCTATTAAGTCTCGTACTAAGTAATAGACCATTTTCACAATGACCTAAAACGTGGAAAATCTGATCAAATCGTTATAGTTCTGTGGAGCCAATCAAATTAGTGTGACATTTACATTCTGTTTTTGACGTCATTATGATAAACTATTGACTATTGCTTGATTTTGAACTTGCACAAAACTCTAAAAATTACAAACAGCGAGAGCTGAGAGCAGTTGTACCTGACTTCCATAGTCCAGTAGGCTAATGTTCGTAGAGCTACGACCGTACTCGAGTCTTTCAGCCTATAACAAAGTATAAAAATATTTTCTATATAAATTAAACGACTAATCTTAGATAACAGGTTTCTAAACAAAAGGACTTTTCTCAAATTTAAAACAATTGGTTCAAAAAGAAGATGTCTCATAGACAATATAATTACGGCTTGATTATCATTACTCGCCTTAGACATAACGATGTTATTTCTGGAAATAATACATCAAGTAAAAGATTTCCCGCCATTTCTGCAGCCGCACAGTGAATAAACTATGTAAAATATATCAATTTTAGCTAGTATAACGAAGTAAGTTTACTTTGTTGCTTTACTTATACGTAAGTTTAAATTCAGTATCTACTTGTGGTAGCAATTAAGGTATTTTTTATATCGCAGTTTTTACGAAATACAACTTTTGGCAGAGTTGCAAAAAGAGTTCAACCTTCCTTCGGCAGGATTTCAAGTTTTGAAAACCTTCCTCAAAATGACGTTACGTTACTGTCAAGTGGCAATGCATATAGAAATATTTGGTTTTTTGGTACATGCATGTGATGAATTAGAGTGTTCGACTTCGAACCTTCCTCACAAATCTCATTCAAAGCAAACCTTCCTCCGGGTGGTACCCGCGTACCCGCAGCTTTTTTGCAACTCTGACTTTTGGTAAATATATTTACTTTTAGCGACGAGTTACTCAAGCTGAAAGATGAGAAAACTATATAGAAAAGGAATTTTTAACTTGTCAAAAGAGATACCTTCTGTTGTGTCACCAGGGAGTCCCTCGTCAACATAGTAATTACACCATGACAGATGCTTAGATAGGAGAAACCACTCATATCTAATGGCAAAAAACAAGGCGGTTAAATTAAAACGCCCTTTCACCTTGAGATAATTTGTAATTTTAATACTGCACCGAATAAACGCAAAAACGTATTAAGATTCCGTTGACAGTTTGTCACATTGCAAATACAAGCGACTTAACTGTGGCATTATTTTTTTTTAAACAAGACTAATAAACGCTGGAGAGAATAAATCTAAACGCAGACGTTTTAGCAGCGGTTACTTAGAAGGTTTTCCACTTGTATTAAACTCGTGTGTATCGTGTGCACGCATATATACTATACTCGCGTCTGACTCGTGGAACTATGTTCAACTTTTAGTACATGATCTTTCACACGGTCTCACGTTCTATTCTATATGAGCAACCATTTATATACAGATATAGCCAAAGACAAAAATAAATCATTCTAATAACTATTTACGTACCGGTGATATCTTGTGGTTCAAAACCGTTGAGTATCAAATTATTTGAGAGAGTTTTATCAGCAGAAAGTTTCTCAATCGTCATGTAAGACGGAAAAAACAGACACACGATCTAAAGGAAAAATTCATATTCGTAAATCAAAATTTCCAAAAGTAGTCAGGCAATCCAATTCTACCCCATGAAGCCTGTTCCAAAGGTGTATTTTTTTAGAAAACTTATCAAGAATCTATAATGACCTCGTATAGTTTTTTGTTAAAACGATGTATATACTCACACATTGAACAACCAAATCTTGAGTTGTGCTCGTTCTTACGACCAACGGGAATGCCATACCAGCAGCACTACGACAGTCAGGAAAGAAAACATCTGTTTTAATGAATATAAAAAAGATCACAGTGTACTGAATTTATATCTCGCGTCGCCAGTATAGCTACTGCTATATATTGTACAAAACATATTAGTCAAAATCAAATATATATCAATCTGCGCTATAAGGTATAGAGGGATGTATAGACACTGACAATCCGCTGAATTGCACGAAAGTTGAATATCCATAATAATAAAATGGGGGGATAAATATGATATGGAGAATTACTATATCACATGATATGGAGAATTATCAACTGAAGCCTCTTGCAATTAGCAGTTAGCCTCGGCCTTGGTTCATAAAGATAAACTTCGTTTTGCTAATACTTCATATCTTGTTTAACAACATAACTCATTCAACACTTTGCTAAAAAAATATGTAGAGCTCAAAAGACTTGACATAACAAAAGTGCAAGTTTTTGTACGGTGGAAATCTGTCTGTAGGATGAAAATTGTTGTGAACTTCCAAAATCATGAATAAATATGTGGCGAAGACGGAAAATGCTCCTCGTCAATAATAGATCATCTGGCTACATTATCAATCAAATGCCAATCTTACCATTTTTGAGGACACCAAAAATTACTTTGGCAAATCGTTGAAGAAATGAGTTCAATGCGTCATCTTTCCTTAACAATTCGGCTAAAAAATCTTTACATTTTTGAAGAACGTTGATCGTGGCTTTAATTGTAACAAGACAATCCAACATGGCGGCAGTTTGCAACGTGGGGGTTCCAACGAGACTTGAAAAAACACAAACATCATTAGGCATAAGTAAATTAGCTTGTAGGTACACCACGTATGTATTAACGGACCGAAAGCTTTGCAGAATTAAATACTTAAGTGGTATACCTAAAAACTAATTCACTTATTAATGTCACCATGTAAACACACAAGAATATTATCATTAGGCATGTTGAACAAGAATACACACTCCACTCTCCAGTGCAACTTTTTAACTGCATGATCCGCAAATCCGAAATTAAACAGGCGAGGTTCCGAATACACTGTATTTTATGAACTTGAAATATGCTGATCAGATTGATCTTTGTCAAGGACGAATTTCGGTAACTTAATTCACGTTGACCGATTGACCATAACGAAAAGATAGAGGATGAACATTTTTATTTTGAAAACAAAATTAATTCACGTTTACCGATTGACCATAACGAAAAAGATAGTGAAATGTGGATGGTCGATGGGCCACAAAACATAATGCTGTCTGAGTTCTCGGTGAATAAGTTTTTTATTATATACCACTTGTCAAAGAAAAACCAAACTACAAGGTAAACAACGAAATATCTATTCATAAAAGACATAATTTGAAATGGATAAACAGTCCAAAGGTCGCACGTCCAGGTGCGCAGCACGTGATGAAGGTTAAAATTTCGTCACTCTCGCGTGATTCGCTCTCGATCAATGAAATGCTACGAACACCAAACTTTGACAAGTGGTATATAATAATATAGTACATTACTCGCCCATTTTGCGATGACAATATCCGCCATTTTAGGTTAGCTACCTTTAATTTTCTTAAACTTGTGACTAACCTTTCTGTGACAACTTGACACTCCAGTGCCACAACCAGAAAGCTCAGTACTAAGAAAAATAATAAAATTATATATGACAAACAGCAACAAAATTTATGATTGCGACAATATATCTTATTTAACAGAAGAGGAAAAAATAGGTCACAAACTTAGGGCGATAAATACTTGGTGACTTTGACGCTTGAATGGCGTATAATTGTGGCTATTTTTTATTTTTCAACGACGGAAACAACTATATTCAATTGTGACAAGAAATTTGCCTTTCTCACGATGACGTTTTTGGGGTATTTTCAATTTTATCAAACGGGTTTAAAAAAATTATAGCAACATAAAAACTAGTTTTGTTAGAATCAAGAGAACATTCTGAGAATAAATTCAGCCTAAAATTAAAGACAGTCGCCGTGAAGAGGTCTTAGTTCACGGTTTTGACAAAAAAGTACCCCAAAAATGGCGGCATATTCGTCACCGCGAGAAAGGCTAATTAACTTGGATTAAAGGCAAAGGAATGCAAAGTGTAATAGACTGACTGGTCCGGGATCGTATGATGATACCGACCCCTTATGCCATTGGAGTCGCATACTGCACCGGTCACTTTTATATTCGACTCCACAAAACATTGGTTTTATTGGAAATAAAATAATATATACATATTGATTAAAAGTACAAAACAATGGAACCCCGTAAAGAGTAAACGTAATTGAAAAATATAATTTTCGACGTTTCGACTAAAGTGTATAGCCATCATCAGAAAATCGATCTTCTTTTTTTTATTAAGCTATGGTCATCATCTTTTCCTGATCTATAGTTTGATCGAAACGTCGAAAATTATATTTTTGAAAATGTTTACTCTTTACGGAGTTTTTATTGTTTTATATTTTATTAAAATACTCAGTGGTACGTTCCCATAATTTTTAATTGATTTTTTTTTTTTTTTAAATTAAAGTAATTCCGAAAAATGAAAGCATATAATACAAATTTTATTCTGTATATTTCGAATCAAGATCGATTCATCTTCAGCAGAATGGTTTACAAGATTTGCTTAAACCATTCTGCTGAAGCTGAATCGATCTTGATTCGAAATATAAAGAATAAAATTTGTATTATGCTTTCATTTTTCGGAATTACTTTAATTCTATATATGTGCTAAAACTATCAACTGCATGGTAAAGGATTTATTTTTTAAGCTCACCCTCTTTGACGCTCAGTGACACACATCTTTCTCCTACATAAATATAAAAATTACCACATTTTACTATCAAAACTCCTATAATATTGAATTTTTGCACTTTTTCATATAACCCTCATGCATGAGAGTGGTTGATGAGTACGATGAGATACGACTGAGTCTGTGATCGTCACAAATCCAGAATGTACAGAAACCAGGAAGTCATTTCAATGCGCCTATTCAACTTCGATTGAAACTGCTCGCTTAATGCTTCAAAAATAATATATACCCCGTACTTTTAATTCAATTTTTGTTGTTTTTTTATTTCCTCAAGCCCTAGAGGTCGTGGTTCTTATCTGTCGAACGCATGCTATATCACAACGGATTTTCTATTGTTTCAAAACCTCGTTATTTGATAATTTTTTCTTTTTGCCAAATATCATTCATTGTTTTAATTATTATTATTTATGACTATGCATGCATTTATTACCAATCTTGTATGAACCTCCAGTTACCTAATGGAAAATTTTCCAGCAAGGAGCAAATAGTATCTACATGTTTCCTGAGATTTACATTTTCAACAACCTACACAGATACAAACAAGAGTGGACATTTAGTTTTTGCCAGATTCCCTCGCAGAATGACATCGTAGTCACTTGTTTGTTATAGTTTAAAGGCGGTTTTCCACCAAGCGAGATTTTTCGATCGAACGAAATTTTTCGCTCGACTTTTTTTTCAGTTGTGACAGGTGAAGGGAATCCGCTACGGTCGAATTCTCACAATTGAAAAGAATATCAGACGAAAAATTCCGTTCGGTCGAAAAATTCAGCCTAGTTGAAAACCGGCATAAGGTGAAAAAAATCGGTATACAAAAATTCTAAAGAAAATAGTTATCTAATTTAAGCTATTAGGTTAATGTAATACGTTATCTGGAAAGAATACAGGCTCAATAAACAAGATGGAAGATAAGGTATATACGTTACGAGCAAAAGCTCTCATGATCACAACTGATTTTCTTCGTCACATGCAGACTGCATGATCAAACGAGGTAATTTAGGGCGCTTTTCTTTACGGCGGCTTACCACTAGGTGGAATTTTTCCATCGAACGAAATCAGTTTTCGCTCGATTTTCTTTTCAATTGTGAGAATTCGACCGTAGCGGATTCCGTTGAAAAGAAAATCGAAAAATTTCGCCTAGTGGAAAACCGCTTTTAAGCGGCCAATATTGTTTGACCAATCATATTTTGACTTGTAAATAACGATATACTTGAATGCAGAGTTCTTGAAACACTAAAAATACCAGTAATCTGTCTGTACCGAAATACAACAGACCGGTCTGGCCGTTTCTACCCTATAAAGGAAAGCACCCTTATATTGCCCTGGGCCCCAAATTTCTGAAAGAGGCCCAGTTGAGATAAAGTTCAAAATATATCAAATTGAAATTCAAACAAAATTGCGCGTCAGAGCCAAATAAGTTACCATTCTAATTGAATTATTAGTCACGATAATTAATGTCTAAGCAAATCAGTTTAGTTGAAATTTATTTTAAGTAGAGTGATATCTGTCTGTCCGTTTCATACCTTTTCAGCTCTATCAGAAATACTTCTCTGACGGTTAAACGTCTCTAACATAATCTGGTTAAGCTGTTCCAAGGCCTCTTCCTGTGCACGGTCAGGTAAACTTTGAAAAAAACTATAAACAATAAATTTGAAATATTTCAAACTTCTCAACGAATGTTAAACGCTAATTGATTTACAGAAATCAAACTTCATCAATTCATTTGTTTCAAATTTTTGTAAAAAACCAAAAGGCATAGTCGTATTTGTTTTTGTATTACGTGCGAAAAACTGATAAAACTAGAAAATGTTGAAAAATATATGTGTTGAAAAATATACGTACAATATCTGCCAAATATTGGTTGGAGTTTGAACTACATAGTTTTGCAACATTCCGGACCAAACTTTGCAAATCCTTTGAACTTTCGATGTTATTTGAAAGTGTTATAATTCAGTTTCTTATTTACATAGTTCCGTTAAAAAAATATATATGGTGTGTTATAAAATCAGTTTATTGACGTTCCAAACAATAATACGTCATACACTAAAAAAGCACTGGAAAGCATTACCTTGCTATAGTTCTTCTGCAGGGGTTTTTTGCATCACATTGCATAAACATATGGCATAACACTTTAATAAATAGTCCTGATAATGCAGGCTTTATGGAGTTTGGTAACAGTTTCTTCCATTCAACAATAGCCTTCAAAAACAAAGATATCAATTGGGATTTCAAAGCAACTAGGCCAAAAACATACAATTTGTAGCGAAATAATTCGTAGCGTAGAACGTTATACTAGGTTTGTATCTACATATTTCTAATTTTCTAGTGTATTCAAGACATGCACAATCGCGCGAAAAATTAACACTGGAAAATGCTGTTCTCCAAGGTGCTCGAGCACAACTTTTTTACAGACAAACGAGAAAATGGAATACGATAGGCATTCAAGACGAGAATAAAAAACCTATTTGTTATTCGCTATAATGCATTTTATTCAAACCTAAATAGACTTTTAGTGATTATGCCACAGATTATGCAAGGTGAATTCGAAAAGATAGCGTCTTGACCTGTGATTATATTTCAATGTGTATATTGAAAATTGAGGCACCGAGATTTTCTTCCTAATTAAATTTTCAAGTTTCCCAAAATACAATATCCAACAGCAGGAAAGACAGTTATCTTTGGACGAAGAACGCTAGTGTGGGTACAGATCGCGAGTGGTGCATTTGGCTAAGTTACAACCACTGCTTAAGACGCACCAAATGACAGTCATTTGCTCTGGGTAATGTCTTAATATATACGGGTACCCGTGGACTATTACTGTCCCTATTACTAGCCACCTTAATTAGCAGCGGAGATGAGGCATATAACAATCCATATTAAAGTACAACACTGCACAGGTACTGTCCTAGCTAGTTTGCCATTCCCCTATGCCACCTAGAGTGATTTGTATCAATTCAATTCTTGCCATGGTAGGCAAGGAAACAAGGTTCAAGTATGTAATTGACATCTGTAAAAAGTACCTTTTTCATACTAGCCACTTGCTTATTTACATCTTTGAAATCCGTGATCATTGACAGTAACTTTGCAATGGATGCACATTCTGAGTTTTCTGGAACATCTATAAACGTACAATTGCACACTATGAGGGTATAGTTATATTCAGCAATTTCGGTTTGCATGTAACTTATGACTGGTCCGAACGTAATTCATCAGCGATTTCCATTAATTTCTTTGCAAATACCGACAAGAAAAAAATCCGTTTCTTGGTAAAAACCGAACGAGTTGTTGTATATTCATAAAAGAATTGAATCATTAATTTCTTCCAATAGAGCATTTTAATAAAGTGAAGAATTACTTGAAAATAGTTTTTCAAGTGTCTCATAGAGCTATAACCAGAAGTTCCTTCTGGAAGCTTTTCAAAGTAATAATGGTAAAAATAACATTTCTGGTTTCCCAGTACCGACTTGACATGTTACATATACATACAGATACAGTCATACAGATATAGCAGCCATATAAAGCTTATGTGGACCTGCTGAACATATTAAATAACATACAACAACATCTATATGCATTCACAATGAATTATATAATAAGTATATTGGTCTCTCTTAATTTCTTTAAACTCAGGCATGGACCTAGAAGCTTAATTGGGGGGGGGGGTGCATATTAATATGTGTTCAAGTTTAAAAAAGGGGAAAAACAATCGCTATCAAAAGAAATCAATCAAGCATAAGACGAATATAATATGAATATGCACCCCCCCCCGCAATTAAGCTTCTAGATCTGTCCCTGTTTAAAATGATAGCCTCAATTAATCTTCATATCATTCATCAAACTTATGATTCTTATGATTTTGAGCCTGCGTTTAGATATTTTTATGAGGGCTCCGATTAAATTTCCTTGCATGCCTCTATATATGTATACCTAAAACTATTTCTTCCGATTTCCATTCTAAATCTTTCCACACTAAATTGCATACTGGTATTGTTCCTTGTTATTCATCTACAGCTTGTCTTTTTCTTAATAAACACTGATCATTGATATATTCCTTGTGCAATAATGTCAATAGTCTCTTGTCATATAAATATATGAAATTGGTGGTTTGCATGTTTTAAACTTTCTTCATTTACTGCCTCTCTTGGAGGATTATATACCAGTGGGCAGGCATGGGTTAATAATGATTTCTATTTTTCAGAACATTATAATTATGATGTGGAACAATTGAACCACACCAACGTAGTCCGTACACTATGCTTGGGATTATAGTTTTAAAGTAAACCTTCCTAATACTTTTTTAGGATTTAGTTTCTTCAACCTTTTAAGTGCTCCTATTTGTTTGAAGAATGATTTACATTCTTGTATAATTTGAGTGTTCCAATGTACTTATTAATTTTCAATCTTAACTCCAAGATCGCCAGCCTCTATTACATATATTGCCTATCTGTGCGGGATATTAAAGAGCCAGTAGATTAAATATCCCCACAAATGGTTATACATTTTCTGTTCAAAACAAGTTCTGAACAAGTGCTGTTCAAATCACCAAGGATCAAGAATTGAATTGGTTAATTTATGAGGCTGTAGGATTCATACAGCTATGCGGAGTTAAATCTAGTTAGACCTAGTAGATGGCTATATAATCAAGTAGTACTATAATTCAAAGTATTTACTTGGGGTACGTATCATAATTAGAGCAAGTTGAAAATGCCTGCCAAGTGAATTAATGCCTGGTGAAGAGTCTTTTTAAAGTTTAAATCCCCAACATGGTGGAAATGCATGATACCAACACCTACATATAGAATCCCAGGGCATATGACAAAATAAGATGTCTAAGGAAATGAACAAAAACCATCAGCTACAAGTATGTATACCATACTATACCAGCATCTATGGCACATGTGGTCAAAGAAATTGTCATTGTACTACAAACTGACTAGATAGCAGCTGAACTTAACTAAATGACCATTAGGGACAATTAGTATTAGGGTTAGGATAAGTGTTAGGATTAGGGTTATAAAATTGCATGGGGTTAGGGTAAGGATTGCAGTTAGGTTTTATAGGTTATATGGACAGACAATATAACTGGCTGCTTGGTGTAGTCATCTTGTGTCCATAATATGAGGGTTTTGACTGCATCATTTACAATGAACCAAAGATCCATAACATGTGCATATGCATAGCACATGTGTATACAATGCAAGACTGCATTGTAAATATTTATGCTGCACGCAGCTAAGGCCTAAGTGTACAATGAAGTCACTGATCCTAGCCAATAACATCATATTTTGCCCTACCTTTTAGTGGTTCCAATAAACCTTCAGGAATCTCCAACTTTTGTTCAAGCCTTTCTTTTGGCTTTTTCATGGTTGAATTATTTTGGTGAACCAACTCTATATTTCTAAGGAGATTATTTTGGCATAATTTTTTCTAATTTATTTCTATCATTACTGGTCTGCGCACTGAGCTATGACTAAATCACCAAACTGGATGGGTGTTTACTGTTTAGCGTGAGCTGAACTCAATTTTCAGATCGAGAGATGGACACGATCATTCCGAGCAGTAAATTCAATAGTGATGTACACGAAGATCAATTTTCTTTAGCAAGTGAAACAGCAACAAAGTATTCTTTAGAAGAGAGCCACTTGGAGGAGTTCTATAATTTGGAAAATTGTGTTCAACGTATTAAGAACTGTGGAATTAGAACACCAAAGGTAATAAGAATAATAATCAAAGTCAGTATTAATTATAAAGGTCCTGGCTGTAACAGTTTTTTTGAATTAATTTCTAGAAATTTGCACGAAATAGCCTTTCAAAATTCTTTTTTAAAGTGTAAGACACACAGTAGTGACAAGTCGATTGGTACCAAATCCGTAAATATATAATTAGGACAATTTCATTGTGCTTTGTGGACTTTAATATAATTAAATAGTTAGAACAAGTTAGAATTATATAAATGTATCAATTTTACACACAAAGGATCTGGTAGCCTTTAGGTTTCTCATGACTGAACAATGCTGCTCTGCGCCCCACAATTTGCAGCGAATGTATAGAACTTGATATAATTAAATGTTTTCCTGATAAGTGATAAAGGCAAGGCTAAAAATTTTGTGCTGCACCCAAGTTATTTCAATTTAGTAACATCCTGTTCACTAGGTGCAGGTAACATTTTTGGCTCTGTTTCCAATAGTCAACAACAATTTGTTTTGGTACATTATTACCCAAGTATATATAGTAAATGATTAAGTATGCTAAAAAATAAATAGCCTAAAACAATTGGGTAATTTGGGTTATTACATTGGTAAAATGGGAGCTAGGATTAAACAATGCTTTGTTGCCTATATTAATGAAATTTGCCATCAACATTGAACAATATTGTTGCACTTGACTCTGTTAACTGGTTAACAGTATACAGTTTAAAAAATATTGTTGACAATTGTGAACAGCGATTTGGAGCAGTACATCATTGTGCAATGCTGTTTGTAGGCTCAAAGATTTATTTGTTTAATGATAGACGATAAGTTTATAATGCAACAGAGGTTGTAATTTCATTGTACAATGTATAACACATTCTTTTTAAATCATAAAAAATATATTTCCATACATATGTTGTTAATTACTTGGGCAGTGGTTGTCGACACACTGAGACGATCACAGAGCCTGTTGGGAAAGGGGTAGGACTCATGCTAATTTCCCACTCTCATGCAGAATTTTATCTGATAACTATTTTGTCTAAGAAAAAAGTGGGATGGGGGTAGACCCCCCAGCTCCTTGCTCTGTGGTCCATGTGTTGACCTAATTATGTGCAATATTGTGGGAAATCAGTAAAATTTTGCTTATCTTCGCTTAGATTTGCTAATCTTGCTTATATTTTTGAATTTTGAATAATTAACAATAATTAAGGCAGTACATTGTGTTTGTTGGTGTCAACAGAAGTCAAATGCTCTGACAAACTGAGGCTTGATAATTCTTCATATCAAGTTAAAACTGAGTCCCATAATTATAGTTGATTAAAAAAAGTAACATTAAAACTATGTTCACTCGCATTTGTGTCGGTTTCACGTTTCCCCAGCTCCCTTGGGACAAGGATATCTTCGCCACTGCTGTGACGTCATTGCGTGGCCATTTATGACCACCAGGACGAGATGAGTTTTCGATCGTTTTTATCGCTTTGACGCCACACGATCTAAGAGAAAATATGCTCAATATGTTAAATTATAGCTTTAACTTGCTTCAACTTCTATTGTAAATTGACGGTGTTTGAAACCGTTTCGGCATGAAAACGAAAATGCAAACGCTCGAAAACGTTCCGTGTGCACATAGTATGAAAAAATCATATTACATCACACGTTGGTCACGAGGACTTCAGCTAAGACTGAAATGAAAAGTCCCAAAAACAAATTTGGAGGCACAAAGTTAAAAAGAAAGTTAACATGACCGCGAATGATTTCAACTTTCTTATTAAGGTAGCACTCCAGTTTCCTGACTCGTTGTTATGCCAGTCTTCCCAAGTGGCACAAATTATTGAAGAGAAGGTCGATTGTAGGACTTATATACTAGCTGACACCTCCTACGGAAGGTAGGTTTTCATGGCTAGGCTTTAAACCACTAATGACTTTTATTATAATCTCACAGTGACAAAGAAGTACCCTAGATCATCTGTACAACTTAGGTTGTTGTATATATTATTATATATATAAGATATAGTTTGGATGGCCGGGTTGTATACCTGAAATTTTCAAAGCTCTTTGACTTTGGATTCAACTCATTTAGTTGTTGTGTGGATGAAATAGCGGCTGAACATGTAAAAGCTGACCTTATTATTCACTTTGGTGCTTCTTGTTTAAGTCGGTAAGTTTTAATATGTATTTTATAAAAAATTAAATGTATTTTATCGCCAATGTTTTGCTGTAAGATCCGTTATAGTCGTTATTGTTTTCTAGCATTCAAGTGCCGCGGCCTGCATGGTGATCATATTTGATCACACATTTCCAGTCACATTTACAACTACTAAAACGATGGCAAAGTACTTCTTCGTTTTGATAAATATATGCTTCAATCCATTGACCTTTCCTGCTGCTGAATTTTAGTAGTTACCATATGATTATCTATAGTTGTTAATTGCTTGTGATTTACACCATGTAATTTATTAAATTTCTAAGCTTTCGGCCCGTGAGCTCGGGCCATCATCAGAGTGGCCCGAGCTCACGAGCCGAAAGCTTAGTAATATGCATTTTAACGAAATTAATTTGTTCTATTGGGCAAAAGCATTTATAAAAGCATTCTGATTATTCGTTCGCAAAAAAATATTCACAAGTAAATGGCGACATTTTAGATTGATAGTCGCAATTATTGTGTGACAATCCAATCACGCACAGACTAATGGCAGCGTAATTATGTTGAATTCATATTTGTTTTTTAGAACAGAGCGCATACCTGTTGTATTCGCGTTTGGCAAAAAGAAGATAAATGTTGAGCACTGCTGTCAATCATTTCAGAGTTGCTTTCCAGACAAAGATTGTAAAATAATCCTGATATATGATGTTGTCTATCATCATTCAATAGGTGAGATCTATGGTGAGATTTAACAAACTAGAAAATTCATTAATTAGTACAAATGGAAAGAGCCAACCCCAAAATTTATACAAAATTTGCCTACTTCAATGTTCAACTTCATACTATTTCTGAAGCAATATTTTTTTATCATATACTAATTTTGGTGTGTTCTTTTCAGCTGTACCGATGAAATTTTTAGTTTTTAATTACTACAAAAACGAGGTGGTTCACTAAGCGTCATTTGAAACGTTGGGTGTTATTACCTTTCGGTATATTTTCTTATCTTCAATTTCTCTTTTCACCGGCTGTGATGTAAGATGTGTTTATCTTCCACCTATTTTGAAATATTTTCTATATTAATTCGTTTCAGATTCTATTTACTCAAAACTATCATCAGAATACAGATCGTTAGTTTCGACGTCTCTCGTTCATAACGACAACGATGATAATAATTCGAAAAAGACGCGCGTTGGCACCGATAAAAGCGAATGTCGAGATAACGAAAATATCACGACTTGCAGTAAAAATTTAGCCAGTGAAAACAAATGCAAGACAGAGGACGCCTACTGTAGGTACGTATCCCATAGTTCATTTGTGCAAAGCCTGCCATTTTGGAAGTATAATCATGGCATGCATCCATATAAGCAATTCCAATGATCACGTTTTGCATGAGTGTAGGGACGGTTTGTCTGCTACATTCTTGCGTTAAAATGTACTCTAGAACAAATTTCTTCATTGTAAAGAAAAGATTGTAGGGTTAGTGACTACGTATAGCTGGGCGTGCAATACAATAGTTTTATGCCTTTATATGGTACTACAGGGTGTCTCAAAAAAAACGAAAACCTTTGAAATCGCGCATAACAATGCAAGAGTTTGAATGCCTAAGCACTCTGTTGGGACCCACAGGTGTGTAAATGTTTGCAATAAGCATTTTTTTGCATGCATATGATGCAGTATTTGCTCGTGCGCGAAAATGATAATTATTAACAGTATTTACAATTTACAAATATGGATATTTAAAATATTTAAATGTGCATCTCAATCACCAAGACCTTCGACATGTCCCCTTTCTCTAGCAACACAAAACATTTAGCATTTTACTGAGTTGTATTAAATCCCCACGGGCTAAAATTCGTGAACACAGCATTCAAATTTTAACAATGAGTGATTTCAATAGTTTTCTTTTTTTTTGAGACATCCTGTATAGCTGGCGTGCAATACAATAATTGATTTTAATACGAAAGGGTTTTTTTAAGACACCTTTTTGGTTAAAAAGTTGCCATAATTGTTTTCACTAATTGCAATCTTTTCTAAAGAGAAATGTTTAAAGGGATACGGCAATAAAAATTATCTTTGTCGGTTTTAAAAGAACGTCATGATTATGTGCAAAATTCGTTTATGGATTTTTGTTAACTTTATTACTTCTCAAGATATTTTGGAATGAAATTATCTTCCATCCGCCATTTTGGATATACATATGAATTCTTGCTCTGATATGCGTTACGTCATAATAGCTGGGTGAACATTCGTTCTGTAACTTCAAATTAACGATCCAGCGAAGTGATAGTTCCATGGTATTACAATCGCACGTATCTTAAATTATAACGTTTGAATTGTAAGAGTTCTAAACTAAAACGTAAACATGTAATTGTTGTTTTTTAAGCGTTAACCTTGCTTTTGACGTCACGCAATTACATCATCTTCAACAAAACAGAAATAATTTTTATTGCCTGATACCCCTTTAAAGATTGTAAACTTCACTTCAATAAACTAATAGATTTGGCCGAAGATTCGTGTTGGAAAACGGCTGTCGCATTGAAGATTACGTTGTATTTTACATTGGAGAAGAAAGTTTATCTTTAACCAATCATATGATGGCATATAATACTTGTCAGGTGATAACTTATTTCTTTATATACGGTTTTTTGATAACCCAGCACAAATTACATGGCCTAATTTCATATTCAAAATACCTGTGATTAAAAAAATCTACCAATATGCCGGATTGCAACTAAGTTAGAGCTGTAGAAATTCAGTTATATATTGCTTTTTAACAATACTTTTTGGCCCGCGAACAGGTGTCTCCTGAGCTATAGTTAGAACTGCAGGTACACGACCCCTTACCAGTGTTTTATCCTCCCGAGAGCAAGCCTAACAAACAAATTGTTTTTAGTTCTACTCTTATAATCCAGAATCATCAAGATGTCGGAAAGAGACCCTCAGCGTAAACCGCTTACTTATGAAAAGGTATGATATAATTTCTTAGTTGTAGACTTTGAACGAGGGTTATTTGCCTGAAGCGAATAAGTGTTTTAGAATCTATCCGTGTGCGGATGGTTTTTCGCGAGGAATTCGCCTCGAAAGGCAAGTTTCTAACGTGTGCGGATGGTTTTTCGGGCTGAGCTAACGTGGTCTTTAGCTCAGCTAGTAGCTAACGTGTGCGGCGGGCGTTACATATCAACCGTGGCCGGTGCATATGGCAAGCCTCGCTTGTCTTTGTGAGTCTTTTGTATTTCTCCCTTTTTCTGAAATAGCAGGGTTATTCTTCCTGTTATTAAACACCGGGGGAAGATGTATAGACCTATAAGTGCATCTCTTTACTGTTTTATTTCTACTCTCATCATCTCTTAATACGATGGTCTCCCAAGTGTTAAATCGATGGTTCGAATCCTACCATAACCGTTTTTCATTATGAACTTCGTGAAAACGATAAAGTATAGATCAAATGAAGCCGTTTCCCCGAAGAACTTGTGTCTAGTGGCTAAGACAATTTTCTCCCAAGTGTTAAATCGATTACTACTCAATTATTTACTTTTGTTGCTACTTCCAGGTACTATCTTATTGAGAGAGCGAAAGATGCTAGAGTAGTTGGCATCTTGATAGGAACCCTAGGAGTAGGTACTGTTTAATACTTTTGATGTTATGAATTCCGAAAACTGCATCGAAAATTCCTGATGATCGCGTAACATGGAATTTCTTGCACTACAGAGTGTATAAAAAAAAAGGTAATCCAACTTCAACACGCTATATTGTACGTAAACTACTCAGTCTATATGAACGATCATTCTTTTTCACAACGGAAAGATCAGGCTTTTTACTATCGAATGACATGTTTTTAGTAGCAAATGGTGAAAAATTGAGCACATACGAGGCTGATAAAAAATGTTAGTCGCAATCGCATATTTTCACCTTTGAGCCTAATTAAAGCGGTGCATAACAAAAGAAAAAACAATTAATCACGAACATGTCACAGCTTGCACTGGTTTTATGCCGCATTGCTTGGAATGTTCTCCTGATGTGATTTATTCCTACTTAATATGCATATGCAGGTAGTTTATTCAGAAGCAAAATCCTTCAATGAAGTCCCAAAGGGAGTTAATTTTCGATGGTTTTAGTCCCAACTCTCAGAGGTGAAAATATGCGATTTTGACTAACACTTTTTATCAGCCTCCTATTTCCTCGTTTTTTCACAAATTGGTATTAAAAACATGTCATTCGATAGTTAAAAGCCTAAACTTTCCGTAGTAGTTCACGTACAGTAGCGCGCCAAAGTTGGATTACCTTTTTTTGATACACCCTGTATTGGATATAAGTCGCATAATATATTTCATGGCATGGTTTGGCTTAAACGGTGAATATATAACATTGGAAAACAAAAAGATCTATTTATTGAACAACTGAGCTGAAATATTTCGATTTAAACAATTTAATTTACAGTACAATAAACAGTCATTAACATAATCTAAGAGAGTATATTTAAACTTTGGCTTATTCACCGTTTAAGCTAAACGCCTTTCTTACAACTGGCCCCAGCTTTTTACTCTGATATATGTAATGGACGTAGTGTGCCTATTTTTTATTGTGTGATCAATGTAAGATTAAAGAATGTGTTTGATGATTTTCTTTGTAGCGAATTATTTAACAATTCTGCAGAGAATTAAGAAAATTTTACGTCAATGTGGAAAGAAGGTAAAGTCAGAAACCCGGAAATGACGATATTGTTCTAGCTGTACCTTAATGTAAACAAGTCAGCAAAAAAATAGCCTAAAATAAAATTACTTTGAGATAAAAAAAACTGCATTGTAGAACCTTATATTTTCATCACTGAAATTCTATAATACTCGTTTCTGCTGAATGATCGAAGTCGTATAGGTACAATCCTATGTCAGGAACAATTATAAAGTCGACTCTCGAGCTATGAAATTCAACTATAATCATAATTGTGCTACGCCTACGAATAGTTTTAAATATAGCAGTACAATTTTTAGCGAAATTTAAATTCCTTTTTATATATAAATAACAACTTTGAACTAATTCAAAATAATTTTAACGAAATTGACGAATAAATTCAAAGAGGTGTCATACATTTGCTGATAAATCCACATATTAAGCCATAGGCGACCCAGGAAGCATTCGAAAATTATGTATGCATGTTTATATATTATATATATTTATATGGGAAACATTGCGTCTATTTAAAGTCATGTGACTACGAATGAACCAATCACATTTAAAATACACACCACCTACAGATATTAAGACGATATTACGAAGGTAAGGCTGATAACGTTTACCGAGACCTTGATAACTCTGCATATCACAAAAACCGAATTCAATAATTGTTGTATTATACATTTGAAGAAATAATAAAACAAATTATTATACATTATAGTAGTAAAAGCAATTTGATTGGCTAATAGTTGACAGATAAATCGCGCAATCACGCAAAATTCAGTTATCTGCTAGTAGATAACCGAGTTATCTGCAAGTGAGCCTGCGGTGGTTAACAAGCGGTATTCATTTGAATGTATTTATGTATTAATAATTGATGTATTTTTTGATGTTGCTATTAAATAAGGTTTTTCATTCGTTAATACTATGTTTATGATATCGTCCCTCAAGCGATAAAACTGATATCACCTCGCCCCTCATGTGATAACCTATACATATCACAAAAACCTCATCCAATAATCGTTTATTATATTTTATTTTGTATAATATTTATACATTTTCCTTTAGTGTTTTACATTCGTTACTGGAAAGTTAAGTCCAGAAAAGCTAGCGAATTTTATGGAAATTGACGTGTTTGTTTTAATAGCGTGTCCTGAGAATAGCATTATATGCTCGCAGGTAGGTTGATATCTTTACCTCTACAAGCACTTAACCACCTGAATTTATTGCAGCCGTTGACGATCTAAAATATTTTATCAACTTCCACTTGCCAAACTGAAATTTTTTTCTATCAAAAACTAACCAACTAAATTATTGTTTTAAGGAATTTTATAGGCCGATAATCACTCCATTTGAAATTGAAATTGCGTGTACAAGGTGAAAATAAAGTTAATTGTAATTGTTATGTAAATCCAAGCTGAATGATCTTATAAACAATCATTAAGCCTAGTTTCTTGCAATTATGATGTAACATCTTCCTAGATACATAAAGTCATACGTACCTGCATGCATAATATTATTTTGCTAAATGATAGTCATGTATACCCCTAAATATTGCTATTGCCAACTACTTTTAACAACTTTGAACATTTATCGTAATTCAACACCTAATCTTCATTTTTTCACCAAATCTGTGATTTAAGCTAGATCTACCTTGTAAATGACCTTTTTCCAGTGCCCGTGGATAGCAGGAAATTTAGGGCCTATATGTACGAGACTACATGCTTTTAACTTAACTAACATATTTGTTTTATGTTTCTACAGGGCAAGAGACTGGACAGGGGAATACATTACTGACTTCCACGAACTTCTACCAGGTATGTGTAGCCATGAGTGTTTTCACCAAAATTCGAGGACATTCAGTTTACGGTATTAATTTTCATGTGATAGTATGTATTGAACGTTTGAAAATGTTACTGTGTAAGTATGTGCCTTTAGATTCCTATTCCTTTATGTTACGGATAAATATTTCAAAGAAGTTCCTTATTTCCATTCTATACAAAGGCTACAGCCATTCAATGGCGAATCGATAATTGGGCGGGGGGGGGTTCAAATCATATAATATTGTGCGCTTCTGGTTCTGCATGCGCGGCGAATTTCTTTTGAAATCAATTGGCTTTACCGTCTGTTTATATGAATATGCCCCCCCCCCCGCCTCAATTATTGATGCTGACTACGCCAATGCTCAAGCATATTTAATATTCTTCTTTACGGTTCTTTTTTTCAAAATATAGGTTCTGCTAAACATGTAGAAATAGAGAGTAAGGTACGGCGAATCAGCATTAGTAATATAAAACAAAGTTTGCATAATTTAAAACAAGCCCATTTAGCTCTTGCTATTTAGCACTTCGTCGTCAAGTGACGTCAAAGTTCGTTAGAAGCAAACATGCAAATTACAACTTACAACTTAGATTGTATAGATTGCAGTGATTGAAGTCTTTGAATCGATCGGTTGAATAAAAACCTCATGCAGCCCAATGAAATATGCCAATGGCATGCACCATTACATCACGTGAACGTATGCTTATGTATAACTTGCAGGTTTGCATGTAACAATAGAAAAAACGGAATAACAGCGCAAAATTTAAAAGAGTATGAGACATTTTAAAAAGAAACATTCAGATTTTCAAGTGATTGTGTTTAGGGCACTGAAGAAGTTACAGACGAGGTTCCTGATGTTTCTCTCATTTCTGGAAAATTAAGACCGGTGTTCACACAACAAGGTGATTTAATGTGTTGTTAACCGCGTTTATTATATACACAAGCGCCAGATATGAGGTATGCTGCAATTTCTTTGGTTGGCTACTAGACAGATATTAGCTCATATCTGTCTAGTAGAGAAAGTAAACAAAATGACCGAAAGATTTTGGGAGTTGAGCTATCAGCTCATATACGACTCGAGTTTGCAGAATAACTGTTAAATATCTTTCATGCGCTTTCTATAATTTATGTTGATTTTCTATATGTATTTACTATCCCTGGCATTTTTTGTTTTTTGGTCGTGTAGTTAATTGTTATGTGCGATATAAAATGCTATAGTTTCATCCCATAACTTTTTGATATCGTATTTATCACAATAATGAGGACTACGATACGAATGGATGATATATTTTGCTCTCAGTGACAAATAATCTCGTGTTTAATTTGTTTTAGAAATCGGCAAAAACCGATCAGACAGTTTGGTCTTAAAAAATCAGAACACAACTTTATCGACACAACCTACTTCTGCAGGTATGTGCATGCAAGGACGTTTTCAGTTTACGTTGATTTTTTCATAATTTTGGTGCCTCGTTTTAATTCGGCCGCAACTTATACTTATGACAATAGCAGCATTTAAGCAGTTCTTTTATTATAGCAGTTCATATATATTATACGCGTAAATAATAACTCTTAAATTCTTGTAAAACACATTGTAATTCATTTTTTATGCGACGATGTGTTATTAAATCTCTTAATATCTCTCAAAAATATATTTCTGGCATCAATTTAAAACCGAAATAAATAGTATATTTCAAAAGATATTGAGTTGTAGCAGTACTGCTTTTGAAATATACTATTTATTTCGGTTTTAAATTTATGCCAGAAATATATTTTGTTTTAACCATGAATTGAATTTTTGTCCCACTATAGTCCCATTCCTTTCTCGCTATTTCATATCACGTGATCAAACAGAGATTATGCAATGGTCATTTTGTCTTCTGGTGTAACTCTTATCCTATCGTTTTTAGCCGGATTCCTTGCACAACGTAGTTGGAAAGGTCTTGAACCGAAAAGAGGAGAGACAGAGGTGACAAAGGCAGTTGAAGGAAGAAGTGGGATTGCTAGTGGTTACGCAAATGAACCGTTCAATACTTCCAGCTGATCCGAGATCATACCTTATGACTCATGAGGCGCCTAAACAAAAATTAGTTATTACTCCAGCGTGAGCGACGGAGTTGAAAATTCGCCTAGGTTTTGTTTTGTTTTTTGTTTGTTTTTTGTCATCGCAAATGTGTTTTGGTGCGAAATATAATAGTAATTGAAAAGTGTATGCGACCGTATTTATCTACGTCACCGACTCGCAGTTTTGTCTCCCAAGGGTTGTGGTGCACAGCTCGAAATCTCTGACTAACCTTCCGATGCGCGATTTGATTTCGCTCGCATGATACGGCAATTCCTCCAAGAGGGACAAAAAACCCGTTCTTTTAATACTGTTCGATTAAGTTTAGATTTATTTGGGGTAAGAATATATTTTAAAATACATGCAGATTCTGGTCCTATTCCTGCTATTTCGCCGTTTTACAAGATCTGGTCGTGTATGGGCGCGTTGACACGTCGCAGTTTATTAAATAAAACAATTTTATTGTTTTTGTAGCTGTGAAAAGAATTATCGAGTGACAATTTTCTTTAATATTATTCTTGTGGTGCTATATGCGTTAATGCGTACTAATTTTATACAATGTTCAAATTATACAAGGAGTATAAAATAAGGATATACTTGGTACTTGACTAGTTGACTTCGCACTTTTGGTGCGTGTGAGTAGTTTGAGTCCTTGAGGTCTTTTTTGTGAGTAAAAAAACATGTTTTAAAAAAGTTAATTTCAAAACGTGGAAAATTTTGGGATATGTTTCATAACCAGCTGATCTGTATGACAGTGGTTGGGGCTAAGAAACTGTTTGAATTCCCGAAATTCTTCCCACCCCACTTTTTGTGCTGGAAAAAATGTCAAAGCGCAGTATAACATTATAAAAATATAACATTGCTTGAATTGTGTTAAAGCCCGTTTTCCACTATGCGAATTTATTCGCGCGAACAGATAAAAAGTAGGAGGCGTTTCTACTTTCTCGCGGCGAATTTTTTCGCAAATCAATCACACCACCGGATTTCAAATATTGCGTCGCGCGAATAAATTCGGCTTCAGACGCACCAAAATGAAACTGAATGCCGATGCCTTGACGGCGTTGTTTTGGCAACTTCCGTGGCAACCTCTCGTCGACGGCATGACAGAAACGTCATGTAAGCTTCTATGTCTATAGGGAGATTTACTTCCGTCATAAATTCCTGGTATCATAAAAGTTTCGGTCCAAACTTCCAAACATTTTAACATTATAAGTGGCTATTATTATGGCTATTGGTTGAGTTTTTAACGTATATCATGTTTGTTAGTTGAGCCATTTGAAATATTTGTTCGTTGAAATATGGGAGTGAGGTGACGTTAAATTGGTTATTTGTTTTTGATACACGCTCTCTTATCAATTACGGCAAGGACAAACTTCAAAATTTAAACGACGCCATGATTTGGAAGAATAAATATTTGTCAAGGTATATATATAATATGATTAGAATATTCCCATATGTTAAATATCTACATATATTTTATATACGTTGTTATACACCATACAATACAAACGGCTATGTATCACCATGCAGTAATAAATGCGCAATCTTGCCCTTATTAAACTTTTTGGATCATTGATTGTTTACAGTAGATTCCTTGATTGTTTTTAGCTGTTCCTGGCCTAATTTTAAAATGTTTATGATTTCCACTTGAAATTGAGACACAATCAACCCTCTTAAATGAATGAAATACACACAAGAATGATCCAAGACTAACTGGTTCATTGCAATGTTCATGGGGGTTAATTTAGTTGTATATAGGCTGTATAGCAGGAACACTGCTCATTGAACACTGAATACTATCATGGGGTGTCATTAGAAGAACAGGAAAAGTATTTTCATAAGGTTACTGGTTACCAATATGCTTAGTGTATTCAAAACTATCATTGCTACCATCAAACAAAACCTTAAAGCCCAGGTTTCAGCTGGTAATGTAAATAAATTAACACTTTGTTTACATATTGAATTGCCACATCTCTTGAAATATCCTGTCCTGTCTGAATATTTACTACCACTTCAGTTTACTATATTGCAAAATCATAAAATAAAGTTTATGTTCAAAGAAATGCAAAACGTGGGAAATTTGGACAATGTCTAAATCGTGGAGTCTAGCTCCCAATGTTATGAGCAGAACTAATGTGCAAATAAAGCCTCTGTATTCCCTCTCTAACTAAAATAGGTTGTATATATTAAAAGCATTATTACCTTAATTTAGTCTGTCTGTTTTTCATCTAGCTTATTAGTTCATAAGGTATCAGAAATAAGCTATTAAAGTGCTTGTATGGCAGAAAAACGTAAGGTTGGAGATTGGATTGAGAGTGGCTATCTTGGTCATGGGACATTTGGCATTGTCAAACTTTGGCATAATGAGGTACAGTAGAATAACCTGCCAAATAATTTCCAGAAATTTTCATAGGAGGACCTATCCACTTATGAGGTATAATTGTATTAGATATGATACCAAACCAGACACCATTGCTACTTTACTAATGAAAAAACCCACCATTTTAAGCTTCTCTATGCTATGTGTCATATTCTATTTTAACACATTTTCGAATTATGATTCCTGCAATGAAGTAAATTTCTGCAATCAATGTTCTACCTGCATGGTGAACCAATTATGCTGGTCCTAAGGCTAAGCCTTATTATAAATTCAAAGAGGCTTAATTAATTGCCTGAATTGATGGACAATTGGACAATAGTTGTTCTACTAATGACTGAAGCTAATGATCTTAACCATAGTTTCAACATGTCTCAGTAATTGTAGTTTTTTCCCCTGTGTTCATTTGCTCAAAAAACTTACACTATACACCGTACTCTTATGAATTTTCAGAAAACGAAAGTGAAAATTGCTCTGAAAACATGCCATAACGATCCGCAATTGAGCGAGAAAAGTCGCGAACGATGGAGGCAAGAGGTGGAATTTCTTAAGACAATCAAACATCCAAATATTATCCAGACTCGGCCTTTACCGCCGGAGCTTGCAAATGAACAGTGTGACGCGAAGTCTCTACCAGCTCTGTGCATGGAATATTGCGAAGGAGGTGATTTACGTAAGGTACATATTTTTATTTGATTTATGGTGCATACGCTACATTTTTGTCATTTCTAGATAAGTCGAATCACGCCGTGTCGATTTTGGCATTTTTCATTTTTGCCGGTTTTGCCCCAAAATATTGTTTGGCTATATTTGGCTTTGTTTCTGGCCTTTTTCAAAAACATTCTCCAAAGGATTTAAGACGAAGGGCATTATCTTTTTTCCATGTTCTTTTAACCATTATGTTCTGGAAAAATAACCTGAGCACTTGTTAAATATATTGCACTCATGCTGACTTCGCAGACGGTCCTATGCGTCGGCTGTATTTTTCACTCTACCACAAAATACGATTTAACAAGAATAGAGGTTGAAAGGGTCTTAATTTCGAGTGAAATTATACACACTTCAAATTCAAGCCAGGAAGAGTTGATGGAAAATGAGTCAACTGTAGGTCCTCCGGCAGGAATCGAACCTACGCTTTTGCGATGCCAGTGCAATGCTCATGCTCAGTGGCAAGAACGTTAACTCTTATTTACTGATGCCGAGGGAGACAGTGTGAGACAATGCCGAGGCGAAGCTGAGGACAACAACGATCGGTCGAGTGTGATTTGTTATTTGTGATCAGCAGAGTTGCAAAAAGAGTTCAACCTTCCTTCGGTAGGATTTCAAGTTTTGAAAACCTTCCTCAAAATGATGTTACGTCACTGATTCAAGTGGCAACCAGCATAAAGAAATATTTGGTTTTTTGGTACATGCATGTGATCAATTACAGTGTTCAACTTTGAACCTTCCTCCCAAATCTCATTCAAAGCCAACCTTCCTCCGGGTGGTACCCGCGTGCCCGCAGCTTTTTTGCAACTTTGGTGATCAGTGATTTGTTATTATAGCTATCTAGTGTCAAAATGAAAATAAACCGAAGGCCAAAGAAGAGCCAATTCCTAGACTATACGTATATAAGTGTTAATTAAAGAGGATCATTATCAGATAAATTTTTAATTTTTTGTCACAGTTTTTAACGAAAAGCTTTTTTTTAGACGTTGAGTACTGCAGAAAATTGTAATGGTTTAAAAGAGTCGATGGTTATTAGAGTCTGTGAGGATATTGGTATGGCAATAAATAATCTTTGTAGGCAATAGTGTCATCATCCACGTGCATGTGCCACACCCTTTTTATACTCGATCCCCCATCACAATTGACGCTCGTTACTATTATACCTCTTTTGCAGCAAATGCAATAGAATGTCTTCATAAGGAAAAGATCGCTCACCGAGACATTAAGCCAGAAAACATTGTTATATGTCCAAACGGAAATAGGGTAAGTAATATATGTAATTTAACAATGAACTGAAAGTCGTTGTAACTGCAGTACTCTGCAGTTAGTCGTGCAAAATTATTTAATATTCTAATTAGTTAGTTCGTCTGTGCGTATGGTCAGCGTTAATTCGCAAGAATACTACAAAAGGATATGTCAGCTATATTCTGGACAATATAATTAGGAAAACTTTCTGGCAGTATAAGTGGAATTTTAAGACATTTAATGCGATTCTTGAATTAGGGATATGTCAAAGGAGTTACGGTTGTTATCTATTTTTATGTAATATTGAATAACAACGCGTAAATAAAGCGATTTCTTAAGAGAGAGCGTGTACGACTTAAGGATCTGCTACAGTCATCAATCTAGTGATCGCTGCATTCACTCACGACTTCAATTTGCAGCTGCCACGTGCACCATGCATGCACACGGTCCTTGTTGCTCTGTTAAAACAACAAATTTAAATTGATTGCCTCTGACTCGTCTCTTTTTATCAATTCCATTTGGTAAAAACAAGCAAAATATTAGCTGTTTAATTTTACCACGTTTTTAGTCATTTTAACTGATAAAAAATTGGTCCAAAAAATGAATCTGAGGTAACCAACTTTAAATTTGTACTGTTGTATAATAATATACACTTAATGTATGCTCCCGAGGGAAATAGTGAGTTTTGTTTTCCCAAAAGTCTGAATGTTGAGACTCGAGGGAAAACAAAACTCACTATTTCTCGAGGTGTAGCGAACATTAAGTGTTTTGTTATATAGGAACAAAAACATACATGTTACACGACAATTTCATTTCAAAAAACTTTGTTATGATAATATGCGGGCAACAATTTTTCACTTGTTTCCCTGGCGGGAAAGATTGCATTTATTTAAAGTCATGTGACTACGAATCAACCAATCACATTTAAAATACACAGCACCTATATAACAATAAATTATTGGACGAGGTCGAGCAAAATATTGTGATTAGTCGGTGTCGAACCGAGTTCAATAATTGTTTTATCATTCACTTTTCTTATTATTTTTTGGTATTTCCCGCGTTTTTTTTTCGAGTGAGCAATACAACTCATTTTCCGAATGTTTAGCAAGGCGAGTCGCCATTATTGTTTACAAAATTGAAGCCAATGCGCATACTCAGAGTACTATTTGCAGCTGAGCAACGTTTTCAACAAATGCACATGCTTTTGCACAGGGTATTATTTGCACGCAGTTAACGGTAATTACAAGGGCGTAGAAAGCATCCAGAGGTTGAGAGGGCACCAGCTTCTAAGGGCACTTTTGGTTAATAAAAATGACGGTTAAAATGGTTAATAAAAATATATATATAAGGACGGTTTGATTCAGGGACCGCCGACCGCGGAGCATTTTTCATATTTCTTGGGCTTCGTACTGCTAGGGGAGAAAATTTTGACATATAGGCCTCTGAAATGGCCGCAAATCCCTCTTAATTTAAGGATTATTAGGAAATAGTAGATACCTTTTTCTTTCTTTTCGCTTCCCAAAAAGGCATTTTTTTTCACAAAAAGGGTACTTTTGGTCCCTTGAAAAATCTTGGGGGGGCACGTGCCCCCAGTGCCCCCCCCCCTTCCTCCGCCACGTCGGTAAATTAACCAATAGAAATTGAGAATGCGATAAAGTGAATGATGATATGAACTGAACATTGTACAGTCAGTATATATGTCAGTGTTGGTTTTCCACTATACACTTGATGAAATCGCCTTAGTGCAATAAACCCAACATTAATTACCTAGGGCCAGTTGTATAAACGGCTAGTTAACTTTTAACTGTAGTTAAGGACAGAATTGGCCATTCAGAGTCGTGTATTTCAGAGTTAATTTGGATTTAACTATGCAAAACGTAGTTAAGGAGTTTTATACAACCGGCCCTGGTTATTTTCTGTGCTTGACGTGAACAATTGATACGTTGTATGATTTACGTTATGACGTATACGTTATAATTTTATAACTGTAAAAATTAATGGCGATTCGTCGAATTTGCATGTGTCAATAAAGACAATGATTATAGCAAGCCGTCCATGCCGTATTACCTGAAAGACCTGTATGGCACTTAGTTATTACAGCAGTCGTCGAGAATCATTTGCACCAGGCAGTTGCATTCAGACTCATTTGCAAGAGAAGCAATATAATATCTATTCCATTCAAGAGATTATGAAGAGAATTATTAGGCAGTAAACATGCAGCGTGGCAGCTAGCGTAAACTAACTCTCCATACTCTCCCTATTAATTCCCCTGAGGAAGCCTTAGGTGGAAACCTGAGGAAGCCTTAGGTGGAAACCTCGAGAAATTTGATGCAAAGAGAATTAGCTTTTCAGTTAGTTTTTCCTATTTTATCTTTTAAGAATATTTACAAACTGATCGATCTGGGCTATGCGAAACAGGCTGATCAGTCAGGATCATGTCATTCCTTTGTTGGAACCCATTTTTATTTAGTAAGTATGTTTGTTTTTTTTGTGTTTAAATGTGCAGGTTTCTCGACTATATCTCGCGCGCTTTTATTATCTTTCTTACATGGTGAAAGTATAGACGAAAAAGTCAGAAGGGTATATGATATACATTGTCATGACTATGTAAATATTAAATAACAAAGAATTCGCAGCCCGACAATATCTAACTAAGGACTGACGACACGGAATCGAGATGACACTGCATGATATTCGCCGAGCCAGAGGTGAATAATTGTTTAAGTCTAATTACAATATACACTTAATGTATGCTCCCGAGGGAAATAGTGAGTTTTGTTTCCCCAAGAGTCTGAATGTTTCCCGCGATGAAGTCGAGGGAAACATTGAGACTCGAGAGAAAACAAAACTCACTATTTGCCGAGGTAGTGTACATTAAGTGTTTTGTTATATAGGAACAAAAACATAGCTACATGTTACACAACAATTTCATTTAAAAAAACCCACTTTACTTTGTTATGACAAGAAGCGGGCAACAATTTTTCACTTGTTTCCCTGGCGGGAAACATTGCATTCATTTAAAGTCATGCGACTACGAAAGAACCAATCACAGCGCCTATATAACAATGGTAATTGCTCGAAAAAACTCTTTTAGAAGATACAGCTGTTACAAACGTAAAAAAATCACTCGACAATTTTGCAGCGATTTTCCCTTTTTTTTCGTCTGTTTTATTGTCTTATCTCGCTTGAGCTTGTAACGCCTAATTTTTGCTGTGAAAATAACAGTTATATGACGTAATCTGATGTTGTCAAAGCTGCCGTGACGTGCACCAACGCGAGAAACGATCCTAGGACGGTTCCGATTCGTTAGAAGTCTTCGTGCCCCCCACGCGTGATTCGTAAACTCGCGACAAAAAAGGAAAAACCGAGCCCATTTTTCAACTCGCTCTACCTACGGTAGCCCGAGTAATTGCTTATTTCTTCATCTGTCACTCTGACAAAAACAACTCGCCGCCATTTTGAAAATTCCACTTCGGCCGTGATTATCACGTAATCATTCGCGTCATAGTCCGAGATCGCTCGACCAATCAGAGGCCAGGATTTTCAATATTCAATGTAATTATACTATGATTACTGTTAACCAAGACAATTTTGCATTATTTAATTAAACAAGTGTAATAATAAGTTTGATTGATTATAATTAGAATGATTATACATTTCTCGGGCTCGTTTTGTATAATTTCCAAATACCCAAACTTATACCATATTTTCGAGCGATTGCGTTTCTCTTTGCCTCGGAAAGATTGTGAAAGTACTGGGGACTTTTTGAAGACAACTGCGAAACGTTTGGTCCTGCATATTTTAATACGTATTTTATTAATTTTAAAAGTAGAATGCATTGCAACTTGCAAGAAATTTTTTTTTTCGACTGACAAAACATTTTATGCACCAATGTTCACAGACAGTGGGAATCTCTAGCTTAGGAACAGTGATAATCAGGCCGTGATTGATCATTCATTCATTAACCAATCTGTCTTGTCGTATATATAGCTAATCACAGTATATCATTAAGGTTCCTTTCATTTAAGTTAATTGACTATACCCTCCTATTTACTAGGCACCAGAAATCCTTACTGGTAAAACATACACGTTAACGGTAAGTTATTTGTAACAGCGTAGGTCTGGTTGAAAAATTTAAACTACTCGTTCTGTCTGAATATGACTTTGTAATAAAGTCGAAAATTTACAGTCTCAATCTGTGTCTTGTTTGAATTATATTTTGATTCTAACGATGTCTTGTTTATTCGGAATTTGCATTTTACTTTACTTTTTTAAATTGTCGGCTGGTCATAGTTTTTATTGACAACAATTGTCATGACATTCCATCAACAGATTATAAAAAACAGATCAAAGAAAATCAATGACGGTGTTTTATATAACTATGGCGTGAAAATAACTAGTGTAGGAGGTTTTGTAAATGATATCGCATTTTTAAAGAAATTATTTTCAGTGAACGAGAATCATCTACGTCGTAGTTACTATTTTTTCACATACTTCTTCCAAGCTGAGAGGTTATAGATCTACGTTTTGACTAAACTATATAGTCATTACGTTCGTATGACTTTTATTCATCCAAATAGGCTTCACCCTTTAAACTATATATCTATTTCAGGTGGATCTTTGGAGCTATGGGATATTGCTGTACGAATGTTGTACTGGGCTCCGGCCATTTCCTGCGAAATGCCAAGAAGTGATTGAAAGTTTGGAAAAAAAAGACCAGGACATTATAGCTGCAACTCTTGAAGAGGAAAATGGTAAAATGAGTTACGTTATGCTTATTATGTAATATGCAGTGTTTTATTGACCATTGTGAGTCTGAAAAGCGATAATAACGCATGTGCGATTAACATGTTTGATCCACCAATCAGGAAGCGGGTATACGCGTCCTGTATACGCGTTCAAAAAACCAGTTTTCTGTTTTATAATAGAGACAAAAATACACGAATGCTTGGAAATGTTGAGAATGATATGATTGCTTAGTTCTTTTAAAGTACATAAATAACATATATGTAGAGTCTTGTTACAGTGATAAAATCTTTGATATATCTTCCTTAGTTTTGAAACTTTCATATCTGACTTTGACCGAGAGAGATGAGTTTCGGCCATTTTGGATTGTTGAGGATATGCATGATGATTTCAGGCTTAGATTGACGCAAGTTTTTAACTCGACAACCAGTGATCAAAGTGGACAAGTAAAACGAAACGAAACGCGTTTTCACCTTGTATTTTAAGTTTCAAAGTTAATAAAATTATTTCAAACAGATTGTTTCTCTCTACTTTAGAGAGGCTAAACCACTTCTGATTTCATCATAACAATAATATATAACGGTTACCTGGCCGCAAGCCACTTTGAAGGCGAATCGGGCACTGGTCACGCTAATCGGCTTCCAGTTGCCATCTTTGATGGCGACCGGGTTATCGTTACAATGCACATAATCATTGAAGACCGTTTTGCGAATCCGCTAGTAGTTTGTTTTAGTATACTATTTCGTAGTGCTCACCTATTTGCTCAGTGTAATTAAGGTATGGATCAAAATAGTTATCCAGCGGCCTTAGCCAAGCTGGAACAGCTTGTGGAGCGGTTAGGCGAATTTTTGGAAGGTGGGTGGGCTGTTTGTCTACCAACTCGGCCCGCCGGGAAGAACTGAGCTAACGGTGGTTTTCTTCAAGTTAACGCCCTCTTTTAAACCCTTTCAGTCATTTATGCGTCTGCGCGTACTCTTTCAACCATTAAATTCTGTTTGTTATGTTTACTTCCACTTTGCATATAATTACGAGCACTACGAATGGTATTCGAGCTGCGATAGTACAATTCCTATCCGGATATTTTGTAACCGTACGTATCATAGGAATCCCAATAAATACTATTTGAATAATAAAACTTAGTCCAGTTGCGTTATGAGTTCAGTGACGTCAGTGATCGCAAAGCAACAGTTTTAACCCCCCTCTTATAAGGCGGTCCTGTAAGACGATATTGTACCTGATTTCAAACAAGATTGAGAATGTCGCTATCTCTATTTAAGCAATGCGATTATCATTTTTATTCTATAAAAAAATTATTTCCATTCTTAGGTATGTTGGTTTATTGGGATAAGCTTCCTGAAGTCAATCGTTTAAACCGGTGAGATAATATACCACAACTTTAAATGCATGATAAATTCTGATCATTTTTCAAGAATCGATCGAATATCGATGGTAGCTGTAATTAAAACTTTCCTTTTAACTGCACTGTGCATGATCAACTAATCATAGTAAGGAAACATAAAATTATTGTATATTATTGCCATAAAAAGTTACCGACGAAATAATGAAAACTAGGCGTCCAATGTCTTGTGAGGGCACCTCAGGAGTAGAATTGCTGTATTGCAAGTTGCAAGGAAAGTTGTATAGTGTAACACCGCCTTTAGTTCAGGACAAATTACATGGCGAAATTTCTTAACGTCAATTAGCAGAATTAAGTATGTTGCTTAGCAACAGCTTGTCTGACGGAAAAGAAACTCACTTTACAAACGCTTCCGTCAAAATAGACGAAAATATACTATACCGAGCAAATTTGATGGTTTCAAGCGAATATGACCTTCATGTTGACTCATTTTTCCATCAACTGTTCCTGGCTTGAATTTAAAGTGTGTATAATTCCTCTCGAAATTAAGACCCTTTAATTTAAACCTCTAGAATATATCTACGTCGAGTGAAGTGCCAAAAATCATAAACTTATTCCCGGCATTACCATGCACCCTATACACATTAACCACGCTTGCTCTTGTCAGCTATCTCTGTATGTAGCTCAGTGGCAAGAGCATTGCACCGGCATCACAAAAGCGTAGGTTCGATTCCTGCCGGAGGACGTATAGTTGACTCATTTTTTCATCAACTGTTCCTGGCTTACATTTGAAGTGTGTATAATTCCACTCGAAATTAAGACCCTTGAAACCTCTAGAATAATACAATACAATGCAATTATTCTTTTATGTTTGCAGTAAGGATTTTTACCTAAACTACAATTACTTAAAAGAAAATTAATTGCCGCTACCGCTGTCCAGTGTCTTCCATTAAATTTTCTCTTGTTTTTTTGTCTGTAGAAGAAGCAAATTAAATAAGGCTTACATCTTTTCTTGTTTATTTCCTCGATATTATTCAAGGTTCATTTCATTGTTATAGCGTTTTACAAAGAAAATTTGAAGAGTTACTTCGCATGTTGTTGGACGGCGACCCGACCAGGCGTGGTTCATCTGAAACTGGAAATGGAACAAGGTCGTGGAAGAATTGTATCGAAGAAATTAAGAATACTCAGGTAGACATTTGAATACAAAATAAACATATAAATTGATTATTTATCCATCATGAAATTGACGTTTAAAGTATTTCTCCTAGTTAATCTTCCTGCAAGTATGTTCGTTATAAAAATCCGCTTTAATCTTTAATCCACTTTTGTTGGAAAAATTGTTGCACGGCGGTGGCTGAAAGTTATTTTGTCAAGGCAAAAGATAGGCATTATGACGTAGCCCACGTTAATCAACGTTCTTATCCATTTAAGCTTTATAGCCTACTTGCAACATTACACGTCTATAGACACATCAATGTCGAGTGTGGCTCCATCTAAGCATTTAGTGCAACGTCTCAATAACAAAAATAAATTGCAATTGCGCGTCATTTGAAATTAAGATATTATTCGATTACTAGTATTTGCAAATTCATTTGCTTTCAGTTTCATCTTTTTCTGATTTTCTATCATTTCATTTGTAGTACCATAATTTTTTTTTTTTCTAGCGGTCCGAATTCATATTTTAGCGTTTCCTGCAATCTGATTGGCTACGCGAGCGGTCCGTATGAGGCGGTACGGACCGCGCGACATTTAAAAGCACATAGCCAACGCTAAAATATGAATTCGGACCGCAAGAAAAAAATCTATTATTTACCAGTTTAGTCGGTCTGTATAGGGAAGTATTTTCCTCGGTCTCTCTTGATACCTCGGTAAATAACATATATATATATATAAGATTGTGTGACGTAACTGTATTGGTCTATGGCAGTATACTATGTCAGCTTGATAACCTTAGTATACATTTTAAAGATAATTATAGAAATACATCAACACAATTTTATATATACCAGATTTTTATTAGCTATGTTTAATTTCTGCAGTTTTTCCCCTTTTTTGGTAATGATATATACATTTTCGTAGTAGCCAATGCTCGACTTTTATTACTTTGTCCTTTTTTTCAGGTTATCGAGGTTTTCTGCATCGAATTGTATAAACAGTTTGTTTATGAACTTACTTCGGATTTAAGGTAAGTTTGAAAATAAAAGCAATATGTTTTATTTTTTGCATTAGTCCACAATTTGGAATTAAGGTGGATTTACTCACGGTTCAGGCATAGGCGGCCCAGAACTGATCTCGCTGACCTCGCGCGACGCTCATGTTGTCTGAACAATTTTATATTATGGCAATGTTGGCAATTCTCACGCCAAATAAGCTAAAAACGCACGCCGGTTAACTCAAACACCTTCACAAAACCGCAAATATTTCATAAAAATATGGCGAATAAGAAAAAAAAAGTACAACACATTAAACTTGAATAATTTTACTACATTTATACGATATTTTTAGCATTCAAATGTATTCCTACGCATGTATAAAACGTGAATGTTTTTTGGGTTTGTGGCAAATATATTTCAAAACCTATGCTGCGGACACCCAGCCTATACCTTCGTCATATTTTTAAATTGAAAATAGAAAGCTGATTGGCTCTTTTTAAACGATAGCAGTGTCGGTGGAAGTTAAATCTTGTATACGTTTTGTTTTCCCTGTTTTATCTTGTTTCGCTCTGCTTTGTTTCGTCTCGTATCTTTTCGTTGTTGTTCTGTCTTGTTGTATCGTATGACTGCGTTTCGTGGTGAATGTACTCTGTTTTTTGTAAGGGCCCACTGTAATTGGTGTACACTGTTGTGGTGTCCCTGCTAAATGATTGTTACAATTGGCGAATTTCAATAAATAAATAAACAAATATATATAATAAAAATATTTGTACTTGTTATACAACCCTGGCTGACAACGTGACAACTCTAGCTGTCAAATTCAACCATAAACTTTAGTTACTACAAATAGACGTTTTTGAGACTTCGGGCACAATTTTACATCCGTACTTCGCCTGGAGAAAATGACTTATACCCGGGACTCTATAGCTATGTGTGAACTTTCTTTTATGTTACACCCGGTATATATATGGTGTCTTTATCATCTTAATGGCGAAAACCACATTTAACTATAATGATTGACCTCATCGTTACCTTGTTTCCTTATTTTTTTTCAGTGTTCATGATCTGAAACTTCTTCTTGCAAAGGACACAAAGATTCCAGTAGAGAATCAGGAGCTTTTTATTCATGATGGAAGTGATCTCTCTGAAGTAACTCTGTTGTCTTCCAGCTCGGTAAGCGGTTTGAATCTTGACTTGACGAATTTGCGAAATATGAAGTATTTATAACCCTAAGAAATCCGAAAGAATGCCCTTTGAATAAAAACTGCTTAACTAAAAGCATTGTGTATAAGGCATATATATATATATATAATATATATATATATATATATATATATATATATATATATATATATATATATATATATATACATATATATATACATATATATATATATAAATACATATATACATATATAAGGAATATATTGGAATGACCGCGTTCAAAGAAAGATACCGCAACCACAAGAAGTCGATTAACAATGAGAAGTATGAAAAGGAGACGGAACTCTCAATGTATATATATCTGGGGATTGAAGAGAGACAACACGTTCGAGTTCGAGTTGAAGTGGTCAATTCTGCGTCATGCTTATCCTCACAAGCCTGGTGGAAAGCGTTGTAATCTCTGCATTGAAGAAAAACTTTGCCTAATGAAAGCTGATGAGCATATACTTTTAAACAAAAGATCAGAACTATATACTAAATGCCGCCATCGCGATAAATTTTATGCTGGAAATTTCAAACGCACGCGTAAACATTAACAGTACGCGTGCCCGACCGTTAATCACGCAATTCAATGCAACGAACTGAATTTAATCGCCTGAAGATCTAGATAATCGTGAAACTCAGAGTAGCTATAACTAAATAAATTCATTTTAAGACTTCATTTCATCTAATATATATATATATATATATATATATACATATATATATATATATATATATATATATATATATATAATATATATATATCGCCGGTGTAAAGTATACCCTTAGAAATATCTTTAATCACGTACTATAATATCCAACTTTAATCAGTGGTTCGAATTCTTACCAAGGTTCGAATGTGAAATTTATTGTTTTATTTTCTTATGTTTTAGAATATGACAGCATTCGTGTTCAACAAAGCATTTGACCCACGGCTAGAAATGGGATGCAAAAATGAACTTCCTAGCAGCTTGTGTAAAATGCGTAAGTGGAAATTGATCATTGAAAAATATCAAATGAGTACTAAAAATAATATTTCTATCATTCGGCATAAAAATTGTTATAGCTAAAGTTAAAAATTCAAGCTTGAAACCATCAAAACAGTACAAAATTTTCAAGGACTAAACGTCAAATGTTACCTCGCGAATATTTTTTCTGTGATCGTAGTCGACTCTAAAAGTTTTGTAATGACATTTGTTTACCAACATTTAAATTATTGCACTTGACCAGGGATTTTACGTGTTGTCAGGACCACATAACAAGAAGAATTATTAAAGTGCCTATGAAACGAATTTTTTTATTCAATCATTTGGTACTTTCGACAGCGGAGAATTCGAATTTGACCATAAAAATGTCCAATTCGAAATACAAACATGAGTTTTTGTACGTTTTTGTATCGATTTCGCAATAAAAATATGGTTCGGAGACTGGGAACAAATTAGACGGATGTGACGTAAAGCGCAGGGCACATGAAATTGACACAACGCAAATAACGCAAATTATAAACAAACAATATAGGACGATGTAGTCGAATAGCAGTAATAATTCTGTTGCTAATTCGGATGCAAACGATTGAAGCGAGTATGTTTGCGATTCTCAATACATGCCATATGAAGGCGAACCATTAGCTCCTCAGGGAGACGATATAATGGTTGATATTAACAAGGGAAAATCCGAAGAAGTTGATATCGATCGATGGCTTGACACCGGTTATTCAATAGAGGCTAGATATGACCCAGAGGATAAAGTAGATTCCTTGCATGTAGGCTTTTTTCAGTTTGGTGGTAAATAAAATACTTAAGAGTTTGAACTTCTGTAATTTAAAGTGAGAAACTTCACAAAAGCAATGGACTTTATATAGGTATATCCGTGCTGTTGGTTATAGGTGGTTGGCAAGATGGATATTTGGCTACAGGGGTCCATGTTTGAACCTCGAGTTAAAAAGCGCTTGGTGTTACTGCTATCGAAGCCTTGTAAATTGCTCGCAAAACGTTTGGAGAAGCAACTCTCGTCAAAATGCGCCAAGCACAACCATATTCTTGACGAATATTTTTCCGGGTCGAAGTCAGACCGATGTATTCGAACAAATTGGACCCGCTGTTTTCGTACAGACGTATCTTTAAAAAAACAATGCATGCTAATACCTCGTGTGTCGCCACTATTTGTGCACAATTTCTTATTTGGCCTTCCAGCAACACAACAAGAATTTCTCTTTTTTCATTTGCACATAAAGGAGATGTTTCCTCCATATCTACAGGTGCGCTCAAAAGTTATTGGACACACAGTTTTTTTATTATTTTTTTGCCTTGTGAGGATTTGGTCGGATAATAACAACTTATTTTAACACAGAATTTGAAATAAAATATTTTAGTATTCAAAAGAGCACTCGTGCCTGCCAGCGAGCGCGATAGATTTAAAACAGCTCCCCTGCACAGACGAGACCTAATAGCAGAAGGCACACGAGTGTCTGTATCAACAATAAAGAGACGTTTGAAAGAAGGTAATATGAATGGACGAGTAGCAAGAAAGAAACCATTGATAAGTGAAGTCAATGTGCTGGCCCGTCTAAAATATGCGTTAGCGAAGAGACATTGGACAGCTGATCAGTGGTTAAAAGTTATGTGGTCTGACGAAAGTACATTTAATCTTTTTCCCAATTGTGGTAAAGTGTATATATGTGCGGCGGCGACCTGGCGAAAAGTTCCAACGCAAATGTCTTAAACTCACTGTCAAACACGGAGGTAGAAGTATCATGGTTTGGGGCTGTGTTAGCGGGGATGGTATATGGGTAAAATAAAAAGGTTGGAAGGAAAAGTAGATGCTGAAGCCTATTATCGCATACTACGTCACCAAATGGCGCCCACTATGAAACTCCAAGATAGCCGGCAGTCTTTCGTTTTTATGCAAGACAATGCCTCCGTGCATATACAGCTAAGAAGAATCTAATGTTCCTTGAGCGAAATAACTATGATTTGCTGGACCATCCTGCCCAATCACCTGACTTAAATCCATTGGAGAATATTTGGTGGGCAATAGAACAAGTACTTTTGGACGAACCTCTTCCTTCTAATGCAAATGATTTGTTCGAGAAAATTGAGCAAATTTGGAATAACTATCCCAACGATAAACTGGTTAAATACATAGAATCAATGCCCAGTCGTATAGAGGCAGTTATTCAGGCCAAAGGATGGCATACCAAGTTCTGATTTGGCGTGAAAAAGGTTGTTGTGTGATGTGTGATGTGCTACTGATAATTGTGCAATTTGCATAAATGACAAGACTATATAGTATGTAGCTCGAAATGTTGTATTAAAGCATAAACTTTTGAATACTAAAATATTTTATTTGAAATTCTGTGCTAAAACAAGTTGTTATTATCCGACCAAACCCTCACCAGACAAAAAAATAATAAAAAAACTGTGTGTCCAATAACTTTTGAGCGCACCTGTACGGCTTATATTCTAATGTATAAAAACCTTTCCCTTAGTTGTTTATCATAAAATGCGCTTAGCGCGTAGTGTAATCTTGTCATCTTGTTGCGATTCACGCAAGCCTATATAGAAGTTAAACTAAACCGCTTCGTCATATTGAAGTTGTACGAAGGTTTAATTTGACGTTTCGAGCGAGACTCTTCGTTATTTAGAGTTTTATAATATGCGATAAGACTGTTCGAAAAGTCGAGATTTCGTGTATTTCGTATAAAAGTAAGAGCTTATGTTATTGTGTGTATAAATAATACTGTTGTTCACATTTTTCTTACCAAAGTATTTCGTTCGGAAATCATAGCTCAATGCTAAATATAATTACAAGTTGTTAATTTATTTACAAAATCAAGTTATATATGTTTAAGGGTAGTGTCGCAGCTCCTCGCAAGAATGATTTTCATTGGCTAAACTTTACAATACATTTCTGTTTCAACCAATAGCATAGCTTCGTTCCTTAGAAAGCTTAGAAAAGCAATATCCAATTGGACGAAAGTTTCCGAGAGCTGCGACATGTCCCATGATTATTCCTAATTCCTTATTTTCGTTTTTTTTAATTTTATTATTTTTACAACATAGTTGAAGATCCAGAAGGATTTACAAAACGATCAATGGTACGTAACTTTTTATCGGTATCGTTTTTTCGGTAAAATCAATCTAATCATCTCGATAAGATCTCCCATTACAACGCTATCAAGATAACGTACAGCTGCATGGCAAATAGCAAACATTTATTTCCACTTATAAATCGAGAATCTGATCGCAACAAGGAATAGCGAGGGAAAAAACGAATACCTATCACGCGGAGTAAGTTTATCCGCTGCTGTCGTGTATAGCAGGTCAAAGAATGTAGTGTAACTATGGTGTAACTAGAGATTATTTTTGTGTCCTGAAATTTCCCCCAAATGTACACGTCATGCACACGCCACGACACTTGCTAGAAACAAGGCCGCCAGTGCATTTTTTCTGCCGTTTTTTAATTGATATAAATTAATAAATTTATTTTTAAATTAATTTTTATCTCCGCAAATGCCAAAAAAATTTGAAATGGTCACACGGCAGAGAGCATGCATAAAAACAAATGACGAATGTCACGAGATATCACGCAATAAACATTTACCAGCAAGGCTGCCTTGGGACATTTTTACCACTGAGATGGTCATCTGTCCATCTTTTATCTATGACCAGGTTGAAGTTGTATGAGCCGATAAATTTTTGTCGACACGAAGAAAAATATATCTGCAATATAACAATAGGATTAAAGGACAATGACAACCAATTTTTTATTGTCTCATTTAAGAGTATATTTTTAACCAAAAACGAGTTTTAGGTTCATCATGGTAACTTATTGTCAGGATGCATGGGAAATTGCGTGACCCCACGCATGACATCATGCATATTCTCAGTAATCTAAAATGGCGGACGATTTATTGCTCCGTCGAAACATATAGTAAGAACTGAACAAACTATGAAAAATATGTATATAACAAGCGATCTTTAAAATAAGACAATAAGAAAATTTGTTGCCATTGTCCTTCAAGAAGCGTTTCAGAAATCATACGGAATTTTTTTGCAAACAATAAACATTCGAACAAAATCGAGTTTTCTAAGCGTGTTTCGGAGCTAAATCAAATGGACAAACAGGATTGTGTTATCTACAAAGTATAGACAGCATGAACCAAATGGACAAAAGATCAACCGAATAGACAATACCATGCTAGATTATGATTGTATATGCATTTATGTATTATTATATTATTATTATTATTATATACAATTATAAGTAACGAATTATTTATCTATTTTTAGAGATGGCACCTCGACGTCTACAAGCACAGCGTCTTTTTCATCAATAAACAATTGGCAAGCAATAAATGCATCACACGAGGTGTGAAAGCGTTGGTGTAAGTATCTCACGAAGCGACGATGTCCTTTATTTCATGTCGACTTTTTCCATCTTCCCTGCTCCAAGCTGTGCTAACTCGGTTTCCTAGCTCTTATTACATACCCTGAAGATGCGTGATATTGTGGATTGTTGTAGAATTCGTCTGCTAAAGTGGTCCCGAAAAGAGTTCACTGTACGAAGTGATGTCGTTAGTCGGGAAGTTACTTTACTCGAATCTGCTGTTTCTTTCTTTACGAAAAGGTGAGTAAACTTCTTAGATAAATTTGCTCCTGCTATATAATAATTCGTAACAGTATTCGAGCTATCCTTGCATATTTCGATTTTATGTATAGTCACAAACTATTAGCTAAACATATTAAATTAGACATGAAAGTTATAGCTGCAAGATAGCTCAAATTGCACTCAAATCGCTTATATGCGATTAAAACCTTTGTAGGATCAAAATACGGTTTCCTTTGAAAAATTGCTCTTATTAACAGTCAGAATAAAAATTAAATATATAACTACGAGAAGCTAAGAAAAATATACCCCAGTATAAGTCACTATAAGTCTATAAGAAGTGAAAAGTATAGGGCTAATTTTCTGTGTAACTCAGTGCTGTAGATTTGAATAATCAGTTATAGTGGCTGCGGTTAGCCAGCTCGAAGTTTTATTATATGGTAATGCAAGGCGTAAGATATGCGTCACACAAAAATTCTCACTGAGGGATCTTACTGTTTGTTCCCTGTTTGTCCACTGAGTGATCCTTCTGTTTGTTCATTATGATATACCTTAATAACTGTGCTGTCTGTTAAGTGCAAAGTTTCCCAATACTGCAAAGTCTTCGTGAACCTTCGCAGTAGTGTAAGAAGTGCTATATTTTAACGAATTAATTACTTTGTATTTTTAAGCCCCCACCCATGCAGTGGCCCGCCGTCTATTTAACAATTAATCGCGAGGTGACTGATTACAAGCCTATATTAACTGAGCTGAAGGCGAAGAGAATATAGGCTTGTAATCACCGAGCCTGAGGCGACTAATTGTTTTAGTATAAATTTCCAGGTGTTTACAAATAATAATACTTCAAATTTCTTATTTGAAAAACAACATATAGTAACTATAGTCCCCGCCAGTGGTGACTTCACTTCAGAGACACCAATCAGAATACAGGAAATCATCTGTCGATGGTTTTCGTGAGGGGCGTCACACAATTACAATAGATTAAGAATACATGTGTACAAGTATTGAAAATAGTATTATAATATAAACGAATAAACAAATAAGTATTAAAGAAGATAAAAACTAGGAATAATCGATGTCTGACTCAATGATTACATTATTTTATCGTATTTTGAAAGATGCCTAAAGATTGTTTCCTTCGCTTGCTTTGGTAGGCTATATTCCATAGCGCAGCCCCACTGTAACCAAAACTCTTTTTTAAATATTCAGTTTTTGGTTAAAGAAGTGAAAGATTTATGTCATAATTGCTCATATTTGTCTTCCTGGTAATAAATTTGTTTTAAGTTAGGGGATGAGTGGTTGGTTAGTATTTTAAACATCAAAACAGATTTATTTATTTTATGTCTATCATTCAGCTTAAACGTGTATCTACCATCCAGCCTTGATCAATATTCACGTACACAGAATAACGAAAGGAGTGGTATTCTGCGCGACTTATACCGTGTTTTGCATTACCAGCATCAAATATAATTTTGACCGTATTTTAATTAATTCTAAGAGCTAAAAAATAAGAATCTAATTGTGTATATCACGAATTTAATCCTGGAGATTGAAAACAGAGATAAGGTTAGGATTGGGCTGGGATTAGGTCTTAGATTAATTAGGTTTATGGTCGATCAACCCTAATCCTATGATATCTGACCCCAATCTTTTAACCGGATTAATACAGCCTTTCTCACAATGACGAATATGCTGCCATTTTTGGGGTACTTTGTTTTCAAAATCGTGAGCGTGAGACCTCGTAGCGCTGGGTGTCTGTTTAGGCTAAATTTATTCTTCAAATGGTCTGTTGATTCTAAAAAAATTGCATTTTATGTTGTTATAAGTTTTTAAACCCATTTGAGAAAATTGAAACTCTCCCAAAAACGACATGCTGAGAAGGGAAATGCATTCACTTGCGTGGGGAACTTGAGCCTCTTGGGCTTTAACAAACATCTATAGTTGTTATGACAAAACACAGCCAATTTGGCGAGTTATTATCCATAATTGTACTCGGAACTGAGTCACTACAGTCTAGAACTAAGTGTCCGTTCAGAGCTTTTCATACACTTCTCTCCATTTAAATTGTAATATATACATTAATAAAATTCTTCACCTTGGTTTAAGTATTATTAAGCCAATGACAATGTCGAGAGATTTAATGTACATTTTGTCCCCTTCAGAATGGGTGGATCCAGCACTAGTGCACTAATTTGCATCACACAAGAAAACTGCTAAAAATAGCCATTTTGTTTTGTAATGCAAATTAGTGCACTAGTGCTGGGTCCAGCCCTGCCCCATTCTGGTAAGATATTGTTATTTAAGTGTACTTGTCGACCAAAAACGTCATGCTGAGAAGGGGTAATTATATTCAACTAGTATAAGGAAGATAAATGAGCACACCGAAATATTAAGGATAAACTTAGTTTGATTCATGTTATGTGTGAACTGGTACTCTGTTTTTTTCTAGCAGAAATATAGGATTATAGGAAAACCTTGGGTATTGGGTTGGCGGGCTGTCCTTGAGCATCATTATATATTGCTCGAATCGCATTTGGCGCGATAAAATTGCGTCGTAAAAACTCTAGGCATTAGAGAACTCTATTTAATATTTACACTATAAGAGTAAAAAGTCCTCATTTAATTTTTCTTTGCCTAGTCTGAAGACAGATTTGAAAAATTACTGCGGCGAACATTCGAGATCAACTAACGGAATCTCTAAGGATCTACCAAATTTTGAAGACTGGAGACAAATGGAAAAAGGAATGGATATACATAATTTATCGGTAAAGAAAAGTCTTTATTATGTTGTTGTTGTCGTCGTCGTTGTTGTTGTTGTTAAAAAAGATTTTTTAAAGAAATTTCGACTGTAATTTTAACTGAGGAATTCCCCCACCTTGCATGAGCAATTGAGATTTCACTAATCGTTATATCCAGCTAATGTAATTAGAGATTTTCCTGTGTAATTTTTTTCCCTCTCAGTTTGATTCAACAGGGCGATTGTAAAGTGGCGAAACGTCAATATATTGCTGCATGAGTGTTATTTATTCTCGTGTTTTGCACGAGAGTACACAGCATGCATTACATGAGTCTACACAGCCTATTATTATATAGATTGAGTCAGTGAACTGTAGTAAAACCCGGAACCTCAGAAAAACCATCTTCAATTTAGGCATCAAAGATGGCGGTGTAGTTTTCGTTCCAGGTTTAAGTACAGTTCACTGGACTGAGTAGAATTGGTTACCACTCGTGAGCGCCACGAGAACGAAAATGCGCTTTTAGAATAAATAACAATCGTTTCGGCGGCGACATTGGCTATGGCTAAACTGAAGAGCTTTGCACTATTCTTGGATTTCTAGTACGGTTTAAATGCGATTTTATATGCGAAATAAAGCACCGTTCAAGATTTTTACGAATAATATTAAGCCATATTTTGTTTCAGAGGGAGGCCAGTGATGTTTTCAGAAAGAAAGCTGAACTTCAAAATAGGATAGCAACAATAAAAAACAATGAGCGGGTCAGTAAGACTCCAGAACGATCAATGATATATTTGAATCAACGGTAAGTGATTTACTTTCAATTGTTTAAACCAAGCGAACCCTAAAGACATGCTAAATTTTCTGCCCTGTTTCTCTGTACTCTTTCCATCAACATTCAGCTACGCTATTGGCCATTCCGAAGTTACGGTAGTGGACTGGTGATTAGTGAGGGCGTAAACAGCCCCATGTTGCATTGTAACTGGTAATGTCACTATTACAAGTCCTGTACTACAACTTCGGAATGGCTATAATTAATGATATTTTTGCGTTTCTTAACGAATTATTCGAGTCTATTACTATAATATTAGGGGGGGGGTATATTCATATTATCATACTTACACCAGTTGGGTATAAAACTGTAGGCTGTATTTCCTTTTGCATGCAAAGAAATGGTTCACTGGCGAAATATTTGCATCTTTTTATGTCGAATATTCTCTCAGATTATGGAAACACAATATCAAAACATGCATAAACCGTATAGTAGACTGAAATTTAATTGTGGTTTTTTTTCATGTGCAGGGCTAAAGAAATTCAGAAAAAATATGAAAGTGTGAAAGCCAGAATGAGCCCTAAAAGGCAAGAAGGTAAAGACATCGTTAATTTTATTATTTATATTACAGGGGCCGGTTGTATCAAAGCCGGATAGCGCTATCCACCGGATAGCGATTTTTTTAACCGTTCTAAAAATGCTCGAAAAGCGATAAAATTTCAGCTTGGAAGCAACAATTAAATCAAAAAGGACCTTCGATTTAGGAATAATAAGATTTAATCAAAGTTGTAGCAAATAACAGGCGATTTTGAAGCGATTGAAAAAACCACTATCCGGTGCCGGTGGATAGCATACAACCGGCCCCAGTACTCTAAGATTACCAATTTAGTATATAATATATATTACTGTACTCTAAGATTACCAACTTGCCGATCGGTAAAGTTTTTTATACACTATATTCAGACTATATCCTGCAAAAATCTTAGACCTGAATATGCCAGTGAAAATTGATCATTTTTATTGTCCCTTAACGCCCTGTTACACGGTGCAACTTTCTATGCAATTCTTCTTTTGAAAGATGTGAATTTGGAAACTATCAAACTTTTGTCTTTATGGCACTGTATATAAGTTTTAATTATGTCATATTTGAAAACTTTCAAATTTTCATCTCTTAAAAGTAGAATCGCATTGCAAGTTGCAAGAAAAATTGCACCGTGATAACATGGCCTTTAGATCAGACAATTAGATTAGTCTAATAAACACGTGGTTATAGCTATAACATCGCGGTATTGTTCTCCTGGCTGCTTTATAGATATGATATTCGCCTATATGCAGATGGATGTAACTGAAGTTCCTTATTTGCTGTTTTTTTCCCTAGCACGCACGCGACATTAACTCAAAAATGCTTAACATGTGCAGTATATTGTGTATAAATGCATGTAACATATACAGATTGATATCAACTAGTGCTAACGATGCATGCCTATTCATTCTTAAGGCTGCTTTCCACTTACACGTTTTTTATACGCACGTACACGTACGGAAAATTTTAAATGCCTTCAAATTTTTATTATTTAACATCTAGGTCAACTAATGCACACAAAAATACGCGGAAAACTAAGTTCCTTCGATTTATTCACTTAGTTTTTTCGAAGGTAACATGTATAAGGATTTCGACTTTGACATGCGTGTACGTGCGTATGAAAAACGCGTAAGTGGAAAACAGCCTTTAATCTATTCCATACCGATTCCGTCATATATGCATGTATAATGTATTTTTAGTTAAAAGCTCTTCCTTGAAAGATGAAATCAAATTAGTGCCGGACACTATAGAAATGATTCAAACAGAAGTAAAAAAAATTAATGGAGAATTTTATCGATTTATAAGGTATGTATAGTAACTCCAGTCGTATATGAGCTGATAGCCGACGAGGCGCGTATAGCACCGAGTTAGCTATCGGCCATATACGACGAGAGTGAGCAGAATAACTGTTTTATTATATACACAAACTTTGTCGCCCTTTCGGTGCATTTTGGTGTGCTATTATCAACTAAAGCTTGGATTTCTATTTCACTCAACTCCCCAAATCTTTCAGCCATTTTGTTTACTTTCTCTACTAGACAGATATGAGCTAATATTTGTCTAGTAGCCAACCAATGAAATTGCAGCATACCTCATATCTGGCGCTTGTGTATATATAATAAAGTTGATTACAGCACTGGGGAGACATTGTTCATTTCAATTTTATAAATAATTCCGACGTGAATTGAGTCTGAATTTCTCAAACCAATCAAATCTCTCCACTCTAAATTAACCAATACGCTGCCTGTGAAAAAGTCGATTGGTTTAAATGTTTTACCTCGTCTGCATTTACTATATATGCATGAATGTTATGCATTTTGTTTTTTAGAGAATTGTTTAAGTTAAGACACGAATTAGAAATATTTATCCCAGCCTTGAATTTTTTGGAAAAGAAAGTTTTTGAACTTCGAGGGAATCTTCAAGAAGTGAGTATCTTGCTTCAAGTTTTATAAGTCATATTATTTCCGCAACATTTTACGAATAGGGCAAGCTAATATTTATCTTTGAAGTGGGAGACTTTTCTTGTCAGTTTTCTACAATAATTTTTAAGAAAATATACTGTAACTGCTTTCTCTAAGAGACATCGTCGAAACCTTCCGTTAATGATTTAAATTAAATTAATTAATATGATATATTGAAGTGTATCGAAACGGTGAATTTTAATATCCCTATATTGAAAAGCTATTAGATATATTTCGCAGTCCCAGCGACTTAACCCTTGCTACAACGTCTTGCTTTACAAATTTAAAAATTACATTCTGACGTTACATGCATGCTGGGAAAATTCCTTAACAAACTAATATGTGTCTCGCCTGAAAAGTATTAATGAACGAAATATATAGTAATGTTATATACGGGGTTTGTATTCCTTTATTATTACGTCTTTTTCGGAAATACGGGACATGTCGCAGCTCTCGGAAGCTTTCGTCCAAATGGATAATGCTTTTCTATGCTTTCTAAAGAACGAAGCTATACTATTGGTTGAAACAGAAATGTATTGTAAAGTTCATCCAGTGAAAATCATTCCTGCGAGGAGCTGCGACACTACCCGGGGGAAATACAGGGGTTTCTAATTAAGAGGGCTACTCTGCCACAAAACTCTCTCCTCTACCACTCACTAGGTTCTACTATACTCTGCCACAAAACTTTGTGAATTTTTTTTGCTTTCTCTAGTTGGATTAAAAACCTTTTCCAGCAGACAGTTTTGCGAAATATAAGAGAAAACATACTCCGAAAAGAAACATCATTTGGATCAGCTAAAAAGCGCAGTTTCGAAACACTTAATGGACTGTGACGACGCAAACTACCTACTTAACATGAACAATCTTTTTGACAAGCTTAATGATTCTGGCTCCTTTTACTCTTACGCTGAACTCGTACCTAGCAATACAAAAATACTCCAGTCTTTCAAGCACACACTCTAATCAAGCACAAGCACTCTAATCTGTTGTTGTTCCTCGAGGCACTGCATATAAAATTTAAAAAGCCAGAACTCAATAGCGGCCTAAAGACATCAAAGGAACTTATAGTTTTTCCTTAGACTGTATCACTATATGCATGCAAATATCTCGCGATGCCATGTTCTCGTATTTCTTTTTAACTCGCTGATTTACGTCATCGTTACTTTCTGACAAATTTGTATAAAGATCGCAGCTTGCTTGTAAATAGTTAGGTTTGACAATGACTTTGAAATAGAGTCGAAATATCACCTTGAATATTGTGTCTTGTTTTTAACAACTCATATCTTGGGTTTACAAGATGTTTATTTTCGGAGTATGTTTTCTCTAGTTGGATTAATTTATGTAAATTTTACATTTTTTAAGTATTTTTGTCTAAACTTTAAAACCAGGCCATTTTCACTGTTCCTATATAATACAAAATATTTTTTGAAATTCTTTGTCATGTAAATGTTCAGTTTCCTTTTTTTCCCCAGTGGCAACTGACAAGACAGGAACAGATTTGGCAATTGTTTTCTCGGAGTAAGGTGAATGCATGTCGATTTTTATGTCTGCTGACCGGTAGGGCCGTCACGACCATGATGTCGATTGTTATTGCCTAAATTTTTCGTTGTGTTGTCTTTGGCGGCCTTCGCTTTTTGAAACTTTAGTAATTGTGCTTGAAGTGGCTGCTCTTGTATCTGGCACACGTATTGTAGCAGACTCAAGCGCCTTATCAAGCGCCTTATCAAGCGCCTTATCAAGCGCCTTATCAAGCGCCTTATCAAGCGCCTTATCAAGCGCCTTATCAAGCGCCTTATCAAGCGCCTTAGCGGTGTTTGTTTATGAACTAGACTCGACTCAAGTGCTTATCGTGGTTGTTTAAAAAGTAGACTCAAGTTAAGTGATTTAAACGCATTTATATATCGTGCTTGTTGAAAATAGACAAGCCTTCGTGCTTGTTTAACGTTTTCAAGCGGTTGTGCCTGCGTCAGGCTGCGTGTGGAACATGATTAGTCATCAAAAGAATCCAACATAACGGTAATACATTCCTGATTTGACTTTGAGAATGATTGATATTGAAATTTAAATATACATAGCCATTTTGGATCTGTGCGTTACAACATAAAATGTCAGTTTCACTCGAAGTTTACAGATCCAGAATTGGATTGCATAATATGTTTATGAAAGCAGATTAGCTGCGATGCCTGATTATCTGTTGTGAAATATTTTATTGGTATTTATAAATCTTTTATCTCACTATGCAAGTTTGAAGCCTATATATAAGTATTGAGAATTGCGGCCAAGTCTTATCAATTTCCGCGGTGTCCATCAGTTACCTGGGTATTTTTCGAGTTTCAAATTCCGAGCCAGCATGTGTAGTTTTTGGTTGTAAAACGTCACGTATCTCAAATAACAATATTGCAATGTCATAGCATGCATGTCAGTCGTTCTGATTTTTGAAACATTTAATTTATTAGCACGGGACTGCACGGCTAAAATGGGGACCCGTGCCCAATTTGATCAGTGTTCAGACAAAACAAGGGCTGCGGGCACGGATGAAATGGCACAGATACTTATTTTAGCCGTGTCGTGCCGATAAATCGAGTGTCGTGTAAACGGGGCTTTTCATGAACAAGTTGGCGGATATTTATTTTTTTCCGCAAATATTTTTGTCTAAAAATCAGTAATCTATATACATTAAAATTGGAATTTACATTCACAGGATGCGGGAAACGTTACTCAAGATCAAGGAACTCAGCAAAGACCTTTTGTCAAACCAAAGAGAAGGTATTTGATACTTAGGGCCTGCTTACATCCCAGCTAGGCGAAGTAAAAAGCGCATCACATCAAAGGCATAAACTGATTAGTCGTTCATTATACGCAGTTGTCACCTCGCCTATAGCCGGGATAACTCGCTTCATGTAAAGAGGCCCTTAATAATTTGCGGCATTCACAAACATATAACGATGCACACGTACACACTACACAGACATCAACAAAGGATACGAAACCATGACTGGAAAATCAACAGGTCTTCCGTCCTAATGGACTCTTAACATTAAATAAAACTATAATAATACTTAAATGTATATGTGATGTTGCTACTCTGAGCTAGTCACCAACCGGGCAAGCTGAAAAATTAGCTTGACCACGGTGGGAATCGAACCCGCGACTTTTGGTTTGCTAGTCCAATGCTCTTCCAACTGAGCTACAAGTTCAGTTCCGAAATATCAACCAGTTGACCCTGTAGCTCAGTTGGAAGAGCATTGGACTAGCAAACCAAAAGTCGCGGGTTCGATTCCCACCGTGGTCAAGCTAATTTTTCAGCTTGCCCGGTTCACCGGTGACTCAGAGTAGCAACATCACATACACATTTAATATACACACCTGAGTCTTTGCATTATCACTATAATAATCCTCTTTATACTACTTCAGTATATCCGCACAGTTTGTGTATCTAATTTTGGGTCAATAAATTGAGTGGGCGTATTGTCACAGTTTTGTATTTCCTTATATTTATATTTATTTAATCCGGTTCTATACACCGTTACATATCTTACAATCGCTCTGTCTGATTCCTCCTTAATTGCCTCGCATGTCCGTTCTATTTATAGATCTACTGTCACACCCTTCCCCCCTATGCAGTTCAACGTAATATCAATATCTATCTATGTATATGTTTATCTAACCGTCATCATGTTCTTCCGCGATACTGTCCAAGGGTTCACGGTATTGGTAGGATTTCTGGTTCCCCTGTAATTGGATAAACTGCGTTTGACGTCTTGTTCTACTTGAGCGTCTCGGCTGTATGTCTTCGGGTTGAACTACCTCCATCTCATCGTCTTCCTGCTGTCTTTCATGATGTAGGGTTTGTCGTCTCCACGGTAACAACTCATTATAATGCCGTATTTCTACCTTAGCACCTGCGTTTGCTGCGTCATTAATCTTGTACGTCACTGGTCCCGTTTGTCCCACCACTACGTATGGACCGAGAAAGTAATTACGCAGCTTCCCGCCTGACGTTTGGTGATTTTTCTTCATCACTAAATCATTCAATTTATAGCCTTTATGATGGACTCGCTTCTTCACTGATCGTTTCGATTGTGCTTCCTTAATCTTTCTTCTCGTTCTTACTATTATTCTGTTCCACGTTTTAGTGTTGTCCCGCACCGACTTGGCTAGCTTTTCTTGTTCCGTTGGTCCGTTCGGTTTATAGTCTCCGTCGTTATCTCCCTTCTCTTCCGGGGGTAATAAAAATGATTCGGGTCGATTCGGCTTTTGCTTGAACAACAGTTCGAAGGGACTTAGTTTTGTTGTCGCTGATTCCCCCGAGTTAAACGCATAAGCCACCATGGGAAGCATAGAGGGCCACGAATCCGGATGGTCTGACACCAATGCTGCCAAGCAGTTGTTTAGTGTATCATTTTGTCGCTCTACCTGCCCCTGAGACTGTGGGTGCCACGGACTGCTGAAAATTTGTTGGATTCCAAGTTGTTCACAGACAGTTTTTAACACGGTTGACGCAAAGTGTGGGCCGTTATCCGACTGTAAGGATTGGGGGATATCAAATACTCCAACCCAATTCTGAATTAATGCCTTTGCTGCTGTCATAGCAGTAGCATCCTTTGTAGGGACGAACAATACATAGCGTGATAGAATATCCTGAATTTGCAAGACATATTTGTACCCGTCAGGTGTTTCTGGATACGGACCCACGAAGTCGCAAGAAATCTTTGATAATGGCCTTTTAGGAATGTCTGTGGCTTGCAATGGCGCGCGTGGGACATGCTTTGGGCGTTTCCGTAACTGACATTTTGGGCATCCAAGGCAATAATTGCTTACATCATCGACTACCGATGGCCAATACGCTGTCTGGCGAACTCTTTCCAATGTTCGATCTCGTCCAAAATGCCCTGAAATTGGCGCATCATGAACTAGCCGTAAGAATTCACGGCGAAGACTTTTGGGAATTATAACCTGCTGCCATGCCTTCTTTCCCAAGGGTGAAGATTTTGTTGAGCGCCCCGTATAGTTCCATATTCTCAAAATCCCATCGGTACCGACGTGAAGTTTTGTTCTTTGTCTCCACAGTAATTGTGCTTCCCCTTTGACATCTTCCCCTAGTTCTGTATTACTTAGCAACGCCCATTTCACCAGCTGAATTGCCAAATCATCTTTCTGTGCTCGTAGAAACTCGTCTGGACTGAAGATGGACGTAATGTTTGCCATTCCATCTGCTTCCGCTTGGTTTACTGCGGCGGTAATGGGGGCGGACTGGGCCCGAGACAGATAATCAGCCATCGACAATTCACCGGATGTGCCGGGTTTATGCACGACCGTAAACCGATAACTCTGCAGGTAACTAATCCAACGACCAAGTCGACCATTTTCTTTCTCAGGATCTAGAGATGTATTTAACCAACGAATTGCCCGATGATCTGTTATCAACGTAAAGGGGTTCTGCAGGTAGATTCGAAACTTCTTAATGCTTTCAACTACCGCTAACAGTTCCTTGCTTGTCGTTGTGTAGTTTTGTTCGTGCTTTCTCAGTGTCCTTGAATAGAACGCAACAGGTCGTAGAACGCCATTTTCCATTTGCGACAATTGGCTACCTATGCCAACGTTGCTTGCATCTGTTGTTAGCCAAAAAGGTTTTGTGAAATCTGGTAATTTTAGACACGGCGCTTCAGTTACCCGTCTTTTGAGTTCCAAGAATGCTTCATCATGTTTCTTCGTCCACTTTAACTCGGTGTTCTTCTTGCCTTCTACCAACTTGTACAGTGGTTTAGCTATGTCAGAAAATCCAGGGATATAGCGTTGAAGATAAGAAAATGCACCAATGGCCTTTCTCAATTCTGTTACTGTTGTCGGTCGTGTGATGTTCTGTAAATCCGCGACGCGTGCAGTATCTATCTCCAACCCTTTCGCTGAAATCACATGTCCCAAAAATTCAATTCGTCGCTGTCCAAAGTAGCATTTTTCTGCATTGAGTTTCATTCCCGCCTTTCGAAATTTATCAAAGACATCCCTAAGTCTATTCAGGTGCTCCTCCCAGGTAACACTCCAAACGATAACGTCGTCCAAGTAAGCTAAAGCACTATTCCACGAAAGTTCTCCTAAAATAGCTGTCATTAATCTCTGAAAGCTGCCCGGCGCACCAGACAGCCCGAAGGGAGTTCCCCGTCCCGTCCACTAATACTGTCCGTCGGGTGTTACAAACGCTGTTTTAAAGCAGCCATCCTCACGAAGAGGCATTTGCCAATATCCAGACTTGGCATCCAGGGTTGAAAGGAACTTGGCATTACTTAACCGATCCAGGAGGTCATCAATCACAGGTAGAGGATAATGACTATTAACCGTTAAACTATTGAGGCGACGATAATCTATTGCCAGCCGTAGTCGTCCGTTCTTTCGTCTCGCTATTACTATCGGACTAGCCCACGGACTCGTCGAGGTCTCGATCAACCCTTGGTCCAGTAGATACTCGATTTCCTCTCGTACTTCTTCTCGTTCCGACGGCGACAGTCTCCTAGGCCGTTGCGCTACTGGTACCGCATTAGGTTGTAAGGGTATTTCATGCTGAACTAACCTTACAGACCCCAGTTGGTCGCCCTCAATATAAAAGATATCGCTATTTTGTTGTAGTAAGTTGTCAAGTGTTTGTTTATGATTTGTATCGAGCGTCTCATCAGTGTTATAGTGCATTTTTCTTGTGCCAGATTCCGACTCACGATCCCGATTTTGAAAACCAACTTCAAAACTTGGGTTAGCCCATGCAATTTTTTGGTTCTGATACAATGTTTGCACTTGGGAATCTAAGTTTGCAACTCTTAATACCACTTGGTGAGGTGTCTTGGGACGTGTTACTATTCTACACACCCCCACTAATTCAGTTCGCTGGGTTATGGGTTCAATCAAAACTTCGTTGCAAGACAATGGCTTGTCTAAGTTACATAGAACTGCTGTCTCTGTCCCAGCAGCAAGTTCAATCGTTTCAGCCGGTCTAACCAACAGGTGGAAGTTCTACTGCTGCTGAACTGGACTGGTAATTGTGGTAAAAGGTACAACAACTACCATCCTCTAATCGCAGTTCTCGACTACGCCAATCCATTACATATTCACCTAACCTGGCTTGAAAGTCGGCACCTAACAAGTAGGGTACTATTAACCCTTGTACTACATAAAATGTATGCTGTTTGACCATAGTATTGCCAATTTTTACTGTTAGGATCAATTTACCTTGGTGCCACGGGCTTCAACCAATCAGAACACGCGTTATATACATGTTATTTTATAATAGATGTTCTCGAATCAACAGTGTGATAACCCAGGTGTCTCATTTTGCATTATTAGTGTTAATTTCACCCCTTCTTTTATTTTATCCGCAGCTATCAGGCTGAGGTCACTACCGCTGTCCCATAAGGCACTGACAGTATTGTTACCCAATGTCACTCGAACAAATGGAGACTTACAAAGTTCTCCAGCACAACACTTCGGGATATACTCTTGATCATATGCCTGTAATTTCTGTTTATTAACCTTGTTTATTCTTAAAAACTGATAATATCCTTTATCCCAGTACTGGTCAGGCCCCACCCAGCCAGGCCTCATTAGTTTAAATAGTCGGATTCATCCGAATCCTGACCCTGGGCCGCGCGAGCCGCAGGGGGAGTACGGTTTTTACCTGGTGGCGATGGCTGCCAATCCGGCTCATTACGTTTCCGAAGTCGACATTCTCTCCATCCACCAGGGTGTTCTTTTCCACAGGGGGGATACCAACAACGACTACGCTTGTTTCGACCGGAGAAACGACCCCGGGAACTACGATCCGATGTTTTAGTTACTTGAAGGTTGTCGACTTTCTTTTCCAACTCGGCCAATTTCTGCCGTAGAACACTATTTTCCTCTCGCATAGCGCAGATACTGGGAGAATCACCACTTGTTTGAAGAATTGATGAAAAGTTCTTGAGCCGCCACAAGTACTGTCTCGGGTGATTCGCACGTGCCGTCTTGTTTGTAGAACCCCTTTTCAAGTAGGCGGAAACGAACAGTTTCGCTATTTATCCCCGAAATAAATCGCCGAGTTAACCTCGCGTCATTCTCCGTACTATTGGGAAATCCTAAGCGAACCATACGTTGTAAGCGACGAAGAAAGTCGTCTAATTCTTCGCGGGGTTGTTGCGTTGCTTGATCGAATGCCAAGGCATAGCTTTGAATCGCTCGTGGGTTCACATATTTTTTCGTCAGTGCGCTGTGAAGGGCTCTTATTGTAGCTTTACTCTCGTCCGGTAGTCCTCGGACAAACAAAGCGGCCTTACCACGCAGCTGCTTCTCAATCGCGATTAACTTGGGGGCATCGTCCTCATCAGACCATAGTTTCGCTGCAATATTTTGACGGGCCGTCAATTCGTAATGATGCCAAAATTGTTCGAAATCCTCTGCGATTTCGCCATCAAATGTAAGATCTAGTCGATATTCTCGTTTGTTTGCCATTAGCCGTCTTAGTTTCCCGCTGCCACCACTGTCACAGTTTTGTATTTCCTTATATTTATATTTATTTAATCCGGTTCTATACACCGTTACATATCTTACAATCGCTCTGTCTGATTCCTCCTTAATTGCCTCGCATGTCCGTTCTATTTATAGATCTATTGTCACAGTATTTAGTTGGCAATTTTAGTTGGGATTTAGCTATTTTGGAATCGACTAAGGCGTTAAGTGCTTCTGCAAACGCTGTGGTCCAAATAGGCGATATGAAGTTTAATATTTTTCGACTCAGTATAATTACATATATAAACATAACGGTAAGAAAACGTCAGTAAAATATAACCCTAGCAATGATTTTCTGATGAGATAGTACGCTAATATTTAGCTATCAAACGTCAATGGGATGTTTAAGAACAGAACTAAGAAAAAAGGAACATACAATTGATACATACTACTCATCTCGCGGCGGTTGTCCTAAAACCATCCTTGATGTTTGAGGCATTTTCTGACAGTCTCCTCCCCCAACAGAGCATCGCATTCAGAATTTAGGCGAACAATATTCTTGTGCTGTCTGGCAGAATTCTTGCTCAACCACAGTAATAGGTTAAAATAATATAGCATCAAATGTGGTATAACAACTGCCTATAAGATAGACAAAACACTTCTCGACGTTTTGACCTGAGGGCCTTCGTCCATACTAACTCTCCTGACGAAGGCCCTCAGGTCGAAACGTCGAGAAGTGTTTTGCCTATTTTAGGCAGTTGTTATACCACAATTGATGCCTTGTTGTTTGAAGACGCTGCCACGCTGCTCCCTGCATGGTTATATTGGCTAAAATAACAGGCTTTTTTCCAACCATGAATGCATGGTCACCAGTATAACTTTAGTCTACAGTACAACACCTTGAAAATGGAAGTGTATTTCTTCATACATGCATCGTAGCTAAATATATATTCATAATTCGCACTTTTGATTAAGAAACATTTGTGTAGTGAAATGCAATTAACAATTGCACGCGAAATGTTATTCAAAACTAAGTTCACCGTTCTGGGGCCAGTTGTGAAGACTATTTAACTTTACCTTGAAATTCTATTGTTGTTTCTAGATCACCAGGAATTGAAATTGTTAAACAGAGTCAAGAAATTCTATTAAGGTTTGTCTATAAGTATCATTGTTCACAAGCACCTCCAAGAACGTTTAAAACCCATGTGGGGCCAGTTGTATAAAAGACTAGTTAACTTTTATAACTGTAGTTAAGGACAGAATCGGCCAATCAGAGTTGTGTATTTCTGAGTTAACTAGGATTTAACTATGTTAAGTGTAGTTAAAGGTTTTTATACAACTGGCTCCTGGCTGTAAATACTAATGAAAAATCGTTAAAATATATTTATGCGAACTGATTAACGTTCCCTTTTAGACTTAAAGATAATTTGAATGATGTTCGACATAAGCAAGAAATATTTAAGAATCAAATCGAGGTATTAAAATATGTAGCTTGATATTTCGTTTTACAAATTAGTGTTCTACTTAAAATTCTACTCCATGCATATTTTTGTAGTAAATTTATGCGACAAAGATTGTGCATGCACTGTAAGTGATAGAGGTACAATAACATTGTCTTAAGACAGTTAAACTTAAAGTTTAATAGGTTCAAGGAATTTGGAGTTGGGATAAAGTGCGGATCCGGACGGACGGACAAAAAGAATAAAATGCGGATAAAAGAACAAAAACCATATTATGTATTTGGCTGTACAATGTAAATGAAGCTGGAGTTCGTTCAGTGTGAGAGTAGCGCAAATTATCAGCATAACACAAAAAATTCAACATTTAACCTCACAAAATCATTAAACTAGAATTCAATATTATGTCACTAATGAGACATTGAAACTTCACGCTTGATGTAGGAATATACAATTACTTACTAGTTTCCGTGTTTGGATAGCCTGATCCAAACACGCGGGAATGTTGCGAGAGTTAAGAAAAGCGCGCGAAACACGAGCCGAAGGCGAGTGTTTTGCGAGCTTTTCTTAACTCGAGCAACATTCCCAAGTGTTTGGATCAGATCATCCAAACACGGAAACCATTAAGTAATTGTTTTATAAAATAACAAACCATAATAAATTTGTTTTTAAATTCCCGCGAAATTTCCGTGTTTGGATGGCCTGATCCAAACACGGGCTTCAACCAATCAGAACACGCGTTATATACATGTTATTTGATAATAGATGTTCTCGAATCAACAGTGTGATAACCCATGATGGTATCGACAACATATTCGAAGCAAAATACGGCTGTTTTTAAACAAACACAGTTCTTGTTTACATAAACTCAATATATTGTATGCAGTTGAAACTTCACACTTGAGCTCCAAATTGACGTAGGAATATGATATGTTCTGGAATCAACAGTGGAATAACCCATGATGGTATAAACAACATATTCGGAGCAAAATACGGGTGTTTTAAACAAACACAGTTCTTGTTTGCATGGAAACATTTCCTTCTTTGTTTCTAATTTCGCCAGAGGGGAGACGAAGGCTCCTAGGCATTCTTGAAACGATTGTTAAATCGTGGGAGGGGGATACATGTGTTCACCAGGTTTCAACTGTTGAGCGCAGCTTATCTGATAAAGATCCGCTTTTCTTCGCTAGCTTGAAAGCACAGTGTATTTTTGTTTTTCAACCAAACGTCCTATATTGCTATATTGCTCTCACGATCGTTAACGCGTTACCTTTTTGGTCTTTATAGTCTATGCCACACCTTTTTTTCGTGAGATGCGACGGTTACGCTAGTCTTTTAACGGGCAATCTGCACTTAAGTTTCCCATTTGTTCCTTTATCCGCATTTTATTCTTTTTGTCCGCAATCCGCATTTTATTCTTTTTGTCCGCAATCCGCATTTTATTCTTTTTGTCAGTCCGCATCCGCACTTTATCTCAATCCCTTAACCAACGGCGAATAGCGACAAACGCATCTGCAAAGTCCTTTTTCTGTTTTAAGCCAGGCAAACACGACGCGATTTTTTAGTCGACCGATTTTAATAAAAAATTCCCTGCTGTTTGGTATAACCTTTGTGTAACGTTTCTTTAATTGCAAAACATTAAAAACTAGTATTCTGTTGTGAGATCTACCATTACCAGTTCAAGATACAAGGCCTGCATGGTTTCCATTTAATCGTCAGTGACCTGTCAAGGTGGCTGATGTGATAGAATTTTCTATGTGTGTGCAATCAATATTGACCGATTTAAATACAGAAATAAACACAAAATTACATCCGGACTATTTCTCATCGGTGAAAATGACTTGTTCACGACAATTACGATTAAATGGAGGTGTAACTTGCTTTGCGTGTTGGGGTAACAAATGTCATGCACAATCTTTAATAATGCGAGTTTCACGTTGCGCTATATGTTCAGTTAAATTGATAGTTTTTTACCTATTGCTTCTAGGAACTTGACTGGTCATTCTGTAATGTCAGTGATTCGGAAGATACCGTCAAAAGTACTGAAGATCCGCGCTTTCTAACAGACAAAAAATAAAACATCTTTTCACTTCATTTTAACTGTAATTAGTTGATACAGCATTTGCCCTTCATCAAAGGAAAAAGGGTGATGAATAACGTGTTTTGTATATTTAATAGCGCGTCCCTAATTTCAATGACAACAATCAAATGTCATTTGTGCATAATGGAAGTTCAATAAAACACTTCTGTAATTTATACCATATTTTGAAGTTCAAACTTCAAATGTGCGATTGAAAGAACAATAGCATGTAATGAACAATCGTTAGTGCCAGGCAAAGAACAATAAAAAAAATACACATATCATTTGAATAACATTGTATTGTCAATTTAACGCCACAGTAGGTTTGTTAACTTATTTTATATGGCACGCGGTCTTGTGACTAAATGGCGTGCGCTGATTGGTTCTTTGCCGGTCTGGAATCCCACAGTATTAGACCGTTGCCGTAGTAACGGTCCAACTCTCATATTTTTGAACAAAAACAAGCTTGCACTTTTACTTTTGACACGAAAAATATCGACGGAGAATGGACGAAGAAGAACATTATTTGGTACATGTGAATATTATATTTGTTCATCTTTGATTTTTGTTTGTATTACTGTATCATTCTTATTTAACGAGTAAAAAACAAAGTTTTGGAAGCTACTTCAGTGCTTGCTTGGCGACTGGCTGGCGAAAGAGCCGGCAAGAATGCTGCAGCGCATTGTATAAATAAATAAACTAAATACTGTATGCTATATAATAAATCCCTTATTAACCGAATACGTTCGGTCCGTACTGGAAAAATATCAGACCTCGGTCTTTTATGTACAGACCGAGCGATAGCGAGGTCCGTGTACATAAAAGACCGAGGTCTAATATTTTTCTAGTACGGACCTCAAATTCGGTTAATAAGTGGTATAGCATTTCGGCCTTAAACATTGACGCACAAGATTTCATATAATCCCAGAGGCCAGATTAATCATTACGAGAGGACTAGAAGCTATGGGCAGGGAGATCGGGATTTTTTAGGAAATCTTTAGATATTTCGGGAGCTTACTAGTTATTTTTACAGAATTGCAGTTAGCAATACTGCTGACGTTACCGAATGAAAAATGCGCGGCTCGAGAGGCCTACAGCACAAAATGTTTTCCGTAATGTTAACGGCCCATAAACGCCCATTTCATGTTGCCTTTTATTAAGAATTGTTATTACAAAGTAAATGTTTGCAATTTACAACAAGAACCGTTATAAAGGAAGCAAGAATAATTGAAATTGGCGGATTGAAGCCTATTATAATTATAAAAATGTACGCACAGTAACGCACTAACTCGAGTTTACTCAATATAGTCGATAGCATTGACAGCGACATTGCAATGTTTGTATGAATGTTTCAAAGTCCTGGGAGAATAATTAATTTCCCGTAGCTTATTTCAGCAAAATCTTTGACTAGCAACGTCGAACAAGGTCTGATAACCGCGTCGTAGATCGTAAAATAACCTCAATTCTGCAATACAGAAAGTGGCCACAATAATTATTGTACATGCATCATGATACAGTATGATGCCTTATGATGCTGTATGACACGATATTATGCTATATGATACGATATGATATAGTATGATACTATATTATACATTATGATGCTATATGATATATAGAGATTACTTCATGGTTGGCGAGTGCGGCGATTTTTATGCACGAGTTGTGAAGGATCGCAATACGAACGAGTGAGCGCAGCGAACGAGTGAGTTTGCGATCCTTCGCAACGAGTGCATAATAAAAATCGTACAAACGAGCCAACCATGAAGTAATTTGTTTATTAAATGTGTATAGAGATCAATTTGACAACGACACGCTTTTAATATACAAAAACACAGCGAACAACAAAATCGAAACTTTATGCATGAAAACATATTTATTACCGTTCAGTTTCTTTGTAATTTTGTTCAATAGAAGTTAGACATTCTTTCCGAAAGATTTGAGATGTGCTGAATGTAAAAATATCTTGAATATGAGCATTATGTTTTGAATCTCACTCCTATATTTCGACGCCATCTTGAAAGAAAATGTAAACAAATTGCCGCAAAAATGACATACGACAATTTTTCACGTGTGAAGAATATCGTACGTCCAATCAAAAGCCGTGTATGGCATTTTTTCACACGTGAAAAACATCGTACGTCCAATCAAATTGCATGAAATTTATTTACACCGTGAAATACGATTTTTATTTCATCATTCTGCTGTGCATAAATCTCTATAGACATATAATAAAGTATGATACCATATGATACATTATGATGTTATATGATATATGATATGATGCAGTATGATATCATATGATATAATACGGGGTGTATCAAAAAAGGTAATCCAACTTTGGCGCGCCATTGTATCGCTGCGAATTACTAGATGGTGAAAAAATGAGCAAATAGGAGGCTGATAAAAAATATTAGTCAAAATATTTTAAGAGAGTTGGGCCTAAAACCATTGAAAATTAACTTCCTTTGGGCTTTAATTGAAGAATTTTGCTTCTGAATAAACTACCTGCATATGCATATTAATTAAGTAGGTATAAATTGCATCAGGAGAACATTCCAAGCAATGCGGCGACGATGTCAACTTTATCGATTGAGACTGTGGAGGCATCGGCGCATAATCTCTTTTATTATTAATAAATTGTAAATGTAAATAATTTGCAATAAACATGTTGTAAAACAAGTGCAAGCTGTAACATGTTCGTGATCAAATTTTTTATTTAGGAGAGACTTTAAAGGCAGTAGGGTAGCCAGCCTGACGATTTGTCCTGCTATGCTAATATTTTCGTATTTATTTACTGTGAAAACAAAAAATTTTCGAAAACATGAATAATTAGAACAACTGAAAATTTACATAGCGGGAAAAAAAGGTCAGGCTGCCTTCGCTACTGTTTAAGATAATATTTGCGGGACATGTCGCAGTTCTCGGAAGCTTTCGTCGGATTGGATAATGCTTTTTTATGCTTTTTAAAAAACGAAGCTGTGCTATTGGTTGAAACAGAAATGTATTGTAAAGTTCAGCCAATGAAAATCATTCTTGCGAGGAGCTGCGACACTACCCGTATTTGCCGGAATTATCTTTCTGCATCATTACTGACTTGGAAAATTCCGTAGGAAGCCACCTTAAGTTCAACTAAAATTTCCCATCTGAGGACTTTTTATTCTGTTATATTTATTAAAGCCGTTTATCCAATGTTTCGTACGTCGGTAACGGGAAGCCAAACAACTCATGATCAAGTTTGTAAAGATTCACAAGTTTATCAAAAAGATATTTTGGAAGGCTTTTAAAATAACTCGCTGTTAAATTCTTTGTTCTCATTTGCGGTACGTTAGATTCCTGCTGAATAAAGTGCGTTTTTCTATTTAGTTTGATTTGTTTTGTTAAGTAATTCACGTCTCTTTGAAGATTATCAATCAGACCGATGAAATCGTAGTGAACATCGCACGGACTGCACATAATGTTGAATTGTTGAAAATGTTCATTTAAATCAAGCGGCAATTCGTCAATGAGGTAGCGTATATACTCGTGGAAAGTTACATTGTGTACTTTGGAATCTGTATTTGCGGAATAATGTCGATATGCTCTGACATGAGTGACAACTGTTTCCAGCCATGGGCTTGCAACTATCTTTCCTTGTAATTTGTTCTTCCAAGCAGACAGAAGCCGTTCCAATGGATCTCGAACAATCATAAACTTATAAAAATTCTTTAACATACCCTCACGCTGCTTTTCGCTATATTTTTTGTCACTCAAAAATATAGGCCATATTCTGTCGGTCAAAAAGTCGCTTAAAAACAAGTTTTGTTCCCCCCTCACGGGGAATACTTTTTGACAAGCAAAGTCTGTAGATTATTATGCGTAAAATTCAAATTCACTTGTTGTAATTTTCACAAACCTGCAGTTTTTTAGTACAACACCGCCAAAGTTTCACGAAATCAACACATTTCGCAATCGTTCGCCGCCATTTTTCATTAAACTTTCGTTAATGTTTAAATGAAGTTTGTCACATTCCGCTGAAAAAAATCCCTGGTACAACGGCTCAGAATGTCAACATGGCGCAGGTTTTAAGGGCGATACTGTACAATTTTAGTTACTTTTCATCAATTTATGGCTGGTTTCGTCAATTTATACGTTTTTAAAGTTTTTGGATTAAAGATAGATGTATGCCTAATCGTTTACTTACTTGGTGGAGACTGGAGAATATTTTGAAACTTCCTTTCAATGATTACATACTTAGTAACTCGTCATCATCACTGACATCATCATTGTCATCAAAGAGATCGCAATCATCTTCTGATGTGCTTCTATCCTCATCCACTTCTACCGTATTGCTACAGCTTTCACAAGAACACAAGTCACTGCATTTCAGTTGAGCTTTAAAGCAAGAACATCTTTGGCTTGTACATCCTTTCTTACATGTGCACTTCACAATTTCAAGGAGGGAATCTGGTGCGGCAGGAAGTGTCATCCACAAGATCTTATATTCGCCATCTAATATCCACCCATTCCCATCAGGAGATGGAATATATTCATATGAGATGACAGAGACTGATTCCACACAGCTGTTTGATAATTAGCTCTCTCAATGTGTTTCAAGAGACAATCAGAATTTGGTGGTAACACATCATCTGAATATTTCCCTGATTTGAAGAGGTTATATCTGCATTCATCAGTATTAACAGCAATCTTATCGCCATACATCAAACACACAACCGGTGGAGTTGGCTGACTATGAGGTCAGATGGTGGAAACATGTTGCCCAGCATGCCAAAAGTTTCTGTAAATTCTGGATTTTCAGATAACGTTTTCCAAACTTTAACTTTTCCCTTTCCATGAAATGAGCTTGTGGAATCACAGCCTATACAGTTATTTAAATATTTTAAATCTGTTAAACATTAATTGCTTGAAATTCACTTCGTTTTTTAAAAAAGCATGCTGTCAACAATGTTGCACAATACCTGAAAATGCATGAAAACCTAGCAGACATTTGCATGTGTCTTCACCAAGTTTTTCGCAAATTGTGTTTATATGAATACAGCGAAATTTATTTCCTGAGCCCGTCATCATGTAAATATCCTTCTCAATCACATGTTGCATGGCAGTGCAAAGAACGAGAACGTCAGTGTCAGGACTTCTGATTATTACTGTGTCATACGTGCTTGCGGCATGCTTGGCATGCAACAATAGGCGAGTATCTGCCTCCTCATGGTTGCTATCAAGTGGTGGAAACGAGGCTGTTCTAACAGGGTCATCTCCATTTCGACCGGGACGGTATATGTAACATTTATCCTTAGATGTTGCGTACAGAACAGAGACAGAAGCAAGCTTGGATGACTTATATGATTTCCAATGTTTGATGAAGAATTCGAGCAACGCTTCTTTGTTTTCTCCAGAGCTCAGAAATTTTTTCCACTGCTTAGGAATGTTCTGCTCTTGGCTATATATGTGTACTCGTTGAACTCCTTCTGTAGCGCGTCTTACTCGCTCAGTGTTCTTGATACTTAGAGCAAGATACCTGTCAGCGACAAAATCTAGTCTTAATGCACGACAATCGTGAGCTAATTTTATGAGGAAACGGAAAACTGAATCCGCAAAATCCCCAAATGTTTTCCAGTTTCCTTTCAAGCACTGCACAACAGCCATGGCGTCTACAATGAGTGCGTTATCATGAGGGATGTCTGTTTGATCCACATGTGGGTTTTCGCCTTCTCGTTCCAGTATCTCCGCCAATTTTGATTTTGCTGTCTTTAAAAAACTACCACTTACGGAGGCAAGTGACAAGGGATATGCACCAAGGCAATAAGACAAGATATTTTGCATATCAACGTCCCGGCTTTTTGCAACAAGTAAAAGCTTTGCAAACAAGTTTCTACTCATTTTGAGTCCAGTTTCTTTTCCGCCACTGTTTTTTATCCCTGTTTTAGTTTTCTGGATAGAGGGAAGCTTGTTCTTCTTAATTGTTTGGAAAATATCTGGCGTTTCAATAGCGAGATTGTTTTTAACAAAATCTTGAAATTGATCTTCTCCACTCTGTTCTGCTCCAAGTAAACTTTTGGCAACATTGTCATCAATGACAAATCCACTTGCTAACGATACTAAGCTCTCCTGCTCTGCATCAAACGGTTGTAACATATTTGAAACGGTGGTTATCACACTTTCTACCGACTTCTCGTAGCGATCGCATTTAGTGGGATCGAGGTCTTTACGTTTTCTAAAAGAAACAGTTGAATTCGCAACCATTTAAGTACTAAAAATATTCGTTTATTCGCGAATATTGTTTGGTCATACCTTGGTTTGTACTCCATTCCTGCTAAGCTCTTGCATTGGCTGGTTATTGCTGCTCTCTGTGATTGTGAAAGAAGCCATCGATGCACTGCACCACGATTCAATGTGAAACCAATCAAGCCTCCCTTAGTTTTTGCATCACGGTTTACTGTCTGCTCTATAGTTTGATCGCATGCAACTGCGGCGAAGCCATGATGACTTTGACGCTGAATGGCAAAATTTTTTGACATTTCAAGTCGAATTCCTGAAAATTCAGATGAACGGTATTAATTGTATGCATAGTTACATTTACACATACCTTGCCTGAATGCGGGAAGCGACAAGCAATCAACAGAAAATATGTGAGTGGACAAGAAAGTATTAAGTGGTTTTATTGTATATGTTTACATACTAGTTCTACATAAATGTTCCGCATAAAAAAGCTTGATGTACACTATATACCTGGATTTTTTCATGCAAAGACGTCATTTCCAACCAGTAAGCTGTTCCATATCTTGCATAATTAGTCTTATTACACACAAAAAACCAAGGAAGCATTTGTCTGAATGTAGATAAATGGAGCTCCCAATCGATCTTTCGCGTTGCACGGACGAACATCAGCAATATACCTACAGTAAAAAGTTTTATTTACTTTGGTGCAAACGAAGCAAAGAGAATGAAAGAGGCCCTTAAGATATTGACCAAAGGTCGTTTCTTGTGCAGTTCGTTGTTTAATTTATGGAGCAACTCGAGTGTTCAGGGAACGTACAAATACGCTACGTTTTCATATGGTACGGCTGAAGTAAAAAACAGCTTTAGCCAAAGAATCATGAGTATGTTAACTCTAGCCTGCTGATCACAATCTTATAAACTTTGATTCTAAACGGAATGGCGAGTTGTATTAATGCTCCAGTTCGTCAATTCGCTGTAATTTTAACTTGCAACTTTTGTATTATTAAGAGTTTCACATATACCTGTCATTTTAAGATAAATGCTCCAAAATGCAAACGTCTTTGATTTTTGCGAAGTTTCTGCCACAAATGAATCGTATTTATCACATATCGTCTCAAACTCCTGACTCAAAAGCTCCTCTTTGTATCGTTGCGTCGGAAAGCCGTCTGCCATGACTCCTACACATGTCCGAATTTTTTCCTGTTCTGTGATATCCAAGCTATCCAGAAAGGCATCAAATCGAAGACGCTGTAATGCTTCATGCATGATTTTGTGGCAAAACACCGACCTATTGTAGTGTTTACCAGATAGCACGCCTTTAATTGATCCCTCATTCACTATCCCCGATTCGATCAGTATATCCTGCATATAGAAGAAATTTTGCATGCGTCGTTATATTATATACTATTTATTTTTGGTATTGTAAATTTTCCAAAGTAGTTTTTAACATGCATTACCTTCAGCCCTGCATCTTCAAACAGCTTCGATATTGCCGACAGAAAGGACATAATTGTATGAAACTCTCCTAATCGCACGACCAGTTTGTTGTAAAACATCTCGTTTTTCCACCTCACTTGTTGCACCTTCGCGTATACAGCTTCGTCAAATACCATTACGATATGATCTAGTTGCAAGGCATTTGCAATGTCAACACCACTTTCGAGGATTGCGTTTATAGTTGAGTATTCAGTGGGCGAATTGTCAATGACAGGGAGATAACCGATTCTTGATTCGTTTGGTATTTCTGTTTCATTAAGCATCGTATTGAATCCAGTCCATCCGGGAAAGGGACTTTCTTGGGAGTGATGAAACATTTTTACAAGTACGTATGCTAGATCCGATTTAAGTGAAATATTTGTTTTCTCATTTTCACCGTAATCTCTGATGTCATCAGGAATGTTAAATGCAGCAGTCTTTTTCACTCCAATGCTGTAAGGTTTTAGAGTAACGTCAGGCATCTTTAGCGATCGTTGGGTTTTCTTTATCACTGTTGTCTCTATATTGTCGTCGTCGTTGTTTTCTGAGGTAACCTGTTGGATAATGATGCCATTCGTGACGTGGGTTTGTTTTTTAGCTTCTTCCCCAAAATCGATATTGTCATAAACAACATTAACATGACGCTCTGCAACAAAGCCTTTAGGAATAATATTTGATCTATTCAATGACAGCTGTGCTAATGCGGTGTCATATGCCATGGTTGATGAGAGGGATACACAATGACCAAAGCCGTTTAAGAGAGTTACTAAGTTGGAACAACCCGATATTTGTCTTACAGCCATGGCTAAAGCTAGTGATTTTGGTGTTTGTGCTCTACCGCCACTGGAAATGTATAACAGATCCTGACAAAGGGAAAACAACTTGAAAGAGCGATCGCCCTCTAAGGTTACATACTCTGCTACTTCAGGATCATCAGAAAACCCGACTACCCAAGCAAAAAAATTGAATATAACTGGAGGAACTAACTTTTTCACATTAGTAAAGTTGATATCAGCTGCAACTGGTGGCCACGTATTGTACCAATCTTGTGCTGCGGATTCACGAAAGGTTTCTCTTAGAGATAATGCAGCGAAATACATTTCTTTCAACGACGATCTTTCATTAGTACGGACTGCTGTTCGTTCGGTTTTATGATTATCTAGTATTTCCTCTTCACTATCCGATGACTGTTCTTGCGACACAAATGTCTCTGCAATCCTTCCTCTATCTAAACATGCTGCGAACACAATGTCACTCCGACGTCGCGCTTTGGGACTATGGAACACAAGCTGGGGAAAAGTATTTTTCAATCTTCTTTTCAAGCGAAACGTTTTGTAGCTTGATGCGTCTAAATTTTCAACCCGTGCGACGGTTTTATCGAACTCGTCTTTCACTCTCGTCATATCATAAATCTCTTGACCTTTGATAATTTTTGTCATGATAAACTCCTCGCTGAAGATGTTAAACGAACGTTCGAATAGTTTATTGTCAGTTTGTCCGTCTCTCTCGCTTTTTTCATGGTTTGCCACACATCTGGTATATTTTTTGTAACAATGAGTGTGATACTTTACTTCGAGTGCAATACAGTCCTTTCCTTCGATGTGTAGCAGGATATGTTGGTCCGCTTTCTTCTTCGCAGCTTCCCTCAATTTCCCCCATCAATTGTTTCAGAAGAGATAAGCTTGTCCAATTTGCGTTTTTTACTAATCTGTTGAAGAATAGAAATAATCTATTAATTAAGTGCCAATCTTACAAAATTTCGTAAATTAAAATAGAAGCTGATACTGTAACATTTAAAATTTCTTACTGAATCAGTGATGTACAAACTTTCTCTGCCACATATAATACAAGTAGGTGGTAGCACATGAGCATTTCTGGGTTTCACGCGCACAGTTTCATCAGTGGACGATCTAAGAAACTTTGCAGGCACCTGTGTCTCATCATCGGTGGAAAGCAAGATCTCGTCTACATTAGACTTTCTTTCAATTTCATCTATCTTTTCACATCGCCGTTTCGCGTGTGCAACTAAAGTTTTGTTGGTAAATTTTGAATAGCATTCCCTGTGGTAATAAAGGTTTTCAGGACCTGTTGCTGTATCCCCGTCGGCTACCACGCCGAATGATTTTTCCGCCACTTGTCTTTGCTCACCATCGAGCGATACCCATTTTTCCCGAAAAAGTAAAAACTTTTTAAAAGAAACTTCGGTAAAAGCAGTGAGAGGGCCACAATGCCCGTCAAAATGAATCAAACAGCGCGATTTAATTGTTTGTTCTGTCATAAACAATATACGTAGTGTATAATTAAAGATGTTCAAAACATTCAACAGAGTTGCAGATATTTAAAAAAAATACAAAAAAAAATTATATTCCCGCGAAAAGGCGCGCGAATTTATTACATATAATCAGCGGAAAGTTGTAAGAACGTTATGTTAGACAAAACAATAATGAGTAAAAGAGGATCATTTCGTAAATATTACATGAAGTTTTCTCAGATAAAATGGCGGCGAACGATTGCGAAATGTGTTGATTTCGTGAAACTTTGGCGGTGTTGTACTAAAAAACTGCAGGTTTGTGAAAATTACAACAAGTGAATTTGAATTTTACACATAATAATCTACAGATTTTGCTTGTCAAAAAGTATTCCCCGTGAGGGGGGAACAAAACTAAACGAAAATCCAGTCGAGAATACGGCCTAATACCAGGTTTTGATGAAAATGAGCTTGATGGGAAAGCAACTTTGCAATACTCCTACTTTTATTGTTCAACACAATAAATATTTTTTTGAATTGAGAACAAGCAACTTTTGGTATGTAGCAATAAATGACCCTGTGTGCTTCATCGACGATCAAGTGTTGATAAAGAATCATCTTTCTTCTCATCATTATTTTTTCGCCCACATTAGGCTTTCCCAAGATTTTGGTAACATTTGATTTCCGACAAACCTTTTTTACTTGTTCCTTCCTTGTCGTGCTGCTCTTCAGTGCCTGTAGAATAGATTTAAAATAAGAAAACTGGCAGTGGTTCCCCACTGGTTCCTTTTGCTTATGGTAGATACCACTACAAGAACACTCCCTTCCCTTTTTCTATTAATTATTCAATTTTTCGAAAACGTCTTTCTGAAATTTTTTAACATTTTTTTGGGCATGAAAAATAAGCATTTCTTTTAGCTGAGTGTTCGAATTATTTCTGACAATTTACAAAATAAAAACAATGAACATATAGGGATATCAACCGGATAGTAGTTTTCCTATCGCTCAAAAATTGCCAAAGTGTTAGTACAATTTGAATTGAAACTTCCTATTTGTGAAGCAATGTTTCTCTTTACTTCATACATGTTTACGCCAGAACAGGCGTCTTGTTTTAATTACATACAAGCACAAGTCGGTGCGGAAAGTTACAAAATATCTCGGACGTTCGCCCCTGATTGAGAATCAGGCTTTGCATGTGTATAATTAAATAAAGGGAACGACATTGGTCAAATCTGCGTCCCACATATTCATTTTCCAAGCCATAATTTTCTTTGAATTGTGTCTTTGTGAAAAATCCTTATTTTAATGCCTGAAACAAGCATAGCTATCTTATGGGCTGCCTATTGCAACGGCAAAAAAGCGGCAAATTTTGCGAAAAAAAAATCATTCAAGTTGCGAGTGTGAAAGCTTATTGCGTTCTACGAAGGAGAACGTTTCCTAATCGTGACGTTAAGCCTGGGTGCTATCTATGTCTTTTTGAGATTTTTGGATGTAACGTTTGCCTCGCTTTCGTGTATTTGCGTTTGCTTTGACTTCCGGGTTTTGTTCTGTGTCGTAATTTTTACGTGATTTCCGTATTTTGCGACAATTAATAAGCTGTTGTTTAGGGGCGGGCATTTAGGCTTTCATACGCGCCTGTTTATTAGGAAGTCGTAGGAATTGTATACATTATTTTAACTGTGAGAAATCCGAAATCTTACAAAGTACACAAAACACGTGCTTTTGTCAGCTTGAGTATACAACAGCTTTAGCTTCGCTCTTCTTCAAGGATTTCACTGCAGACCTAAATTCGCTCTGTTTTATTGGAGGTTTAGATACACATTAAAGATATTCTCTGCACCTAATAAATGTGCAAGAAACAGCAGACTGAACGTTGGTACATAAATAATAAAATTAGTTACCATCTTGTCATCTAGTTTTTCGCGTGCAAGTATTGGGTCTTCTGTGATCATATTGCCTAAAAGAATCGAAGAATAAAATAGATAATCTAGCTTATTCTGAGTCTACCATGCACTGATTTAGAGCCATTTAGAGGTGTCTAATGCCCACTCGTAAATATGAAGTATTGCGATAACTCTGCAAATAACAATTGGACGTAGATTCATGTCCATAGGATCCACTGGACATATCATATTAACTAACTTAACGAAGAATTTTCGCGGTGAGATCCCCATGTGGTCACGAAAGTGCCAATGATGCCAATGGATCCATTTGACATGATGATACATAAATAACAAATGGACACTCGGACTAATTTTAAATCCGCGTTTTATCCCACTCTAAAAGTTATTTGCATGGTAACTAAACAGCCCTGAAGGAACTAAAAGGGCCGGAAAAGTAAAGGAAAATACTGGAAAAAGTACAAGAAATATTGCAAACTCTATTTTGTCTCAAAAGATCGCGTTTAAACGCTTCAATTACGATTTTATCATCGAGGTTAATAATAAAATGTGCCCTATTTACAAAAAATTAATGTCTGTTTACAAATAGTGAACTAAGAGTGTACTCGATACCGCCGTACTATTGACAAACTCTCAGTGGAAGCAGTGGCTGTATAGGGGTAGTAAGAATAAATTACACAGCTAAATGTTAAATTTTAAACACTTAAAAAAACCTATTGGTTATGGATTTCAAAAGAATATTTAAGTAAAAATCTACCAATCACCAATGCGATTGCAATTTAAGACTACATCCGTCTCTGCATGGACGTACCTTAGAATTGCCACTAAAACAAACCCGTGCATGCATTCGTCGATATATGATGCATGGCTTGTTATCTAGCGCACATGCAGGTAGACCCAAATTAAAGTTCTACATGCACCTAGCATTTTGTTATATACATATTCGACATGATTTGTCGGCGGAATAATTCTATGAGATTATGTTGTTATTCTGACCTTTTGTTACATAATTGTCACGAATCTCGTATTCCCCTACGTCCTGCAAATTATATTGAAGCACCAAGAATACACCCACTAAAGAACACACGAACAGAACCGGAGGCACAATTCGATGTAAATGTGTTGGCATCTTTCTGAACAGACTTTTCTTTCACAATTAAGCCCAATTTCGTTCTACGAGCCTGCGATCCTCTAGCGACGAAACGAGGGCCATTAATAAGCCAAACAGAAGCAAGAAATAGTTGCTAATTGTATTTCAACATTTTATACGGCCGGATACCATCAACAATCTGAAGGGTCTACTTCTCACCTGAACCCTCACTCAATTCGCTGAACTGCTAGCTCGTAATCTAGTTGTCCAGCAAAACTGAGGTATTTATGAACTTCTCCGGCATGCTATTACCAATTAAAAAGTGTTAAAAATAGCCAATTTAAATATTAATAGTTTGCTTAGGCATTAGCATGAAATTCCAATGCCTCTGGAGGAGGAAGAGGGAAAGACCTAATTCCTGAGCGCATTCAAATGGCATGCATTGAAGTTGAAAAAACATACAACAAATCCCTATTGATTAGCCCGTGCAAAAAACCTTCCCAATTCAAACCTGGGCACTGTTACTAAATCTGAATAAAAAAAATACATGATAATTACGATTGTGGATTTAAATTGTGATTTTAAGGCGATTCTCCATTACCGTCCGCTTCACCCGCGCGGGCGAAGCGGCTTTTGAAATTCTGTCCATGCGACCATGACCGGCCTGAAAAACAAAGCACGCTTCGCCCGCGCGGGCGGAGCGGAGGTAATGGAGAATCGCCTTTATATGACCTAAATCAGATCAATCACATAACTGACGACCCGACGAGGGTATTCCCACATTGGCAACATTGATTGGTCTGATTTTAACAAATATTTCGCAATTTTTGAGGCAGCACTTATTCAAATGTACGAATATTTAACTAATCAGTATGATAGCGGCAAGTTATTAAAATCGAGTTTTTCTTGCATAGCCAGAAAATTCTGGCAAAATTGATATTTTATACTTCCGCCGAAGTACTAAAACGTTAAAACATAACTATTAGCAGGTCGATTCTAGAAGTTCAAAGGGTCTTAATTTCGAGTGGAATTATACAATCTTCAAATTCAAGCCAGGAACAGTTGATGGAAAAATTAATCAATCCCTAGGTCCTCCGGCAGGAGTTGAACCTACGCTTTTGCGATACCGGTGCAATGTTCGTGCGACTGAGCTACAGAGGTAGCTGACAAGAGCAAGCGTAGTTAATGTGTATATGATGGTAATGCTGGGAATAGGTGAGGGTAAATCAATTATGATATTTGGAACTTCACTCGATGCAGGTAAATTCTAGAAGTTCAAAGGGTCTTAATTTCGAGTGGAATTATACACACTTATTAGCAGGTCGGTTATATTTTGCCGAGATTGCTAGTCAGTAGTTACGGAACAAGTTTGTCTAGATTTCTATAGTTACGGAACAAGTTGTAGATTTTAAGGTTTTTTTATCAGTATTCTTCCTGATTTTTTAACCCAAGTTTTAGCCATTTATTAGGTTGAATACTATACGAAACGTTTGTATAAATATTTTCTATTTAGATTCATTTGACATTGTTTTATTTGCACGTAACCGTGTCCTGATTATACTATCAATCAAACCAATGAAATCGTTGCATACTTGCATGCGAACATCACACGGGCTGCACAGAATGTTGAGCTACAGAACATCAGTGAGGACCTTTGGGGGGGGGGGGCAATTTACTGGTGCATGGAAAGTTATATTGTTTATATTGGGATTTGAATATCTGAGAAATATTGTAACATCTTCTAACCATAATATCCGGGGTCCGCACACCAACTTGTACATAGTCTTTATTTTCTTACGCTTTTTGTAATTTTTAATCTTGTAGACGCCCCCCGTGGAAATCAACGTATTGTTGTCGGGGCTAGTGTCTTTAAGTAAAGTTTTACATACGTACATACATACAACTTTGTCAACCACTTTAGCGGAGTCGTCGACAACAACTTGCCCATTTGGGTTTTTATCTGCTTCTTAATCTTTTTTGCGCAATTCCGCGTTTTATCCCCATTTCCAGAATCCGCGTTTTATCCCCATTTGCAGAATCCGCGTTTTATCGCCATTTGCGGAATCCGCTTCCGCTGTTCCGTATTCCGCGTTTTATCCCAACTCCATACATCATACCTCGAAAATTCTACGCCACCCTCCCCCCAGTGGGCTGGCACCGCCCATACAACCAAATTGTGACAATAACCCGAACGTTATCTTTTTACCGGATTACTCGCGAGCACTGTTCTACAGCTTGGGCAGAACGAGTGATAAATTGGGCAATTTGTACCAGGGTGCGTTCCTCCCAAAACAGTACCGCTAAATTTCCGTACAATTGAACAATTATTATTAATCAAACAACTTTACAACAAATATCTTGCATTGTTATTGTAATTACCCAAAAAAGTCTGAGTCATCTGAAAAAGTTGCCCCCACAATACTTGACACAGACAGACCGACACCTCATCCAAGCTAGTGACATTCGGCTGGATCCATCCCTGTTTTATACTCGAGAGTCGGACAACTTTTATCGGATAGGCAGGTCCATGGAATAAATTTAAGCTAAGAGTGTTTAAATCTCACCTCCCCCCTAGCTGCTTCGTACGCCTATTCAGCTTGCATGATATATGATATATAGGTTTCAATGTGCTTTTCAAACACTACAAAAATCTGTCCCAGAAGGCAGGGCAATCCCAAAATCTTTTTGGCCGGCGCACCCCTGGCTCATAATATATGGTATAGAGGTATAGGGATATGGCTAGGTTATAGGGATGCATGGAATAGCATCCAATCCCCATTTTGTCAAAACATAGGCTACTAAATAGCAATTAATAAGCAATCAAATACCATTTTTGAAAATTACATTTAACATAAATGCATTCACGATTTGATTTTATGAAATGTTTAAAGAATTAATTTAAAAAGTACTAAGCCACAGCATTACTTTGAGTGATCAGTTTAAGTCTGTTCAATGGCCATTTTCTTTTGAAACTTAAACTATCTAATTCAACAACGGCTTCCAAATAAAATGCATTTGTTCCGAATGTTTAAATTGTGGCTGATAAATTTGGCTTACAAACCATACATATAGGAATTATTATTACTTATCAATTTTAACTAATATTTGTGTAATAATTTAACAGTTACATGCACACCTTTATTTCTTTCTAGCTAACTGGGTTTCTTTTGCATTTAAGAAAAATACAACACCTACTATGTTGAGCGAATGTTGAATTTCTTCAGCCATTCCATCTTTCCTAATGCAAATTTGTTGAACTTCTGGATAGGTTGTACCACCGTCTCTACTGATTGGTCCTATAATAAAATCACGATTTTTCACTTCATTCTTCAATTTCTTACTGATTTTAGCTTTTTGCTTTTCACCTGACTTGAAGAAATCTACCACAGATTTTAGGTCATCCCGTCGTTCAGTACCACGCAAATCGAGACCTTGAAAATCGTTTAGGCATTCCTGACTAATATTGAACACGATAACGGCAGAGGCACGATGCTTATCTGTCCAGTCTAGAGCATATTGAAAATGATCTGCTACATAAAATCCCCAACCATTTGAAAAATCGCAACAAGGTTTTCCAAGCCCCAACTTGATCCCATCCTCAAGAATATCCTTGGCACCTTTGTGATCTGTTCCATGAAAATAGAGCTGTGCTTTCGGATTATCAGCTTGGAATTCAGAGATTTTTTGTTCTATGCTAGTTTTAGCCTCATTTTTGGTTTTGGTATTAATTACAGACACTTTGGGAACAGGACCACCCGATTCATCTTCTTCGCGTTCAACAGGCACACTAAACCATTCCCCTAACTTGCTCTCGCTATAAGGAAATTTCGGAACTTTATCGTTCAGGAAAATGTCATACTTAAACATGTTTTCTATATAGATTTTAGCCCAAGCAAGAAGGGATTTGTGTCCAGGAAATGGCTGCTCAGAAATCCATTTTGCAATAACACTTGACCGGTTTTCTGTAAAGCCCATTTTCTGCAAACTATTTTCTACCAACTCTTTATCACGTAGGTCATCTACATTCATAGACTCGTCGAGTTCCTCCATGAAACACAGCAAGAAATACTCGTCAGTTTGGTGCCTTCTCATTTCTTTACTCAAACCTTTAAGCCTGCTGGCAAAATCATCTTTCAAACCAACTACAGAGCACAAGACATCTTCTTCCCTTATTACACTGTCCGGAACCAAGTTCGCAAGTCTATCTGGCTTCAAATTGTTTATGGCCTTGTAAATTTTTTTTGCTGCACGTTTGATATCCTCAATAGCTGGTTTATTACAACTTAAACTGGAGTAATGAAGTAATACACAATCGAGAAACTTATTTAGTTCTAGAAGATTTTCTTTTAGTTTTGTTAGTTTTTGCACTTCTTTCTCACTAAACCTTTTTGAATCTTCGTCATTCTTCTGATCTTCATCAAGAAACTGCTCAACATATTTTAACAAACATTTACTGTGAAAGAGATCTTGATGAAGAACTACAAATGCGTCTAATACATTATCAAGGCTTGCTCGAGCTTCTTTAATGGTAAGTTCCCAAAACAATCGTTCTTCAATGCCACGAACTGTGACGAATAATTCGAAACGAAGAATAATTTTGGGGAATAAAGCTAAGGGTTCCTTCAGAGAGCGAACAACATCTTTCAAATACTGATCAACTTTTTGTTCTTTATAATCTGCCAATGAAGTTGATCCAAGTGGAAGAGGTTCATGACTCTTTGAAGATTTTGGAGTATAGTGAAAAAGTCCTTTAGTTAAAGGATAGGGTTTTGAATATTGAACCATTCTAAAAATACATATAGTCACGATTAAATATGCACACTCATAAATTGAATACTAGAAATACATGCATGCAGCAACCCCTCGCCTCGGTTAATTAAACAAAATTAGGTAAGCACAGCGATGGTAACATGACTGTTAGAAAATTTATGTGCATTGGGGTTTTGGAACGTACATGGTATATATGTGAGAAAAAGAAACTGACGATAACGAAAAAGATGGCAGAGGTACGTTTTGCCAGAATGCACTGCGGTCAGAAATCGTTTAAAAAGCGACTTGAAGTTTTTTAAAAACGGATTTTATAAATGAAATTATTCTGTCGTTTATCACATAACACATTCAGATTTATAGTGAAATACATTTGAGAATATTAAAGTTGACTTTACCACAAAAGAATTACTTTTTAAAGCTGTGCCGAATAAAATATTATCAAGTGTAAAATCTTCCGACTTTATTATACATGGGAATTCGGCCGAAAATTTGGTCTTGTTATTTGTTAAACCGTGAAAAGTTCTGACCACATTCGAGTTTCCCTCTAATTTAATTAAAAATACATATATTCCATATTTATGAAAATATAAATTTATAAATTTCATCAAATTTTGCGAAATGACAGTTATTCATTGACGTTTGAAAATACAAATATTTTTTCGACCAATCAAGAGCTTAGTGGTTCATACTGGCGCATGCGCATAACGTAGAAGACCGTCCATGGCGTGAGGTCCACTGCATAATGGCGGACGACTTTGATTTAACATTTGCATATCGTGGGTGTAAATATCCGAGCGGAATTAGTACCCTCACCGTCGGGGATAAATTTTGGTAAATATAAAATTTGTGTTTTATTAAATCGGATAAAAAGTTTGCAAAATGTAGATTGGGAATGGTCCAACTGGATTCCGTGTATGATATTACATGGTTAAAGTTGCGACTGTTACGTCAATATTATCATTTAATTTTACAATCTTCGTGCACTATCCTAATTCCTAAATGTGCGCACACTATTGATCGAAATGAAAGACGTGTTTTCTGGTCACCTTGTAACAACGGCCCCTAATATAACTTTCATTTCTTTGTTTAAATGAAAACTATTTGTAATACTGATATTTTCGTTGCTATTCAGGCTTCCCTCATTGCGAGCTATTCTTAATCCACAATCAGGCGTCTCTTTGGCAGCGTAATGCATTCCAATTTGTTTTGATTTTTTGTTTTCTATTGGCCCATTTTTATCACGTGTTTTGCCCCCATACAAAACATTTTTTCTTCCCTATTTATTTTCATACAAACTGACATTAATTATTTACCAATATACTTTCTTAAAGTTAAAGTTATTATATTCCCTTATAGTATTGCATGTATTTACTCAGGCTCACAGCTATCATAAAAATAAAATAACCTCAACTTCAGCCAAAGGAACTATTTCCAGACAAGGTGCTTTGAATGTTTAACATATTTTTTAGACGCAGTGAGACCATCTTTCTAAGTTCTAACTGAACAAATTTATTTTGATATGATTGTAAACCTTAGCTTTTTCACAAGAGCTAGTGAGAAGGGAGGGAAGTCTGCCCGGATACGCTAGTTTATTACATACTCCATTCCTTTTCAGATATGTACATAGCACTGGCAATTTTTCAATGCTAGTTTTAAACACAAATGAAACAAGACAACTAGTGTGAGGTATGGTAAAAATGAAACAATTTGAAAACTAATAGCAGCAATTTGAGAGTAAAGCATCCATATAAGCATAGATGTCAAAGTGGCATATGGAAGGTGACTGATTAGATTTGTTTGCAAATTCAACCACAGGGGAATAACTGACAATATATAAGTTTTACGTCTCTATAGCTATTTTAAGAATATAAAATCAGCCAGATACGAGATTTAGCTGTGACTAACAGAACGATTACGAGTCGTCGCTAAACTCCGTGTACTGCTTGTTGATCAACTATTCAGCAATGATCCATGCAATGTCTACAAGGTTTCCACGAGTTTTGGCATGAAAAGTGTAGCTGTTGGGAAATTATGACCACAAAATTGATCCGCAACTCGTATTCAAAAACCGACGACAACCAGTTTTGCATGACTGTGAAGCAAACAATGCACGAAATTGACGAAAATAACGCA